TGTGACAGACACCTGGTTCAGAAGGGGCCGGCTCCTCTGACAGCCGTGTCACTGAAGGACTCACAATGGGAGAGTTGGCCACCTGTAAGATGCTCTCTGCATGGGGAGTCTTGGTTCTGGTCCCAACGTAAAAGGCACCACACTTGTCACATGCTGGCGATGTTCAGAGAAGAAGGCAGAAGAGGAAGCAGCCCCCCCCACCCCCGCCGCCCCAGGGCAGACTGCAGTGCCACACGAGGGCCTAGGGCCTCTGGTGCGGGAGCATCATGCCTCACAGAGGTGGCACTCCCCACTGCCTTCACTCTTAGTTAACCACACACGTGCTCACTGAGGCCGCCAGTCCCTGGCAGCAGGCGGGAAGGACAGCACGTTCCCTCTGGGATCGCTCGGGGTGTCTGCTGGCCCCAGCAGCAATGGAGAGAGCTGTGTGCAGGTGCTTGATGGCAGTGGAGAGAGCTGTATGCCCTTGACTGCTCCAGGTCTGCTGCAGGATCCTATTGGAGATCTCCCTGCAACCTACCCTGAGGGTCTGGACCCCGCCCTCCCGGAATCCAGCAGCCCAGTTGGGACGAGGGCGTCTTGGCTTCCCTGTCAGCATTTGTACAGTGTGGGCCCTCTAGTTACTGACGTCAGCGCACGAGGCCCTGATGGAGGCTGCACTGTGGTTACCCACGGACTCCTCCTACCTGTGCTCGTGGCAGCAGATCAGTCAGAGGCCAAGTGGTCCCCTCCCCGGCCGCAGATAAGAGGCCAGGGGTGCCGGCTCCCACCACCCACTCTTACATCGGCTGCCTCCCCTGCGTACCCCAGAGTTGAATCAGGGAAGCTGTTGGGACAGCATAAGGCCTGTGCCACTGCTCAGGCTTTTGTGTGTTCGGCTCATACAGACAGGACTGCATTTAGAAAAGGAATTGTGGGGCTGGCACCGCACTGCAGCAGGTTACGCTGCCGCCTGCTGCACCAGCCTCCCATTTGGGTGCCAGTTCAAATCCTGGCTGCTCCATTTCTGATGCAGCTCCCTGCTAATACACCTGGGAAAGCAACAGAGGATGGCCCAAGGTCTTGGGCCCCTGTACCCACATGGAAGATGCCAATGAAGCTCCTGGCTCCTGGCTTTGTCCTGATCCAGCCCTGGTCATTGTGGCCATTTGGGGATTGAACCAGTAGATGGAAGATTCTCTCTGTCTCTCTCTCCCTCTCTCCCTCTCTCCCTCTCTCACTGTAACTGTTTCAAATAAAATAAATATTTTTTAAAAAGAAAAAAGGAATTTCTAGAATATGAAAAAATTAAGTGAATTTATAATGAAAACATCCACTGATTTCTGTTCACAAAGCTTCTAGACCAAATATATAGATTTGGGGCTTATCTATTGCCAAAACTCCAGGTAAATTGCTTTGCAAATAGGGTTATTTATTTCATGTGTTAAGCGCTTTTCTATTTTTTTCACCACGCTCTACACCTTTTGCTAAGCACTTATTCCTTTGGAGTCTGAGTAGCCGAGAGTCCAGGGTCTGTATCCAGTGCCGAAGTGATACTGTTACCTTCATATTTATGTCTGGACTCGGCTCCTGGGAAGGTGCTGTGGTTCCTGCCTGCCTGGCTCCTGGGGGCAGCCCAGCGGCCGACACCTGGAGGGCCGCGTTTTCTGAATGCCGGGTGTGGGAATGAGCCCGCTAGCAGGCAGTAACTCATCACTGAGAAGAGTAAGGTGCTCTTGGCACGGTGACAAAGCGGCCCAGAGGGGGGTTCCTGGAGAGAACCGGATTCAAGACAAGCAGTGGTGAGGAGCAGGCCCCGCGTCCATCAGAAGGGCGCAGAAGGCCTGAGCTCTTTGTGCCGCTGTCGGCTCAAGCCCCTTGGTTATGACATTTCCCGCGTTTGCTGGGCCATGACTGTTGTCAGCCAGTCCTGTGGAGTTTGCTGAAGTCACACTCAGGTCACACTCGGGATTGTGCCTCAGCTTGCCTGTGGCAGTTCAGGCCAGGGTGAGGGTGGGAATTCTAGCAAACAGGTCAGAGAATCTCACGTTGCCCTTTATTTCAGTTCAGTTTTCAGTTTGCATTCGCATCACTCGTCGTCACGATCCATGAGCAGCTGTTGCTGGAAGGGGGGCACAGCTGTGCAGTCAGAGCCACAGTCGGGTGCGCCTGTCACCAGTCAGGACTTCTCCTCGTCAGCGAACATCCCATAGATATGCGGGTGTTTTAGCTGGTGGTTCCACGGACCGTTCCCCTTGCTGAGTTCGTTTCTTTGCCTCTTGAGTGAAATGATTTGCTCTTGTAGAGGGAGGCACAGGGGGGAAAGGCCCCGCTGAATTGTGTGTCGTCATTTCCTGCTTCCAGGCCTAGTAATGCTTGCCTCATCTCACAGAGCTGTTTATAGGAACAGGCAGGAGTAAGTGACATGCAGTCAAGGAAACTGGCAGTGGCTGTGCCCGACCCGAGAGCAGTACCCACCAGGCACGTCCGGTGCTTTAGGAAAGTGGAGCAGATCATTTCAGCAATGGTTCTCTGTCGATGGACAGCAGGGTCCACGCTTACAGCCCTGTCCCTTGACCCTGCCCCCAGGCAAGACAGAGTCATGGAATGTCAGCTGCCGAGGGTCCCGTGGCTTCATGAGGATGCTCAGAGGCAGTGCTGGCACAGTGGGATCCCCCTGGCTGAGAGCTGGAAGTCGGGGTCCATTCTCGCTGCTTCCTGGGAGTGTGATTTTGGACAGAGCACCTCTCGGGGTCCGCTTCCCCCATGGACAAGATGGGGGCATTGGCCCACAGGTCTTGCAGAGATTGCCTTCAGCTCTGACCCTCTGGGACCACCTAGCTGACCTGTAGCCTTGACCTCTCCCCTGGGTGCCAGGCCTGCTTTTCCAATGATCCCAGCATGGCTGCACTTGGGTGTGCTGTTGAGCTGACCTTCATGCTGACTCTCCCACAGGTTGTCTTCCTTCTTTTGTAACTCATCACCACCTCCCATCAAAAAAAAAAAAAAAAAAAAACTTAACACTGTTCTTGTTAATGATACTGTTACCGTCATATTTATGTCTGGACTTGGCAATATTTATTTTCTTTCTATGTAAGTAGTCTGCTAGTGGGTACTGCTTGTTCTTCTCTTGCAACAATGCCGCTGGATTTGATTATTCCTCTCCGATGCTAAGTCACTTCTTGGAAGTATCATGTCCTCATCATCCATCTGTCCATCCATCATCTGTCCAAATGTGTATTATCTCTGCTCTGTGTCAGGTACTCGATTGAGTACTGGGGACAAATTCAAAACATACATGTAGAGCTTAAGGTCATCCTGTCTAGTGGGAGGCGGGTTCAAACTAGCAGTTTTCGTAGTTTTTCACATGAACGATGCTTGTCGTCTTGGCTAGCAACCCTAGACGTGGGCCCTGGAGTGAAGAGCACCAGTTTAAGAATCAAGGATTTGGCATGAATAAAAATTACCTGCTAGGGAGTGAGGGAGACAAAATTTTACATGAATTCTCACTTAGATTGGTGACCTTAAAATAAGTCAAGATAGACTAAATAAAATAATAGAATCTAAAAGTATTTCTGGACAGTTTAAGACACTAATTTGTCCTTCAAATATTTTTTGAGTCCGGGGATTATTTAATTACCGAGACAGATAGGTCTCAGCTCTCTCAGAGGGGAGTCTGGAGTCTGCCCCAGAACAGACCAGCAACCCCGTCTGGAAGTGCGCTGTGAGATCTCACACCTAGGGGGCGACAGCGAGCACCACGGGGAAAATAGGGGCATTCTCCTCACCCAGCCCCTTGGTTTGCAGGTAAGGAAACACAGCTCAGGACAGTCGTGATTTACTCAGAGCCAGGCCTGCAATGTCTCCTTTGTATTTCCTGATTCTTGTCTTGATTCTAGATTTCCTGAGGGCAGCGTCCTAAGCTTTCCCCTTTCATAGAACAAAGTAGGCCTTGAGGAAATGATAGTTTTCTACCTGTTGACAAGGCTGACACCTATCTTAGAGTGGAGGAAGTGCATTTGTGCTTTTAGTCACGGGGGAATCTGCAGTGTAACAACATTTTGGAGTTAATATTTTCTGTAAGTTTATTTTTAAATTACAGTGAGGATTAAAACCTAAGAATTCCATAAGTCTAGTAAATAGCAGATCTCAAGATAATTCAAGATGCTACACTTCTGAACACCTTAGTTTTATTTCAAAACACTCTTAGAATGATTGATTTTTAAAATTCATATAACAAAGCGTAAGTTATTGAGGGTGCCTTAAGATTGCAAATCAACTCAGTGGTTCTCTAATAAGTATTACAAATGAACTTGATAAAAAATCATATGCTTCACAATATATTTTAGAAAAAGGACTTTTAAAATAAAATGGCATAAGAGAAGCCTTGTGTGGAATTGACTTTCTGAATCTAAATGACTGATCATCTCATTGGATTTATTTTAAATTGTCTTTAAATAATAATAAATTATCGGTACATTTTAGCTTTTAATAGCAGAGAAATATTAAGTAGGCTTATGTGGGTATTATGATTATTTAGATTTAAATGTAAATCTTTGATATTAAGTCACTATTGTTTCATCTAAAGACTACTGAATATTTACATTGTTAAAACACAGTGGCTGACACCGGAAGCCGTATTTTTAATGGGACTTTCTTACAATCAGAACGACAGTAAGCATCTGTAACCATGCTAGCCTTTGGGGACACACAGCTTAGGTTAAAAACATTTCTTTCATTTTGCTCTTATCCCTCTTTTCTTCTGGAAGTCGGACTGACAGGTTGACGGCTTCAGTCCCCTGCTAACTCCTGTTTGTTCTTGCCTTCGTTTACTGGTAATAAGCATGTGTAATGCAAAGTGGTCAGAGTTTGGCTAAGAGACGATGCCACGCAGCCCACCGGTGGCTCGGTGGGGAGAGGCCTCATCGCTGACGAGCCCTGCCGTAGGACAGAGCTGCCGCGTGTTTGTCGTTGCTGTTGTCTGCACAGCGGGAGCTGACCCTGTCTCTTTCCCGTTGAAGGTTCCTCAGTGGTGTGCTGAATACTGCCTTTCCATCCACTACCAGCACGGGGGCGTGATATGCACACAGGTCCACAAGCAGACGGCAGTCCAGCTTGCCCTGCGAGTAGCCGACGAAATGGATGTTAACATTGGTCACGAAGTTGGCTACGTGATCCCTTTTGAGAACTGCTGTACCAGTGAAACGATCCTGAGGTTGGTTTCTGGAAGTTTCATCTGCTGCCCTGATGACTCTTGGCTTGGGTTCTGCAGTCCCGAGAGCGTTGTCCTTGCCTGCCGTGCTCAGCACCTGGGCGATGGTAACTGGTCTCCCCGTCACCAGCCTGACACACGCCAGTTGCTTTCTCACACTGGCATCACCGGAAGTTGCTCATCTCAGCTGCTTCCATGACTCCCATAATCCTCAGCGTAAAGGTACAACCTGTTACTTTGGACCCCAAACGCCCGCAGGCTCCCACTTCCAGAGTGCTGCCTCACAGTGGGTCTGCATTATTGCCGGTGCCACCCTGTGGGCCCCTGTCCCTCTCTGTGTGCCCACACCCCTGCCTTCGTGCCCAGCAGCCCCTGTGCGTGGAATGCCTGTGTCTCTCCTGGGCTTGTCTCGTGCTGAGTGGTGCAGAGCCCCAGCTCTCCCACGGCATGAATCGGCAAACTCGCCGCTGGGCTTGGGGAATCCTTGCTGTCTCCCTCCACCACAGTGGTTCAGATCTGCATCTCTCAAATCGTCATTTTCAGAATCGTGTGGGTTCCATGAAGCCTTTTCTGTGGCTGCCACGGGTTGCAGAATCTCTTGTTGTCGTTGTTGTTCAGATACATTGTGAGATTTCCTATGAATAAGTGTTCCAAAAGCTTGATAAAAAGGAGAAAAGAAAAAGCACAGAGAAAGCGGAAACACCGGAAAAGTCACTCTTTGGGCGTGTTACATCAAGGCCCCATAGAAGGCTGTGGTAGTCTGTGCAGCAGCCCCAGGACAGTCGGTCAGAGCATCCGGTCAACAGCCATGACGGTCCCGCAGGCTTCGGCTGCCCCAGGCACCGCCTGCCTGCCCGGGAGATCTGTGTCTGAGATCTGTGTCTCCGCACATCCGGAGCTGCCGGGGCAGCCTGCCAGCATGCCACGCACAGCACTCGGCAAGCTCTGCCTTAGAATGCCAGGCCAGGGTGGCTTTTGCACACCCACGCCTGCGGTGGCTGGCACACTTGCCCCATTCAGGATGCTCAGCCACTTCGACGGTGGCAGTAGGAGCCTGGCCCTGTCCCAGCCGAGCTGTGGCGCACCCTGGTGCAGTTCTGGTCCTCCTGAGTCATGGAACTGGTGTGCGCTTGTAACTTCTGCATTGTGTAAGTGCGTGTGAGCGAGCCAGAAGGAACGGCTAAGGCTCCCTGAAGCTTAGACACCCACAGACTAGCTGGAGAGCAGCACAGGACCACACGTACACATGGGGGGAAGGGCAGATTCATTCTGGACTTTTTTCCTTTTCAAGTAGTCTTTCAAATTATCTCCATTTTAATTAAATGTTGGCTATGACTAGAGCCTAAAGTTAATGCATTTATTTTAAAATCTGTAATGCCATCAGACTCTGGAAACCCTTTGGAAAGAACTCATGGTATGGTTATTTTTCAAATGAAACATTATAGTAGTTTGTATCTTAATTAATACTAAGATAATTAATTGTATATGCCTAACTCCTTATCTTGTATCTGCATGGCTCTATTGAGAAGGCTACAAAGGTAAATAATTGTGGGGAGATTAACAATGTTGTCAGAGATCAGAGGTCAGACATGCCTCACCCTTCAAACATCCACCACATTTTGGAGGTGACTTTCGTGGGGTTGTTTTATGGTGAAAACCCAGGCATTCAGTTCTGACGGCCAAAGGACAACAGCTGACCCCAGAGCAGTCTTGGTTCTGATTGCACGCGGCACACCTTGGCTGACGTGACCAGTGCTCAGGTGTGCTGGGGCCACGTGTAAGGGCACCTTCCTTCCAGGTGGATGGAAATGGACGGCCTGGGTGACCACCGCAGGTTCTGCTTCCTTCTGCGTTGCTGCCCTGCCTTGTCCTCTCGTTTTGTGTTAAGATGTATTTGAAGGACAGAGTTACAGACAGGGAGAGACACAGAGAGAGAGAGAGAGAGAGAGAGAGATCTTCCTTCCACTGGTTCACTCCCAAAATGGCCACAGCAGCTGGGGCTAGGCCAGGCCAAAGCAGGAGCTAGGAACTCCTGGGTCTCCCTCGTTGTGGCAGGGGTCCAATCACTTGGGCCATCTTCTGCTGCCTTCCCAGGTGCATTAGCAGGGAGCTGGATCGGAAGTGGGGCAGCTGGGACTTGAACTGGCACTGGATATGGGACGCTGGTGTCACAGGCAGTGGCTTAACCTGCGCCGCAGCACCAGCCTCTCTTGTTTTGCTTTCTTTACAGTTGCTCCTGTTGCCGGGGCACTGAACTTTCTTTTTCCACAGTGCATTTTCCCAGACCAGCCCAGAATCAGCAGTACCGTGCAGCATCGCTGTAAACAGTTGGAGCCTCAGGAAAGAGGCCAGAGCCGCTGAAAAGCCCCTTCTGCCATAAGAGAAAGCAGAACCCGATCTCTTCCCGGTAGTCTGTGTGCTGGAGGGGAGGCCGTAAAAGAGACTCCACCACTGACTGGCAGCCGTTCACAGCGCACCTGACCTCTGACCCCTGTGCCTGTGGCCCCTCCCCAAGATGTGCAGGTTGGTACTCCTGCAAGAGCATTGTTGTGAGACCTGAGCAAGTTAATATACGTGCCCAGCGCACGGTATATGTGCATGTTAGCTCTTTTTATCCTTTTAACTAGAACTCGATTCGTTCTTTTGGAGAGAAACACTAGCCATAATTCTGAATAATTTAAAATTCATTATCTATTTAAATCAGAGGATTTAAGTTTGATTACTGATCATATAAGATAATATTCTAGGGGCCAGCACTTTGGCACAGTTGGTAAAGCCGCCGCCTGCAGTGCTGGCATCGCATATAGGAACCAGTTCAAGTCCCGGCTGCCCCACTTCTAATCCAGCTCTCTGCTATGGCCTGGGAAGGCAGTAGACAATGGCCCAAATGCTTGGGCCCCTGTACCTATGTGGGAGACCCAGAAGAAGCTCCTGGCTCCTGGCTTCAGATCAGCTCAGCTCCGGCCATTGTGGCCAACTGGGGAGTGAACCAGCAGATGGAAAACCTCTGTCTCTCTGCCTCTGCCTCTCTGTAACTCTGCTTCTCAAAATAAATAAATAAATATTTTTTTAAAAAACATTTTTAAGAAAGATAATTTATATATATTTTTCATTTTCTTTGTACCCCTTTAGTGTCCCATCCTTCAGACATGATAGGCACTCAGTAAAGCTGTCTTTATGCCTGCTACCGTTTATTTGGGTGCCATATTTACCAATTTTTTAGTTCATTTTAGAGCTTTTTTCAGGTCTTTTTTGAAACAGTGGGTACCTGAATATTATATACCTAAATTAGTCTTTTTGAACTACATATCAGTCTTTAGAAGTGACACAGATTTCAGATACTGACCTTTTTAGTTTTGAAAGCTGAAAAGTTCTCAAATTTTTGTTAAAGTCAAATTCATTATATATATGTGCTTCAAAAAGTGCATGGAAAAATGGAATTGAAAGCTAAGTTTGTGGTTCTAAGTAGGTGTATTTCTTTTCATTAAGCTTTGCTAGGAAGGAAGGGAAAGAAGTTTATTTTGATTCAAAAAAAAGTTTTGAAATTCACCCAGTTTTTCCATATGCATTTTTAATGACTTTATTGAAGACCCTCTATATACATGGGTTTGAAATTGTTTTGTACCAAAGTAAACTCTTCTTACTCCATTGTCCTTGAAGTTTTTGAAATACTCTCATGCTTGTAGACAATATTAGTAAAGCTTTTAAATATTTTAGCATTTTTAGCTTTTTGAAATTATATCTTAAGAATTTAAAATGTAGATTGCACTTCCTGAGATCTTGGCTGTGTATCTGTGTATTTTTCACGTTGTTATCAGCAGCAGCACTTTCTAAAGCATTATACACACAATATCTTACTAACATAAAAGTAAGAAATACATCCCTGTGATAAGTAGGAAAAATAGGAAGATTTGTACTGTAAGTTTTAGGACCAAGCCTTCCTGATTCCTTGGTGTTTATATTATCATCCGGGAGGCCTTGCCTGCTCAGTCTAGTAGAATTTTAAATGTCACTGTCAGGTACATGTCTTAGCGAATCCTAGGTACATCAACATTACACATACGCCCCTCCACTTTGCCAGCCACACTGCTTCCATACGGGCAGAGCTTGGGTGCGTTTTGCTGGAAAGGGAACAGAGATTCAACTTCTCACCCTGAGGAAGTGACATCGATTGGAACAGTGCATTTCGAAGCAAGAGGCAGTAGTCACTTGCATCATTAGGTCACACTTAGTGACCTCAGCCAAAGACCAGGAAGTATCTGCATTTTGCACAGAGTGTTACACTGTAGCAATCAAGCTGTTTTCTAAGTTTGAGAAAAGGAATGATTTATCGTTAGTCATTTGGCCGGTTCCTGGGGTGACAGCAGAAAGGAAGAGAAAGGCAGGGAGCCAAGGCTTTGTTCTCCAAAAGCTACACAGAGGAAGAACATGACCTCATCCTCACCAAAGTCCTGGGGTCTTTGTGACGTAACAGTGACCCAGATGTACAGGTATCCAGATACAAGCCTGGCTGTATCAGCTCAGCCAGCCTTCCTGGGCCTCAGTTCCCTTCTTCATAAATACGAGCTGATGATGGCGACCTTGAAGACTTACCTGCAGGTTACACGCCAGCACTTCACCTGGCAGGCCTCAGGGCCTTCACGAACGCGTGTTTCCTTCCTTTTCTTTCTTTCTTGAAGGGTGAATCGAGGACCACTCCAGGTTCCGTAGGGTTCAGCCGGGGTCTGTTCACGAGTAAGGTTTGCTGCAGGAGCAAGCGTTGCACCTAGCAGTTAGAAGCTGCTGTCGGGGCCAGTGTGTGGCGCAGCGGGTAAAGCCTGCAAGCCGGCATCCCGCCCACTGTGGATCCAGCTCCCTGCTGATTCGCCTGGGAAAGCAGCAGAAGGTGGCCCCAGTGCACCTATTTGGGAGACCTGGAAGAGGCTCCTGGCTTTGGACTGGCCCAGCCCCAGCCCCAGCCCCAGCCATTGCAGCCTTTTGAGGAGCAAACCAGCAGATGGAAGATCTCTGTCTCTTCCTCTTTCACTGTAACTCTATCTTTCACATGAATAAAATAAATCTTTAAAAAAACAAAACTGCTATCCCACAGTTCCTGGCCCTTCCCAGCTCATTCCAGGGTCCCTCCAGTGCAGACCCTGGGAGACAGCAGTGATGGCTCAAGTAATCTGTTTCCTGCCAACCACAGGAGAGACCCGGATTGATCCTGGCTCCTGACTTCAACTCTGGTCCAATTCCAGCCTTTGTGTGTGGGTATTTGGGGAATGAGCCAGTGGATGAGAGCTTATTGTCTTTTGTTACAGTGAAAGGATACAAAGCAAACCCATATAAAGGGCAATGGTGACTGGGGTGAGGTGCAGAGGAAACCAGGGGCAGAGGCCTCTCCCAGTGGGTGGCATGGACTCTGCAGCTGTCCTCCAGCAGTGAGTGTGACAAGTAGTACGGTCTGTAGTGGAGCTTCCACTGGAGGTCGTTCAGGGCTGGTCACATGGGCACCATCTGCCTATTACGTCCAAAATTCCCGACTCCCAGAAGAAAGGCAAATGTTCAGCATAAACTGTGTTGCTCAACAGTTGAGGCAGAGTCCTGGGAGGCTTGAGTCACCCTCCCCATATCTACTTCCCAGAGAGCAGCAAGGGCCGACCTTGCAAGCCAGCGTTTCTCGGCACTGCGGTCCCAGGACCACGCGTACCAGAGTAGGAAGACAGTACTTTATGGATAGAAAGCTTAAAGAACTAGCGTCTTCAGGCAATAATATAGAGAAATATGTAACTAGTATCAAAGATATTTTCATAGCGCTGAATGACTAATGGGCGGTTATTTTAATTATTTTTTAAAGATGCATTTGTTTACTTGAAGGGCAGAGTTACAGAGAGAGAGCGAGATCTTCCATCCGCTGGTTCATTCCCTAAATGGCCACAATGGCCGGAGCTGCGCCGATCCAAAGCCAGCAGCCAGGAGCTTCCTCCAGGTCTCCTGCGTGGGTGCAGGGGCCCAAGCTTGGGCCATCCTCCACTCCTTTCCCAAGCCATTAACAGGGAGCTGAATCAGAAGTGGAGTGGCTGGGCCGTGAACTGGTGCCCATATGAATTGCTGGCACTGCAGACAGAGACATTACCCACTACACCACAGTGCCAGCCCCTATTTTTATTATTTAAAAAATAAAATCCCAACAGCTAATGTGGGAAGGGAGGTAGCCAACAAGGAGGAGCGGAGGCCTGCCAGCTCCCGCACTGCAGCCCCGTGTGTACCACAGCCCCCTCCTTGCCAAGCACAGGGGCCAGAGACCACTGCTGGGTAGAAATGTCCAGTGTGCTGTGTTCCCGTGATGCCCTTTAGATCATAATAAAATAGCCATGGCCAACACACCTACTCCATCACTCACCTGACGCCATGACACTTCCAAGCTTCCCACAGAATGGGGGTGCGCAAGCCCTGCCCCCAACTCTACCCCTTTTGAAATCCAATTCAGCCGTGCTTCGGGCACCAGCCCCTGTGCCTCCAGGACTGAGAGGGGACAGCGCCACACCCAGAGGGGGCAGTGCTCGCCCTCTCAAGGTTATCGGCACTTCCTCCCCGTGTGGACTTGCCCTTTGCCTGTATGTATGTCTCACTTCTCGCCAATCCTGTCTACATCTCTTCCTTGTATTCTTTCTCGCGTGGTGACAAGAACCCAGGCCGAGCCCAGCCACGGGCCACCCCCCAGCAGAACCACCAGAGAACCCCACCGGAATCACTACACCCCCCCAGAACTACCAGGGAACCCCAGCAGAACCACCAGGGAACCTCACCAGCATCACTACACCCCCAGCAGAACCACCAGGGAACCCCACCAGAACCACTACACCCCCCCAGAACCACCAGGGAACCCCCAGCATCACTAGTGGTCCCTCCCCTCCCAGGGATCCGGGCGTTTGCAGCTCCCCTCAGGTGGCTTCTTGGTAGGTGCTTTGCTTGATGACCTCTGAGCGGCATTTCAGCCTTGCTGAAGCTGACGTCTTGGTGACGTCGTCTCCCACAGCAAGCCACCAGCACCGATGCCCCACAGTGGGCCTCGCTGGCCCTGGCCTGAGCCAGGGTTGTCCTTGTATCCTTGAAAACTGTACACTTTTCCTTCGAGTTCTCCCACTGCTGATATTCTAACCTGCCAAGGGTCTTTTATGGTGATTTCTTTTTGTTTATAATGCAGAGGGCAGCGGTTAAACGCAACTCCTGTTTTATTTGAAGTAAACATTTAGGCAGAGGTTTTTAAGCTGGGATTCAGCAACGGCCTTTAGGGCAGTCTGTGAACATACACAGTGGGGGCAAATTTTGTGTACGTCTGTGTTAGTGGGTCGGCGGATTTTATCAGCCCAAGGGAGCCTGGGCTCCAAGAGAGAGAGGGAAGGGGGGCATGCTGCCGTGACTTGGGTCGGCGTGGTCTCACCTCCCTGTTCTTCCTGCCAGGTATTGCACCGACGATATGCTGCAGAGGGAGATGATGTCCAACCCCTTTCTGGGTAGCTATGGGGTCATCATCGTAGATGACGTGCACGAAAGAAGCATTGCCACGGACGTGCTGCTTGGACTTCTGAAAGACGTTCTGCTCGCGAGACCAGAACTGAAGCTCATCATTAACTCCTCGCCACTGCTGATCGGCAAACTCAGCTCCTACTACGGAGACGTGCCCCTCATAGAGGTGAAGAGCAAGCACGCCGTGGAGGTCGTGTACCTCAGTGGTGCTCAGAAGGACTCTTTGAAGTCGATTTTGAGCCTGATCTTTGAAATCCACCACTCGGGTGAGAAGGGTGACATCGTAGTCTTTCTGGCCTGTGAACAAGTAAGTGCGTAAAGTTCTAAGTCAACCGAATACATAACACAGGGCCTCATCTGGGAGGCCTGTAATAACACACACACAGGTCTCTGCTTGCCACTTAACTGTTTAAATATTGGCTTCTGTCACACTCCTTTTTGTAGACTTACCAAGAAGCAGGGTAAATAAAACCCGTGCCTAAAAGGAGAACCAGGGCAGTTTCTCAAAGTCACACGCCGTTCTGACAACAAAGACGTGGGACGCATGTGGGGGGGGCGGGGAGGAGGGTCCCCAGCAGCCTCCCTTCTGGCCCGGGCCCGCAGGGTGCTGCCCAGCGCAAAGCTGGTGCCTCGCGGTCTCGCTCCAAACAGCACTCCCTCGGTGCTGCAGAGGCCGGGAGACTCCAGCTCAGCCCCAGCTGCGGTGCCCCGGTGAAGATCAGGAGTAGGACCTGAATGCCTGGCTGCAGCTGGCCCCTGACAGCGGGGCGGGAGGCAGGAACCTGGTGAATGACACCCTCCGGCTGGCCGACTCCCCAGAGGGGGCCCCTTTCCTTGCAAGGAGGATGAGAGAAATCCTCGTTAGGACTTCTGGGAGGAACACACGGAACTGTGCACGTGGCCTCGTTTTCTGCTCCTCTGTTCTTTGCGGCTGCACCGCCCCTCCTGCCCTCTCCAGCCTCTGTTGCTGAGTCTGACGGCTCCAGGAGCCCTGGAGCTCCACCGCTCATCTCCAGGCTCGTGGCCTGGCCTCCTCTTCCTGCCCATCTTCCCGGGGAGTGAAGGCAGGAGCGTTTAGACCATGACTCGAACCCATGGCAGTTCCAGTGATTGGCCAGAAACCAGAGCAGAAGCTCTGCCAGTGGCCCAGCCACCAGCCGGACAGACTCACCATCCAGACAGACAGACCCACCATCCGGACAGACAGCCACCAGCCGGACAGACCCACCAGTTGGACAGACAGAGCCACCAACCGGACGGACTCACCAGCCAGACAGATAGAGTCACCAGCTGTATGGACAGACCCACCAGCCAGACGGACCGATCCACCAGCCGGACAGACCCACCAGCAGAACAGACAGACAGACCCACCAGCTGGACAGACAGACTGAGCCTTTTCCTGAGTGCTCACGAGCTCCAAAATACTTAGAGAATTATCAGTTCTACTCCGGTCACAGCTAAAGGGTGACCCGTCCCCCGCTCTGGGGACTTCAGCGTCCGCACAGCCGAAATGACATCTGTTTCTGTAACTTCAGATCTCACTTGTGCAACTGCATGTAATCTCACATGTGTGACACGGCCTTCCGTGTGTAGACGTTCACACTCTCTCGAGCAGTAAACCTGCTGTGTGTTACTGCGATTTAGTCGATTGTCGTCCCCTCTTCCTGCACGACTCGGAATCCTCAGGCAAGCCCTGAGAGGAGTCCTGGAGTGATTAAGGAGACAGACGATGTGAAGAGAGAGAGGTGGTCAGTGTAGCTGCTGACACCCAAGGAAGGGGAGAGTGGCAGGATCAGAACAGAAAACTCCGGGAGTTGGGAACGCTGGCCGAGGACACAGACGCCCGCTTCTCCCCCCTCCCCCGGGAGGAGCGCTGGTCCTTCAAGGCAGAGTGAACAGAAACTGCAAAGTGGATTTTGGGAAATAAACCTCCTAACAGAATCGAGGAGGCGGGCCTGTGGTGGCCGATTGTTGTAAGTTTAGTGTGACCACAGTGAACGGCACAGAGACTTCGGAACCTGAGACTTGAGGAATGCACTTCTGTGGGGCTGAGAACACCTGTGAGCTCTGCCAGGTGCAGCTGCCGCGGAGGGCGTGCGCGGAGGGCGTGCGCGTGCTCGTGAGGCTAAACAGCAGCCGGGACCAGGAGTGGCAGCCCACGCGCTTTCCTTTTCCTTCTCATTTCTAAGCTTCGGTCATATAGTAGCGATGCAAAGTGAAGTGACCGGATTGTGAATGCAGGCAGAGTGGCAAGTCTGCGTCCGTTATGAGCAGCAGCCGTGCTCCTGGCCTGTGAAGCACTGTGCATGTGCGCCACGCAAACCCGCGACGCAGCCAGGGACATGAGAGTGGGGGAAGGCCTGCGTGACTGCTGACGGGGAGCCTGGCGCCGCGGCCGCTGCCCGCCCCCTGAGGTCCCAGAGAACAGCTCGCCCCACCTCCGGAACCTGAGGGGGCCTGCGCGTTCCCAGGCCGTGGTGCACAGGAGGGGAGGTGGACACAGGAATTCAGTTCCGCGTCTGAAGTGGGGCGAGCGCTGGGCACAGCGGGTGAGCGCCCCACTGCGGAGCCCTGGGTTCGATGCCCACCCTCGGCCCCCGGCCCCGCCTCTTGCTGATGTAGGCTCTGGAAGGCAGTGCTGATGGCTCAGCGGTTGCGAGACCTGGACTGAGCAGTCATTTGGGGGAATAAACAGTGAATGGGAACTCTGTCAAGTTAAAAAAAAACCCACAGCTGTAACAGTCGTGGGAGGCCATCTTTTTACTCAGATTCTTAATGACCTCTAATGACTGTATAAATGAGGCTACCATAGGAGTCTGTTAGCCCCTAGTAAGTATATATTTGGGAAATTTTAAAGGGAGTAAGAATTACATTAGGTCCCTTCTATTTTATGTAAGATTAAAAAAAAAAAACCTGTGATTTGAAAGATAGTAAAATACTGTCTAGAATATTGTCTAAAATGTCTCACCCTTGTCCCTATTACTTGTACGTAGTGTTGTGGCAAATCGTAGTTTCTCTCTAACCTACTTGGCAGGGAAACTTTTTTTTAAAGATTTATTTATTTATTTGAAAGTCAGTGTTACACAGAGAGGAGAGGCAGAGAGAGAGGTCTTCCATTCGCTGGTTCACTCCCTAGTTGGCTGCAACAGCCGGAGCTGCGCTGATCTGAAGCCAGGAGCCAGGAGCTTCCTCCGGGTCTCCCACGCGGGTGCAGGGCCCAAGTCCTCGAGCCGTCACTGCTGCCTCCCAGGGCGTGCATTCTCAGGAAGCCGGAGCCAGCAGGTAACGCTGTCACCCACGGATGGAGCTCCTTGCTCCTGGCTTCGGCCTCCCCAGCAGGCAACTGGAGTGAACCAGTGGGTGGGAGATCTCTCCTTACTTCTCTCTGTCGCTCTGCCTTCCAAGTAAATGAAACTTCAAAAAAGTGATGTATCATCGACGTGAGAAGATTTTTGTTTACCTGCCAGTGGCAGTGGGTACGTGAAGTTGCATCACGCTGGAAGCAGAGCAGGGCAGACACACAGAGGCAAAGCAGTACATCTCACAAGAGGCAGACTGCTTTGGTAAAGGCAGTGAAGTCGCTAATAAATTGTGTTTGACTTCTCCAAGGAAATTTTCTCTTCCAGTTATGTCTCCTTTCCTTATTTAAAGATGTGCGCTCTCTCTCTTGCTCTGTGTGTGTGTCCATCACTCTGCCTTTCAAATAAATAAACCTTAAAAAAAAAAAAAGGAAACAGATGTATATATGTTGGCAACAGCATTTCTTTCCCCTATCTACATTATACAGTGTTGCCTACACTTGTAGTTAATTCAGACTTTTTTTTTTTAAGGAGGGGAGTTGTATTATACTTATTTCTCATGGATGATGCTGTTTATTTATTTATTTATTTGTTGCCATAGGACATTGAAAAAGCCTATGAAATTGTGTGTCAGGAAGGCTCTCACTTGACCCCAGATCTTGGAGAACTGGTGGTGGTTCCTCTGTACCCGAAAGAGAAGTGTACGCTGTTCAAGCCAGCCGACGAGGCGGAGAGAAGCTGCCAGGCCTCTCAGAGGAGAGTGGTGCTGACCACCAGCTCTGGCGAATCTTTGATCTGGAGCAACACCGTCAGATTCGTTATTGATGTGGGTGTGGAAAGAAGGAAGGTAATTATGACCGCGTCAGCTAATAATCACGGATGGTTCCTGAGCACCAGTTCCTCGGGTCCCAGCCTTTTGTTGACTGGAAGGTGAAGGTGCAATGTGTGACCCGGAGGTGCTCGGAACGTGGGGCACGCGTGCAGGGAAGGATTCCTGCAGCTTTCGTGAGCAGGGGGTGGTCGGAAAGAAACTAACCCAGCTGAGATGCCAGAGGGGAGAGTTGCGGGCACAGACACAGCCGCAGACGCGCAGAGGCAACGCCTCCTCGTCGCTGCCTGCCCAGGCCAGGGCCCAGCAGAGCGAATGACCTGCCTCCTGGCTGAGTGCCGTGTGCCTCTGTGTGTATCTGCTGGATATCTCTGGTGGCCCTGGAGCAAAGTGAGTAAAATCCTGCCCGAGGGAATTTACCAGAACAAGTTTCAAGTGCGCTGACTTTAATGTTAGCAAATTTTAGCTTTTAAGTGACATGAGAATATTTTCATCCTAAATCTTTTTAATTTTTTTTTACTACTTTTAAATAAACTACCCAAAAAAAATGAAAATAAGATATCCCAAATTCTAAAGACACTGGGACTTCGTGAGCCATGGCGTTTGAGCATTTGAGCCTCCTGAATATTGGTCTGGTTACTGCGTTCGACGTCGAGTGGATTTCCCCTCCCAGGGACCATGGGCCTCCTCAGTGTCCCCGTCGTGCTGGGACGTAGCGGTCCCAGCGACTGTGAAGGTTGCCTTGGCGACAGTGAGGGTTGGTCCCGTTGCTTCTGTCCATGGTCAGGGCGCCCAGAGCCTCACTGCCCCTCAGTCACCCTGAGTTCCCGGTGCAGTCTCTGTGTGGCTGCGATGCCCGGAGAAGCACTGGGCTTGTGAGGAAGGCGAGACCGCTGAGGTCACAGTGCGTGTCAGCGAGACTTGGGAGGGACCACACCACACTGATGGTCACGCGAGCGTGCATGGGGGGGCCCAGTGCGAGCCCAGGGCCTGTGTGAGTGTGTCGCCTATCGGGAGGGGGCCCACAGCCAGCCTGCCCCAGGACCTGTGTGAGCGTGTCGCCTGGCGGGAGGGGCCCACTGCCAGCCTGCCCCAGGGCCTGTGTGAGCGTGTCGTCTGGCGGGGAGGGGCCCACGGCCAGCCTGCCCCAGGGCCTGTGTGAGCGTGTGGCCTGGCGGGAGGGGGCCCACGGCCAGCCTGCCCCAGGGCCTGTGTGAGTGTGTCGTCTGGCGGGGAGGGGCCCACGGCCAGCCTGCCCCAGGGCCTGTGTGAGCGTGTGGCCTGGCGGGAGGGGGCCCACGGCCAGCCTGCCCCAGGGCCTGTGTGAGCGTGTCGCCTGGCGGGAGGGGCCCACGGCCAGCCTGCCCCAGGGCCTGTGTGAGTGTGTCGCCTGGCGGGGAGGGGCCCACAGCCAGCCTGCCCCAGGGCCTGTGTGAGCGTGTTGCCTGGCGGGAGGGGTCCCACGGCCAGCCTGCCCCAGGGCCTGTGTGAGTGTGTCGCCTGGCGGGGAGGGGCCCACAGCCAGCCTGCCCCAGGGCCTGTGTGAGCGTGTCGCCTGGCGGGAGGGGTCCCACAGCCAGCCTGCCCCAGGGCCTGTGTGAGTGTGTTGCCTGGCGGGAGGGGGCCCACGGCCAGCCTGCCCCAGGGCCTGGGTGAGCGCTGCCTGGCGGGAGGGGCCCACGGCCAGCCTGCTGCATGCCGGTGTCTCCGTTTACAGGTGTACAACCCGAGAATCAGAGCCACCTCGCTTGTCACGCAGCCCATCAGCCAGAGCCAGGCAGAGATCCGCAAGCAGATTGTCGGCGCATCGTCCTCAGGTAGCAGGCGGACACCAGATCCGCGCTGTGTAAACCTGCCCGGGGCAGCCGAGGCGCGGCCGCCACAGCCCTCTGCCTGTCTCTTCTAGGCAAGCTCTTCTGTCTCTATGCTGAGGAATTCGCCTCCAAAGACATGCGGCCCCTGAAGCCGGCGGAGATGCAGGAAGCCAACCTCACGAGCATGGTGCTGTTCCTGAAGAGGATAGACATCGCGGGCCTGGGCCACTGCGGCTTCATGAACCGGCCAGGTAGTGCCGAGGGCGGGCCGCGGGGCCGGCGGCAGGGCGTGCTTGGCGCTGGGCGTCTCTTCCCATGGAGGCAGAGATGCTCTGGGGGCCACTTCTCAAAGAACACACAGGGAGTAGCTCCGGGCCGTGGCAGTGGTCTGCTGTGGGCCGCAGTCGGGGCTGCAGCCGGGGCGGAGTCTGTTGGAGGGGACATTGCTGGCACACGGCCCCTTTAGGAGTCCTGTCGCCGCCCTGAAATATCCGTCTGTTGCCACAGGGGTCAGACGTGGGCATGAGCGGTCAAGTTGTGAGGCTCTGGGCTCAGACTGTCTCGCTACAGCCTGAACACTTCTCTCCGGGGGATGGACGGAGCACACTGGGAGAAGCCCCCTGTCCTGGAAGAGTCCCTGTGCTCCAGAGCCTTGGTGGGCCCTTCGCTGCTCCGCCAGCCGGTGCTACCTTGGAAGTCAGAGCGCTGAGCAGAAGGCAGGAGACACGGAGTGGGCGGCTGTGCCTGTGCCGGGGCAGAGCCTTCCCTCGCGCGCAGGAAGGGAGGCGGGCGGCTGCTTCTGTCTTCTGGCCAGCGGCCGGCCTGCCCTGGGTGCCGGGTGCACATTGCCGCGATGCTGGATGCAGATTCCAGGCAGTGATGTTGGCCGTGTGGGCTAAGATGTTGGCCTCTTCAGCTAGGCCGCTGGGGAGGGCCCGAAAGCAGCAGTGTCTGCTCGTCCCCGTCTGTGGGCGCCCTGCCAGTCCCCCAGGGTGACGTGCTCCTGTGTGCAGGGCCCTGCTGACCTGTCACCCGACACCAGCACCAGGGCGGGAGGCGGGCGCTCTCCCACGCTTTGTCTTATGATGAGGCCACTGAGTCACAAAGCAATGAGCTACCTCACGCAGGCGGGGACAGACCTGTCAGAGGAGGGGTAGCCCTCGAGACGATCCTAGGAGGTGACGTAAAATTGTGAAGTGCATGTGGTGAACCCAGTCCGCTTTGTGCTACTTAGAAAGCGCTAAGAATGGTGGCAGGTTGGGGGCGGGGTGAGACATGGGCTGGAGCTGGAGGGCCCGGGCCGGCCCCCAGAGCCAGGCTGCAGTGGCCCTGTGGCTGGGATCCCCGTGCTTTGGAAGTGGAGCCATTCTTTACTTTTCTTCTGGTCTTGGAGGACGACAGATCTGGAAGGGGAGTCCCCTCCGCTCTGGTCATTCTGTGAGCTCAGGGCTTCGGGTGGCTTGGCTTCGCCACAGATGAACCAGCTACTGAAACTATTCCAGAAACTTCCGCTGGAGAACAGGTTTCCTCTGTGGGAACTGCTCCTTCAGTTTCACCCACTGCCTGTCGCTTAAGCCCAGAATCACCACCCGCTGGTGTCCCAGGCGTCTCCTGCTCGGGGGAGTGGACGTTCCCGGACTGGACGCGCAGGTGCGCCAGAGGCGGGCTGGGGGCAGTGTCTCGGGTTCCCCCAGCAGCGCAGGGCGGCGCGCGGAGCCACTGTGCTCACTCTCGCCCTCTGGGCTGCATTCACCCCGGGGCCTAAGCTGGGAGCTGCGGACACGGGGACAGCTTGGTTTTTGTCTCCTGACAATACACACACAACCATTTTCTGCTGCGCTTGGGGAAAACATAACTGTGGGGAGGATTAACTCTGACTCACGGTTTGGGAAGCAGAGAGAGAGAGAGACGCTTGCAGCTGCGGCGTCTGATTCAGCTTCTGATTGAAATGCGCAGACGCAGCAAAGTGGCCGCCCTTTCAGGACCCATGAGCCGTACGAAAACGACTTTGGCATAACTAGGCTACAGCGATTAACTGAATTCCCTCAACAGGCGCTCTTTTCCAAAATCCATTTCCTTTTCCATCCCTGACTGCCTGCGGGTTGACCTGCATCGTGACAGTCGCTGCTGATCTGGGTCAGGGCGCTCGGGACCGCCTGACCACTTCCATGGGCACAGGTGCCCTGAGACCGCTGTTATCACCCTGGGAAGGCCATGGTGCCCAATGGACGCTGGGAGAAAAGCCAGCTGGGATGGACCAGACTGCACCGGCTGTCCTCCAGACTCAGAACTCATTTTGGTGGCGGCCAGAGCACTGGCTTCAGAGTGATCTCTGATTCCTTGAGTTGTGTAGGGATCTGTCTTTCCTTTCACAGACTGCCAGGCGTGGCACGCGAGACAGAGGCCTCGCGAGAGCAGAGAAAGCTGCAGGAGAAGGCGCTGGGGCCTGCAGAGGCCAGCATTGGCCCTGGGAGCAGGGGTCCCAGAGCTGCCCCTGGTGGTGGGACAGAGCCTGCTGGGACACGTCGCACGCCGAATGCCCAGCTTGTGAGCAAATGGACCAGGGAGCGTGTCTGCCCATCCCTGAAAGCCTGGGGCGTTGCTCTGGAACTCAGACGTGGTTCTGAAAAGTTTACAGTCTGTGCTAAGGGGAGAGTGAGAGAGAAACAGGCTGTTGACTGCCTAGCCCTTTGTGTGCGGGCCCTCCTGTCCGCAGGCAGGCCTCACGCTGGGGCTTGCATCCGAACAGGCAGACTGACAGGGGCGGCCCCAGCCTCGAAGCTAACAAAGTGCTCTTGTCTGTTTAAGGCCACAAAGGATCTGTTACATCTTCCGATGGGGGCAGGTGTGAACAGAGCCAGGCCAAGGTGCTGGTGCCACGGGGGTCCCTGAGAGGTCAGATGAGATTCTCAAGTGAAAGCGCTCCTCTGCCCGTCCTCGTGTTTGCCTGGAGACCATAGCAGGAGCACTGGCCTCAGGGTCACAGGAGGTCCAGCGGTGGCTGTGCTGGTGGCACCCACTGCTTTCAAGCTGCATGCCGGGGCCAGCATTGGCCCCGAGTTAAGACACCACCTGGGCATCCACATCCCATATCCGAGTGCCTGGTGTGAGTCCTGGCTGACGTATGATGTTGACAGCCTACCCAGGGAGGTAACCGATGCCGGTGCAGCACTTGGGCCCCTGCCATCCGCGCGGGAGACCCAGGCTCTGTTCCCGACTCCTGCACTCAGCCTGGCCCAGCCTCAGCTGTGGCAGCCATTTGGGGAGTAAACCAACACGCGGAAGAGCTCTCTGTCTCTCTCTTTCAAACAGAAGGAAAGTAACTTGTTTAAATGTACCTGCTTACATAGATTAAAAAAGAAAAGGCAGTGGGTGAGCTGCACGCTGCCGTGAGGCCAGGCTCTCACTTCCCAGGTGAAGCAGCAGCTGCGGGCGCAGCTTTGGCAGGCTCCTGCCCTTCCTCGGCGTGCAGTGGGTGCATCGCGGGCAGGACCCTCAGGTGACAGTGCCGGGGGGGGGGGTCAGCCAGGGGTCGGCCTTTATGCACGGGGCCGCCTGAGCTCTAGTGAGGCAGAAGCCTTTCCTTCCCGTCCTCTTATTCCCGAGAGGCCCAGGACTCCTTGGCGTCTGCGTCGCGGAAGCCCGCACCACTTCCTCCTCCGGTTTCTCCCCTGCCGCGGGCTCTTCCTTGAGTGGACTCGACGCCCAAGGCCCAGTCCTTCCGCCCGCAAGCCTGCTCCTCCGTATGTCTCTGAGTGATGTGGCCCTGGCACGCGGGATGTGCCGCGGGACGTACCACGGGAGTGCGGCTGCTTCTGCTCTTCCCGGGCCAGCCTCTCCCCCACCTTTTCTAAGCCTGGCGGCACACGGGATACAGTCTTGTTAGAGTAGTCTCCTGTGGTGTGTACATTAGCTGGAATTCTTCTGGCTGTGGGTGCCCGTAGTCCAACTCAAACCAGCACCAGCAGAAAATGAATTGAGAACGTCAGGTGTCTCCTGAAGTCCAACACAGGAACGTGGCCGTAGAAACTAAACCTTGTGTGGTGTCGACACTTGGCTTCTCATACCGCCCCCCCTCCTGCTCCCTCTTCAGTCTGAGCCCCTGGCTGCTCTCTGCCCTGAGCTCTATGACGTGCTGTGTCTGCCCCTGGACACGCTCATCCTCTCGGTCTGAAGTCTGAGACTCCAGGGAGGGGGCAGTGGCTCCATTTGAGGAGGTGCACGGGGGCCCGTGCTGGCTGTGGGGGGTCACGTGGTATACAACCATGCAGGTGGAGATACAGTGCCCAGAAAAGGAGGCTGTCGGGGTACAGCTGTGTTCCCAGTGTAGCGTGGTGTTTGGTGTGTGTGTGGGCCTCCGTCATGAGACCTCCTGCTGCACGAGGGCGCAGAGTGGGGCCGACCCTCCTGTGAGGCTGCCCCGCCCCTAAACGGACCACAGACAGGTGGCTCGAGCATCCCCCTGTGCAGGAGGAAGCTGCCAACAAACAGCAGACTCCTACACAAACAACTCACGCTGGTCATTTTAAAACCCATACTTTTCCCCTGATTTTTCCAGGGTTTTCTGTTTTTACCAGCTCCATATCAACTAACTGCAGTATTACATCTGTTTAAAGATGATCTCACGGGTGGGCATGGGGAGCAGTGGTCAAGGCACTGCTCAGTCCACCCACATCCCATGACAGAACCTCCTGCTGGTGCCCGCCCTGGAGCTGTGTCCTGGGACCCACGTAGGAGATCCACACTGAGTCCCAGGCTCCTGGCTTCATCCTGGCCCAGCCCTGTCTGTTGCAGACATTTGGGGAGTGAACCAGTGGGTGGAAGATCTCTCTTCCCCTCCTCCGATCCTTTGAGTCAATAAAATACATAAATAAGTATGATCTCCTCTAATGGATGTGGGTGGGGAGAACCTTCAGCTGGTCACCCCTAGGAGAACTTGGGCAGGTGTCTTGGCTTTCCCAGCGGTCACTGGGGCTGGGAGCTGCTTGCGGCTGACAAGTCCGCAGCACCTTCGCGGTACCACTGAAGAAGGCTGGTGGCTTTCCCTAGCGCGAGGAAAGGCAGCCACGCGTGGGAGACGCATGCTGCTTCTGCTTCCCTATTCCTGCCCAGCCTGGGCGAAGCGACCGAGGCCCCGGCAGAGAAGGGCGGTGCCTCCTGCTGTGGACTGCACGCGGAGCAGGAGCAGAGCTGGTGTGGGAGGGGCCTCGTGCCGCCACAGTGCAGCGGGGGCAGAGGGAGCCCTGTCCCAGGCAGGGCTGGACGCACGCACGTCTCAACCCCTGGCAGCGGTGGGGAGTTGGCAATATTTGCTTTGAGATTACCACGGGAGGCCGCTCCATCCCTAACGTCCCCTCCACTCTAATGGCTCAGCTTGATCCTTAATCCTGTGCCTTCCTTGGTAAGAGAAGAGTGCAGGAGTGTGGCAGAGGGAAGGACTGACCTTGGCCTTGGGAACTGCCCGCCTGCTCCAGATGAGGGGAGCTGGCGCTGCCCTGTGTATCCCCAGGGATAGTTGTAACCTGGAGCTCTAACCTGCAGGCGGGTTCACCGCAATCGGCTTCCGTCTGCATCGTAGCAGCTGCATGCAGAGGAGGGTCACTGTTTCTCAGGGAGGCAGAAAGTACAACAGAAACTGTTGGAACAAGGAGACTTGGCTGAGTGCCCGGAAGTTGGGGGTGGGGCAGGGCAAGCTAGGATTCCTCCTGTTGTCCATCTAGCATTTGGGCACACATTTTCATTTTAGAATTGACATAAAATTTGTAAATCTGTTTTATTTATTCTACTTATTTGGAAAGCAGAGAGACCAACAGAGGTCTCCCATGTGCTGGTCCACTCCCAGAATGTCTGCAACACAGGGCTGACCAGACCAAAGCCAGGAGCCCGGGACTCCATCCAGGCCTCGCCTAGGATCGGCAGGGACCCAACTACCTGAGCCACTGCCTGCTGCCTCCCAGAGAGCCCTGGCAGGAAGCTGGAATCGGGAACGGAGCTGGACCCCGAGCCCTGGCCTGTGTTTTCTGGATGCGGGGAGCAGCCTGGGAGGCTGTCCTTGGGCTCATTTGACCTTGCTCTTGCTCAGAGCTGGCCCCTGAGTGGGTCCCTCCTCTGCAGAGGACTTGAGCCTTTTTGCAAGTGAACAGCCTCTTTGTGGTAACCAGTTTCCTGCTGGAAAATGCAGCGCCATGTTGGCATCTGGGGCTCCAGAGGGAAAAGGACACAGAAGCGTAGGACACGCTGTGCCTGTGGCCCTTCAGGTCCCCGAGTGACGGCAGTGGGGGCACAGGCCTCGCAGCGAGCTCGTCCCGGGGAGCGCTGCAGCCGGCAAGAACGCCCGAGGGAAACTGCGTCAGAGGAGGGCAGTCTGATTCCGCACTGCCGGGAGGAGGAAGCCTGGTGTCGTTCATCACTTAAGCGGCTCTGCCGTGAGGATCGCTCAGCTAAACCCTCTGCTTTGCAGCTAAGGCGACTGTATGGTTCCCAGTGGGGAGGGATCTTAAACTGTAGACTGGGTTATTAGCAAACCCCATCCGGTTGGCTGGCTATTTATTAATGCTGCACCACCTGTGTGGTCCCACGCATTCTTTCTGATATGCTGCAAGTCCAAGAACACCCTCTCTGTTCTCGTTAGGAACAGAATCAGGAGGTCATTTCTGTTGCTGCCTCTGTGTAAAGTGAGTCGTCCGTGCCCTTTGCGGACAGACCCCGGATGCGAGCCAGATGCCCACGGGGACAGTTGCCAGAGGCCCCGGAACTTGCAATGCGGCAGCCCTCTGACTTCTTACAGAAGCTCGCTCGCGTGCAGGGATTCCGTCAGCGCTGCCGAACCCTTCGCCGTTTCCTCGGAGACGCCCCTCCCCCGGCGCTGCCTGTCCCGGTCCCAGCAGAGCAGCGGCCCCCTCGGTGCCACGGCCCCCTCTTGGAAGCTTGAACTTTTTCAGAACCCACCTGTTTCCTTCTCAGGACTGTGATCTCTCTAGGTCTCGTCTTAGCAATTGCCAAAAATCTTCGTGCCAGACGGGTCAGAGGGGTCAAAAATAGGGCAGGGGATGGCACACGTGGAGCCCAGCCCGTAAGACGCTGGTTAAGCTGCCCGGGCCCCACAGTGGCGTGCGGGGCTCCTGCTCCAGCTGTGTGCTGATGTAGACCCTGGGCGGCAGCCGTGATGGCTCCGGTACTCAGGTTCCTGCCACCCACATGAGACTGAGGGACCTGACTGAGTTCCTGGCTCCCAGCTTCGGCCTTCCCAGGGGCCACTGCAGACGTTTGCAGGGAGTGAAGTGGTGGAGGGTAGCTCGCTCGCTCTCCCTCCCTCTCTGTGCCTCTCAAAGGACATTTAGGACAGGAATATCCTGGGATGCTTGGTCTGCTTGGTTTAAAGTCATCGTGGGGAAGATCAGACACGGCTGTGACTTTCAGGGTCTTTCCTCCCAGGGGGCGCTAAAGCTGTCGTCCAGGCCTCCGCTGGGTGCCGGTTTCCTGCAGCCTTCTCCGGGGTGGGGTCTCCCTGCCCCTCTGTCCTGCCCCTCGCTCTCCCCACAGCCCATCTCTGCTCACGGGAGGTGCAGCAGGGTGTGGTGCTCTGCCCTCCAGCAGCAGAACGGGACGTGGGGCGCCTGGCAGGGCAGTCACCGCGCCGCCCACAGCCGGCTCTGCCCTTGCTCTCCCGCTGGCCGGACGGGAGCAGGGACCGCATCACCTCGGGGTCTGTGACTGAGCGGCTGAGTTCCTTGGTTTGCCTGAGATTTTGACAGATAGCTTAGCGGTTCAAGCCTGGGCAGCAAAGGAGTAAGTTCTTACTGTCTGACTTTAGCTCCAAGTGCCGCGGGTGAAATTGCTTCTTGGGTTCCCACCGCCGTGTCTCCCGCCCGCCTTGCGCGCACGGGAATTGAGACAGAGGAAAGCGATCTGATCGCACTCGAAAATCCTGCAGCTTCTGGGCAGACAGCAGCTGCACACTCCAGGTCTGTGGCTCCCCAGAAGACAGGAGAGAACCCACACAGATTCACCTTGTCTCCTTGACCTGCCCAGACAGAGATAGGCGGCTTTGAACAAATAGATTTCTTGGAAAAAAGCACAAAAGTACCAGCCCATTGATTTTATGTAAATTGAAAGAAGGGGCAGGCGCCATGGCTCACTAGGTTAATCCTCCGCCTGCGGCGCCGGCATCCCATATGGGCACTGAGTTCTAGTCCCGGCTGCTCCTCTTCCAGGCCAGCTCTCTGCTGTGGCCCAGGAGTGCAGTGGAGGATGGCCCAAGTGCTTGGGCCCTGTACCCGCTTGGGAGACCAGCAGAAGCACCTGGCTCCTGGCTTCAGATCAGTGCAGCGCCGGCCATGGCGGCCATTCATGGAGTAAACCAATGGTAGACCTTTCTCTCTGTCTCTCTCACTGACTGTAACTCTACCTGTCAAATAAACAAATAAAAAAGAAAGGAGAAAGGCTTGGCCACAGTAAGTCATTTGCATTGGCAGGTAACTTGCCGTCCTCAGCTACTCTTGTGTGCCATCATGTCTGAGTTCTGGGCTGGTTCTGGTGAATTTTTCCCTTTATTGGACAACATATTTTCCTGCTGTTCATGCCTGGTAATTTGTACTGGACACTAGAGGCTGTACGCTGCACACTGTAGCTGGCTGGGCACTGACCACTCCGGAGTTCCTATAAATGACTCGGCTGTTGTCTGGGACACCGTGCGGCCCTTTCGGGTCTGGCTTTGCAGCTCTGTCCCCTTCTGTGTTTCCGACACAGGGCTCTGTGCGTCAGGTCTTCCGGTCCGGCTTGTGGGAGCGGTGCTACCCTACAGCTGTGTGAGCGCCAGGCTGGGGCCTTCTAACCCTCTCCCACTGCTCTGAGTCTGGCCTGGGCCGTTCCTAACAGAGGCAGCGGCTGGTGCTCCACGGCCTAGTCCAGGACTGTCAGATCCGCAGTCCTCTCTGGCGCTCCCAGCCCCCGCGGCCTTGGCTGTGACCACTGTAGGCCCCTCGGCCCCTCGGCGCCGTCCTCGTAAAGCAGGCTCCTCCTGGGTTCCTTGGGGTCCTCTCCTGCAGCCCGGCCTGCAAACTCCTTCAGGGCATCACCTGCAGTCTTCGTTTTGCGAGCTGTTATTTCACGTGTCTGCCTCCCGGTTGCTTGTCCGATGCAGTGCCAGCGTCCAGCCCGTTACTCTGGCCTGGCCGAGCCAGCGTCCAGCCCGTTACTCTGGCCTGGCCGTGCCAGCGTCCAGCCCGTTACTCTGGCCTGGCCGTGCCAGCGTCCAGCCCGTTACTCTGGCCTGGCCGAGCCAGCGTCCAGCCCGTTACTCTGGCCTGGCCGAGCGACCTTAATTGCTGCGTCTCCTCTCCAGCACCAGAAAGTCTGATGCAGGCGCTGGAGGACCTGGATTACCTGGCAGCGCTGGACAACGATGGCAACCTGTCGGAATTTGGGATCATCATGTCCGAGTTTCCTCTGGATCCGCAGCTCTCCAAGTCCATCCTGGCAGCGTGTGAATTTGACTGTGTGGATGAAATGCTGACGATCGCTGCCATGGTAACAGGTACTCTGGAATGGCTCTTCTCTTGGATTCGGAGTCTGCACCAGCTGTGGGTTTACACAGATCCATTTGGAATTGTATTTCAGGGGCCATATTTACTCAACCTCGTGAAGTGACTGGGAAGTCTTTGTACAGATTAAAGGGAAGGGGCCAGCACGGTGGCGTAGCGGTTAAGCCTCCACCTGCAGCGCCAGCAGCCCTTCTGGGCTCCGGTGTAAGTCCTGGCTTCTCACTTCTGACGCAGCTCCCGCTACTGCACCTGGGAAAGCAGCAGAGGATGGCCCGAGTGCTTGGGCCCTGCCCTACGTGGGAGACCCGGAAGAACCTTTGGCTCCTGGCTTTGGATCAGCCTATCTCTGGCCATTGCAGCCATTTGGGGAGTGACCCAGTGGATGGAAGATCTCACTTTCTGTCTCTCTCTCTCATTCTCTGTAACTCTGCCTTTCAAATAAATAAATTTTAAAAAGTAAAAGGGATACATGATAAGAATCATCTTTTATAAAAGATGTATTTATTTATTTGAAAGTCAGAATGACAAAGGGAAAGACAGAGATCACCCATCCACTGATTCTTTCCCCATATGGCTGGAGCTGGCTGTAGGCAGAAGCTTAACCCATTGTGCCACAAGTATGCATTTAACATGACAAAAGTCTAAAAACACAAAGTGGAAAAAAAAGAGATTTGCTTATTTGAAAGGCAGAGTTATAGAGGGAGGGTTTTGGGGAGAGGGAGAGTTAGAGGAAGGAGAGGCCAAAGCCAGGAGCCTGACTCGTCAGGATCTCCCACACGGGTACCGGGCCCCAGTGCACTGCTCTCCCAGGCGTGTTAGTAGGAGCCGGATTAGAAATGGAGCGGATGGGACTTGAACCAGAGCTCCGGTAGGGGGTGCCACCTTGCAGGCAGTGAGTGGCTTGACTCTGCCCGTGACGCGGGCCCCCAGAACCAGAGACCTTCTTAACCAGATCCGTGAAAACTTGCCAAGTTTGCTTTTGCTGGATTAACCGGTGTTGACAGAAGTGTTTTCTCCCAAACAGTGAAGCGTGCTGCTGGTTCTTGAGCTTCCTGCGGCTTCACCCACCCCCCCACACCCCACCCTCCCGCTTCCATGGCTTCACTTCCTCCTCTGCCAGAGGCACACGCTGCCCTGGGCCTCCCTGCTCCCACCTGAATCCGAGCAAGGTCTTTACTCTAACGGGCAAAGCTGGGAAGAGCAGACACACGGAAAAGGGGAGAAAGAACGAGGCTAGACCTCTGATTCTAAGCACACAGGAGTGACGTATTTACTCAGACAGGAGCCACCAACAGGCAGCAGCGCCTCCCCGCGTGTTGTGCTATGCGGTGTCCCCACTGTTGCTGACCCCGTGACCTTTTGTGTTTGAAAGCCCCTAACTGCTTCTCGCACCTGCCACACGGAGCTGAAGCGGCCGCCCGGGCGTGCTGGAAGACATTCCTACATCCTGACGGAGACCACTTCACCCTCATCAACGTGTACAAGGCCTACCAAGACACAACTCTGAACTCCGCCAGCGAGCGTGAGTGAGGCTCGGCTTGGGGGTCCCTGCTCGGTCCACCTTTTCCCCAGATAAGGCTAAGTTCTTCCGCCTTGGCATTTGGCAGATGCCCTCTTTAGCCCCGTGGCCTCGGAGTGGAATGGCACCCAAGGCCCCGGTACACCCCTAGGTTCCTGCTGCTCCCCTGGAGCTCCGGCGCGTGCCATGAGTGCATGTGTGTGCAGCTCCAGCATGGCCGCTTCCAGAGGGGGGTGCCCAGGGCAGATCAGTCCAGCTGACGTCCCTAAGTGCCAGCGTGTAGAACCCTGCTGTGTGCGGTCCATCTCGGAGCACTTGATTCTCCGTGAGGAAGCAGGACCCGAGCCTGTGGAGCGTGGAAGCCACAGGCCCGGCTGTAGGAACCGAAGCCCCGGCTGAGCAGGGGAGGTCGAGGTTCCCACAGGGCACGGCAGGGTCGGGAGGCCAGAGCCCGCGCGGGCAGCCCTGCGGAGCTCCCTCCCTGCCAGTTTTCGCACCTGTTTTCCCTGGAGCACCTGTGAGCTGGTTTGCCCCGGGAGCTGCATGGGGGACACTGACCAAGCCACGCCTTTGTTGCTGCACGCAGCCTGAGTGGCCGCTCCAGCCCACTGTGCAGAGGCCAGGTGCATTCCAGGTCAAGGCAAACCTGCAGTTACGGGCGGCAAGTTTCAGAGTGAGCCAGCGACTGGATCTGGCTGGGATAGGCGGCTTAGCGCTGAGGGGACTTCCCCATCAGGCCTCGGCGGGGCTTCTGCAGTGGCGTTCTCCTTGCTGATTAGACGTGGCCGTGCGTACCCTGCGGCGTCACGAGACAAACACTGACTTAACACAACCTCCTCTGCCCCGGGGGCCACAAAGGTGCGCTCCTGCTTCCCCAGCACCGGGAACGGGCGTTGCCAGGCGGCTGGGGCGGCGGAGCCCGCGGCACGGCCTCCCTGCCTTCCGCTTCCGCGGCCGCCACAGCCCGTCTCTGTTCTCCCTCCCAGACTGTGTGGAGAAGTGGTGCCAGGACCGCTTCCTCAGCTGCTCCGCCCTCAGGACGGCCGACGTCATCCGAGCCGAGCTCCTGGAGATCATCAAGCGAATCGAGCTGCCCTACGCGGAACCTGCCTTTGGCTCCACCGAGAACAGCCTGAACATCAAGAAAGCGCTGCTGTCCGGCTACTTCATGCAGGTACGGAGGGCCGGGCCGCCCCACCCCACCTCTGCAGGACGCTCGGCCTGCAGCCCTCACTTGGAACGGCCGTGCCGGTGAGGCTACAGGGAAGGCTCAGTCAGGTCACTTCAGCGCAGTGAAACGAATGATTCAAATCCAGCAGCTCGACCAGAGCAGGCTCTGAGGCTCCAGCCATGTGCCCAGAGACAGCATGCACACAGAAACGGAGGTGAGCTCAGAAGACCGCTGCCTTGGCTACAGTTTAGTCCAGCAACCAGTGGGTTGGCTGATGCTTAACTAAGTAGTTGTTTACAGCCTGGTCAGCGGACTGGCCCCGGGGCCTCCTGCGGCCAGCCCAGCTCGGTTCCTGGACTACACTCTATCGGTTTGGTTTGCTGGGCCCAGTGCAGGTGCCCAGTCCAATTCTATGGTATCCTACAAAATAGTGTTCAGCAGCTTTGTTAAATAGGTTCTTTATTTACTATTCAATAAGACTAAAAATCCATGTGATTAAAGACTTGGTATTTAAATATACTTCCTTTCATTCAAGGGCATAAAGGGACAAGCCAGGACATGTAACTGTCCACAAGGACAAAAAATCTTTTTCACTGTAGAACACCAGATACAGGGACTCACTCGCCTGTTTGCAGATTAGCTCAGTTTAATGAGTGATATTAATGCCCCACAATTCAAAGCCCTGTCTCCTTTCTTCCCCATAATGAGGGCTCACACACACACATCACAGCGTAGGCGTGGGCTTCACATCGTAGCAGGGAGAAATATGGAAGTTCCACATAAACTCTACCGCAGTCCTCGGAGATAAAGGCACTTCATCCTAGAGTTCTCGTCTGTCAGGAAGAAGCCGCTGCCCGCAGCACAGGGTCACTGTGAGGATTAAGGGAGCTGACGTACCCAGCGTGACGCATACACGCCCGTGGTGTGGCAGGTCTGTGCTCGGCTCTGTTCACGACCACAGGAAGTTAGCACACTGCCCTCACGCTGAGGAGGTCGGTCAGCATCATCACTGTCTGAGTTTTGGGCAAAGCAAGCTTGTGGCTTATTTTCTGCATTTTTAAGCTGTTCTGTAGTAAATACTCAGGGTTTCTTCTCAGCAGACCTTCATTCCCTCTGTGTTAACGCCGTGTCCTTCTCCTTGAAATGCCGCCCCTTAGATCGCGCGGGACGTCGACGGGGCGGGCAACTACTTGATGCTCACACACAAGCAGGTGGCGCAGCTGCACCCCCTGTCCGGTTACTCCATCACCAAGAAGGTGCCCGAGTGGGTCCTCTTCCATAAGTTCAGCATATCCGAGAACAACTACATCCGGATCGCCTCCGAGATCTCGCCCGAGCTGTAAGTCGGAGGGAGAAGCAAGGGCTTGCTTGGGAATGTGTGCGTACGGGGTGAACACAGACACGGTTCCTGCTCCACTTCCAGTTGTAAGCCTGGAAGTGTCGACTCCACGATGATCCCAGACACCTCTCCCTTTGAGGTTACGAAACAGGACAGCATGTCTTTAACAAGACGCTGGCGTGCACTGCGCAGGTGCAGGGACCCTGAGGGGAACGGGCGTGGCCTTCTCTCTGTGAGAGGAGCTGGTCGAGCGGGGAAGGGGAGGGGCGTGTGAGGGAGAAGAGACAGCCAGGGTGGGCTGCCGCCCGCGGTCAGGGCAGCGGCCTGATACCGGGGAGCCTGCTCGCTCTGGAAACCAGCTGGGCTGCCGCGTGCACATCAGGAAGTCTCTATTCTGGGGGGGCGGAGTGAGTTCTGCCAGTCGTAGCAGCAGGTGCTCCCTTCGGGGGAGTCTGGGAAGGGCTCAGGCCCAATGCTAGGTGTCCCTACGCCCACACGCCCTCCACCATCCCCACCCCCACTGATGGTTTTGTTTTGAACAAACAGATTCATGCAGCTGGCACCACAGTACTACTTCAGTAATCTGCCTCCTAGTGAGAGTAAGGATATTTTACAGCAAGTGATGGGTCGCCTGGCCCCGATCTCCACGATGAACAAGGAGGGTGAGAAGTGCCCCGAGAGCACCGAACAGCGATGCACGGTCCAGTGACTGCACCAAGCTCCACGCGCAAGGCCCCGGGGCGCCTGCCCCACGAGCACCACGCCCCGCAGGACGGTGCTGAAGGAGTAACGCCTGGTATGTGGTCTTAAAATAAAAATAGAGGAGTTTATTGAGTTCTTTAAATTACTATTCCATATTTTTCTTCTTATTGGAAAGGTTTTTAAGCATCCATTCACAATCTGACCCAAATTTTTAAAGATACAGATAGTGTAAATGTGTCCCAGACACATGGAACAGAACCCTACTTTTTGTAGAGGACTTCAAATAAAGTCACGAGTTTTCAGTAAACAGCCACTGCGTTTTCTGTCATTTTCCAAAGACGAGCCAGCCCTGTCCGTGGCAAATGGGTTAGACGGACAGATGTTCTTTCAGTTTATCCATGATCTCGTCCATCTTGTCGCCTGGAATCACCATCACAGTCCTCATGGGCTTCATGGGAACGTCATCGAAAGACCATCTGCCTCCCAGACAGGTGTCGCGGTCCTCCTGCACCGAGTAGCTGAACTTCAGGACTGCCTTCTAACCAGACAGATGACCGTGGGTTAAAATCGGGCAACCCAACGGCAAATCTCATCTAACCCACAACAAGTACTATGTTTGGCATGTGTTTCAGTAAGACTGACAGTGAAAGGAAGCACAACTTGAACAAAGGAAAACTTGAATGGGTCACTCTGGCAGACATAAAGCGCTCAGCAGTGTTTAACCCACGGGCGGAACACGGCTGGAGCCGCCACTTAGAAGTGAAGCAGCAGCCAATGATGTTACTGTTACCACCCACTCACACTGTCACCAGTCCCAAGGCTTTCATTCTCAAAAGGGTCTGTGACAGACAAGAGAAAATAAAATGTTCAGCTCTGGTAATTAAGAAGAATCAGCCTTCAAACGCTGGTCTGTTCCCATCCCCCAGCTCTTCCTCCGCGTAAAGCTATCATGTGGATACGAAGGAAGTCTGCACAGCCGGCCATATCAAAACACCCGTTCTACAAGCGTGACATGAACCCGCACTGGCAGTCTCAACAGGGAGAAGTGACAGCGTCCAAGTCAGGAAAAGCCGCCCCCTCCGATCCGTGATGACTCAGAGGAACGCTCTGCACTCGGCCCTCCATCGCGGTAGGAGAAAGCGCAGCAGCAGGGCCCACGCGCACACACAGGGCGCGAGCAGCAGCTCCAGGCCAACGGCTGTGCCATCTCAGAGGACTTCCCTCATGGCCCACGTCCGCGAGCCGGGCTGACGTCTACCTCACAGCGCAAGGGCCCAGGCAGCACGGCAGACACACAATGCCCGGTGACCGCTAGCCGGCCAGCAGCTTTCCTCCTCCTCCCCCTTGGGGCCGTGTGAGGCGACGTGCCAGGAGCTGCCAGCTGCCAGGGACACGGAACAGAGAGAGGCTGTACTCGGGGGACTGACATAAGCAGGAGAATAAGAAACTGGATTATTGCTAAGAAAATTCTTATTTAAATCTAAACGGGTGAAACGGGATAGTCTTACCTCATAGAAAAATTCTTCCTCTGCGTTTGCAAACATTAACTCTTCTTTCTTTTGGCTGCTCCGTTTCTTCTTGGAACTGCCTTTTCCTGCTTCCACAAACGTCTTACTGATCAGCAGGTAGAAGCAGCACTTCCCGCACGGCTTACTGGTCTTGTGTGCCTCCGCGAGTTCTTTCCTGCAAGACACAGAACACGCCGCTCTGTGTGAGGCGACACCCACCCGAGCAGAGCACACAGCACTCGGCGCCGTCTAAGAAACCAGGGAGGCAGCTTTGCGGGGCTCTGCAGTGGCTTCCGGAACAGGCGTTCCGTCTGGGCACTGCTAAAGCAATGGCTGTGCTGGTGCAGCCGGTTACACTTCAGACTGAGGGCACCACGTCTGTAGTGAACAGCGTGAGGAAACCCGATTGTGCTCAGTTGTCGACACAAAACAGCTTACGGATGAGCCACAGGTCTGCTCGGCATCACTGCTCCGCCTGTGCAGAAGTCAAAAACGTCTCAGAACCTGAATGTCTCTGAAGCGGTGACCCTTACCTGGCACACAAAGGCGCACCTTATCCAGGTCAGGACAGGAGCCCGCGGCAGTGACTTAGGACTAGCCCAGAACTACTTCCTGACCTACTGCACAGACGGCGACAGCCTGAGTTCCAGAACAGTTCATGGAGTGACAGTGACGGCTTCACGTCCTGACAACTGCACAGCCCTGCGTGCCGGCGCCCCTCGACAGAAACGAGCTTGCTTTCCTAAAGGACTGGGGAAAGCACCCTCTGCGAAACCATGGCAAGGTGCGCTCCAGCTAACCAGAAACCAAAGCAAGGGGCAAAGGGCACTCATGGCAGGACAAGTGCAGTCTCAGCGGCAGCTGAGGGTGGGAGGCCGCACACCGAGCCAGACCTCAGGGTCCCCGAGCGGGGCCCCTCCACAGGCACCGTGACGTCTGAGAAGGAACACTGCGTAAGGCCTGCGTCTGTACCGCATCTCTGTTTCAAAGGCAACTTCACTCAGCTAAAAGATTCCACAGCTCTTCTTGAAAATATCTCTGTAAACTTCTAACTCCGACATTAAAAAACAACCCCAAGGAGCCAGAAACACAGAATCAGAACTATGGCTTCATTGATTATAAAGCATACTAAGGAATCTGGGAATGTTACTGTTTTGTGACTGCTGTACTGTGTCAGATGTGAGTAAAAGTCTATGTGAAACCCGCCTACCTGGGGCAGGCATTTGGCACAGCAGCCGAGTTCCTGCCTGGGACAGGAGCCCCCATACTGGAGCCTCCACTTCCAATCCAGCTTCCTGCCACTGGGCACCTGGGAGGTGGCAAATGACCACTCGTGTCCTTGGGTTCTTGCTGTCCACCTGAGACACCCGTATTGAGTTCCAGACTCCTGGCTGTTGTGGGCATTCCTGGGTGGGGTGAACTAGTGGATGGAAGGGCTCTGTCTGACTTTCAAATAAAATGAAAATAAAAATTTGAAAAAAAAATTTCAGCTACTTCAATACCATTTATTGTCAAAAATAATAAAAAACCTGATTACTGTGAATGTATGCACCTCACAGGATGTTTCCTCTACCCTCGTCAGGCCAAACTTAACCGAGGGTGGAGCTCACTATCACTCCATATTCCACGCACGTCCCAGGACTGGGCTCACGAGGGCAGGCTCCCGCTCAGAGGCATTTTGCAAAGGGTCTTACTGCAGCTGCTGGTGCATGGGCAGGGCGACCTGCGGGGGGACGTTCATGAGCCTCTCGCTCAGGAGGAAGCCCACGGGCTTGCTGGCGTCCTGCAGGAGCGCGTCCAGCTGCTCCACCACACTCTTCTCACAGCTCTTCTCACAGCAGCTTAGAACCAGCTCTTTGATTTGCTCGGCACACGGGGTACCCTGGAAAGCAAAGAGACGGCAGCCCATCACTCAGGACAGACGTGAAGGTGAGCCCTCCTCCCGGCCTCACTGCTGAGGGTGGCTCGGCCCTAGCCTTTAGTGTCTGTGTCTTCAGTGCTGACGTTTAAGTACTTCTCCAAGTAACTACCCTGGTTAGTTAGCATCCCGCGGTCAGTGCCCACGAGAGGGTTACGGTGAACACTGACAGTGCAATGGCAATTCTAGTCTCAGACACGAGGAAGTAGCCAGACAGGTGACTTTCAAAGTGAAGACTGAAGTAGCTGCATCTTATTCTGGGAGGTGAGCTGCTCTACTTGAGTCAGTAATGGCCTCACTAAGGAGCCTCAACCGCAGCAGCGACAGACAGCCCCTTGCCGTCGGCAGACCAGCGACAGGACAAGTCCCGGACCAGGGGATGACCGTGATGTCTGGACAGAGCACCTTCCCGTGAGAGCAGCAGTCACCAGACCTCCCAGGAACACACATCCCCCACTTACACTAGGGCACACGATACTTCCATCAAGCTGTAAATGAAAGTGGTTTTGGTCCACGTATTCATTCCAATGCCTCTGGGTGAAACTGACCTTTCTCTCGGTTAAATTTAAAAGGCTTATGAAGCCGAAAATCTCATCTTCATCCATATCATCATCGCTGTCTTCTGAAATGTCTGTTTGCTATTTTAAAAAGAAAAATATTTAAATTTTATATTTATTTTATAGTTCAGTTTTATATTTAGAAAGAAGTGTAGTACCAAGTCTTAGAATCTAGGCCACATTTTTTTTTTTTTTTTTTTTACTTCTCAGAAGCTAAACACTGCTTTACTGCCGTCTTAGGAAAGCTCTGTATCCTAAACACCGTGTGACCTTCCTCATGCCCCTCCTTCCCACGACTCTGCCTCTGACCCTGGACCACCTCAACCTCTCTGAATTTCTTTATACTTGACTCTTAAGACACCTCCCTTTGCCAGATTCACAATATAGCATGACTCCAGAGAAGATAAAACTCATCAAATAAAGCAGTGAAACTTGTCTTCTAAATTAACTGGCTGGAGCCAACACGTTTGTTTCTCTGCTGGTCACAAAACTGTCCCACCAGGGCCAGCGTCACGGCCAAGCAGGTTAAACTTCCACCTGTGATGCCGGCATCCCATATGAGCACTGGTTTGAGTCCCAGCTGCTCCACTTCCAATCCAGCTCCTTGCCAACATGCCTAGGAAAGCAGTGGAAGAAGGCGTGGGCCTTATGGCCATGTGGTGAGTGAATCAAGGGATGGAATATCTCTCCCTCTCTCTCTAACTCTGCCCTTCAAATAAATCTTTTTTAAAAAACATCAAAAAACCTGTCCCACCTAAAACCCATGCTGATGAAGCGCTTGTCAGTCTGGTCTGTCAGTGAAACCGACAAGGCTTATACCCACCACGTGGGCAGCAGAGAAAACAGGAACACAAAGAAGGAAATGAGCTAAGAAAACTGAATTATTGGACACAGTGGTTAAAAACACTGTTTCTCATACTGGAGTACCTGGGTTCAACTCTTGGCTCTACTACGGATTCTAGCTGGAGCTAGAGAGGCAGCAGGTATTGGTCCAACTCGTAGGGTCCCTGCTGCCCATGTATGAGACCCAGCTCCCAGCTCCCAGCTCTGGTCTGGCTCAGCTCTGGTCTGGCTCAGATCCAGCAGACAAGAGCTATCTTCTGTCTCTCAATTTTGTAAAAGGCAGGATGGGTGGGTGCAGGTGGGGGAAGTGACCTGTTAAGATTTCTGCATCAGGACCAGTGTTGTGTGGCACTGCATCCCATATGGGCACTGGTTCAAGTCCCAGCTGCTCCATTTCCAATCCAGCTCCCTGCTAATGTGCATGGGAAAGCATCAGATGATTCAAGTATTTGGGACCCTGCTACCCACGTGGGAGACCCAGATGGAGTTCCAGGCTCCTGGCTTTGTCCTGGCCCAACCCAGAAGCTGAGGCCATTTGGGGAGTGAACCAGTGGATGGAAGATCTCTCACCCTCTCTCTAAGTCTACTTTAATAAGTAAAACTTTAAAAAAAAAAAAAAAAGTGCCTATATCACATATCGGCATCCTGAGTTCAGCTCCCAACTCTGCTTCCTGACCCAGCTTCCTGCTCCTGCAGACCTGGGAGGCAGCAGGTAATGTCTAAGTAATCCAGTTCTTGCCAGCTATGTGGGATGCATTCCACTGGGATGCCTCGGTGCACCGGCCACATTCTCTCCTTTGCCCATCTGCTTGTCCAGGACACGGCAGGGAGCCTGGCACACAGTGTACTGGGATACGTGCTCAATGAAAGAATGAGGCTGCTGCTTCTATACCAAAGGACGGCTGAGATCAACAACTGCCCCGAACGTCCTTGAACCTGTCCTGGTGGAAGGGACTGAACAAAGCTCCAGCCACACCCTGTATCATCAGTTATTGACTTAGGTACAGCCTGCAGTCCTCAGCAAGACAGGTGTCACAGGAACTCGGCTCAGAGAACAGGGTGGGTATCAGCCTCTTCAGGGGACAGGAAGTCAGCAATCAGAGAAGAGACCGGTTCTGCTTGAGAGGGGTGCAGGACCTAAGTTGATGACATCATTAAGAAGGAATTACAAGGCTTTAAAACCAATCAAAGGGGCATGCCTTTGGTGCAGCAACTGTCACTTAGAACACACACATCCTATTTTGGAATGCCTGGTTCAAGTCCCAGCTCTGTTTCCAATTCAGCTTCCTGCTAATGCACACCTTGGGAAAGAGGCAGATGACGGCTCAAGTACTTGGGTCCCTGCCACCCACAGGGACAACTTGGAAGGTGTTCCTGGCTCCTGGCTTCAGCTTGACCACCCCTGGCATTTGAGGAGTGAACCAGAAATAACAATACTAAAAGGCTACACAAAACATGAACCTGGTTGTTGGGGATCACCATTCCCTCCTGTTGTAACAGGAAATGGTGGGATGGCTCAGGTAAAGCCTCAAATGCCAGAAACCGTGTGCCAAGGTGAGAGAATTCTTAGGTTTAACAAAGCAAGATGAGAACAGAAGTAGAGAGAGAAGGTGACTCATGAGGCGCCAGCTTCACGAGAGGACCACCACGTGTCTGCTCACGGAGGAGGAGGCAGTTCAGAGAAAAAGCAGTGGATGAATCCGTTTTCCTTCTCCAAGATCAACCTGACAGTCTGCGGCCACCAGAGTACCTGCGGCCACCGCAGCAAAGCCTGGGCAGGGACGACAGACGAAAGGCCAGGCCAAGGACAGGGGACCCTCAGTGTCAAGGCCCGAGGCCCTGGACTTGTTAACATGGCTCAGGTGGTTAGCTGGGACACACTCCATGTCCCGTCCTGCAGGTCTGTCAGTCATCCAGGAAGCACCACACAGGGTGTGCCTTGGGTCCTTCCTCAGGTCACAATCACATCGCCACCCACCCGCCTCTGCCTGCCCCAGGAAATAACACCACCCGTCCTACCCCCCACCCTTCCTAAGCCTCTTCATTTTTCACACAGTGCTAGCCCGTAAGCACTGGGCAATTCACGACAGCCAGAACGTGGTGAAGCCTCTCCCCTTAGTCTCTAGCTTCTCCCTCCGACTCACACACAGGCAACCTGCTGTTCTCCCTGACGCTTTGCTCTCTGCGACCCTAGGGACTTCCTGCTGAAGGGGAATCCAAACCCCCTCAATCCTAAAGGCTCCAGGAAAAGTCCTAGGATCAACACGCAGGTGTGGCTGTGGACGGAGAAGCCGTAACTGCAACTAGAGCTACCTGCGTGACTGGCACTCACTAGGCTGAGTCCCTGCCAGCTGACCAGCTCTCCGGGATGAAGCAGCTGCCTCTCGCTAGGAGCTACAGTCGGCCTTTGTCTACTACAGCAGGCAGTCTACCAAAGGGAAGTGACCACAGGTTACGTTTCTCTGGTTTCTTTACACGTCCTGCCACAAGGTCACTAATGTCGTCAGAGCTCTGAGACGTGTCCATTCTGTTTAGTAACAAAGATGCTGGTGCCCCTAACATTCAGGGTCAGAATTTTAGTGGCATAAAAGATTAAAGTGTTTGAGGAACAACAGGAGAGGAGGCAGGAGCCGTGAGTAAGGTCACATTTCAGGAATTCTGGCTCTGAAGACACAGTGGGACTGCTGACGGTGAGGGCAGCCTGGAGCAGACTGACAGGAGCTTCTGGTTTGTTTTTCACAATGGGACATAGAGCAGGGGTTAGGAACAAGAGAAGACATCAACAGTGCCAGCCACACATGGCTCACGCTTGCCATTGCCAGCCACTGCTCTGAGTGCTCAGCTCCTCTGCTTCACCGCCCAGCCTGCAAGCCCGGTGCTGGCGTCATCTGCAGAAACGGAAACCTTCCAGCGGTTGCGGCGGACTGTGTCTTCCAGACGGCCCAGAGCTCTGTCCTGCCCCTCGTTCTCTTCTGACAAGGTGACCCACGCTCCTCCCATCGAGTGGGGGCGCGGGGCCCTGGGCAGCTGTCTGCTGATCAAATGACTGGTGGCAATGACACCATCACACAATTCTAAGCACTTCCGCCTGGCTCTTTCAGGGTGCTTGCGCTTGGAACCCAGCGCTGCAGAGGGGCCCCCGTGGAGAGGAAGCCAGGCCCTGGCTCACCATCCAGGGTGGGCTCCCGACGGACAGCCAGCTACCTTGCTAGTCGAGTGAATCACGTGTCATCTTGGACGAGAATCCTCCAGCCCCGGCTGAGCCTCTCAAGCTCACGGGACACCGAACAGGAGCTGGATGAGTCACGCCCACTAAACCTCAGCCAGCCTCCAGTGCCCAGAGCTCTGATCCGACACGGGCCGTGCGGCAGCTCGTTACGCAGCAACGGGAGACTGGACAGGCCACCAGAGAGCAAGGACTCAATCCAGTCTCGTTTTGCTGGACTCTGAACCTGAAAACGACAACTCCCTCCTTCGAATGCCCCCCTCCGCTTAGCACGTTGCCCACCACTTCCCTCCGCCTCTCCAGTCACGCCTCCAGTCTCCTGCACTGGCTCTGTGCCGCATGTCACCCACCCGAGCCCTGGTGCTGTTACCAGGGTGCCTGCCCCCAGCCCACCCTGGGCACTCCCGGCCACTCCCCGACCTCATGGCCATCTATCTGCTGCCCAGTGCATCTCTTCCATACATCACAGGGCAGCTCGAACTCAAAAGGCAGGAATCCTCCTCCTCCTCCCCAGCTGCTGTCTCGGGTGCTCCAGCCCGGATTCCTTTTCCTCTCTCGGGTGCCAACCACACACTACGCCCCTCGTACTTCATCTCCCACGTGTCCTCTGAATCAGCCCGCTTCTCCCTCGCCATTGCCTTCCCTGCACTGCTGCAACGGCCTTCTTCCCAACGCAGTCACACTTGTGCCGACTGGAGCCGGACAGGACAGGGGACCGGGCACCAGCATCGACACAGCTGTCCTGCTCACCTTAATCACACTCCCAACATGGTTCTGCTGAATCAAGAGATCTGTTAGCTCTGCCGTGTTCACAGGAGCCTTTAGGAACAGCTGGAAGGGGAGAAAGTTACTTTCAATTAAGGTCAAAGCATCATTTCTAAAAAACTTAAAATCTCATGTTCAAATGAAAATAAGGAAATTGCAATGACTCCATCAAGGTGACCTAGAAAAGCAACCCCAGGAGGAAAAGAAATTCACAGGAGAGTGAACGCTGAAGGGAAGATTTCAAGAAAGAGGGTCCTGGGGGTGGTCCTGGAGGGTCAGAAAAGGGAAGGAGTAGGGGAGGGAGGAAGATGGACACAGACCGCGGCGTCGGGCAGAGGTCGGAGCGCCGAAGCCATGCCGTACAGGGGGAGGAGTCGACGGAGCAGCAAGCGCTGGACAGTGCCGATGGCCCACAGCTGTAACCAAGAACTGTTGTACCCACACGTGTGGGTGTGAACTACAGAGAACAGGACAGCCGCTCACACAATGAGCGGATGAGGGAGGGACACAGGCTGCTTGAACACACTCATCGGGGGTCCGGGCGCAGAGGCAGAGGCAGGGGAGTCAGCCTGGGGAGGGGGACATTCCTCCTTCCAGGGAGGTGCACACAGGAACTCTGAGGATGCAGCCAGGCAGCATGCAGAATGGCCTGGCTTTTCTTAGATGAAGAAATTTACGCGTAGTAAGAAAAAGACAATACCTGCTGCAGTAATTTCTTAATTCCGTCATAATCATTATCTGAGATGGAGTAAGCTTCAAAATCAATATTCACTTCCTGTAAATAATATACAAAACAGGTCACCACACATTTTTTAAAATGACATTATTTTAAAAAGGCATTATTTTCTAATTTGCAGATTCTTTTTTCTATTTGTTCTACAGAAGATACCAGAAAAAGGACAAGAAGACAACGCTACTTGAAGAGCTATGAATGCCTGGACTTCAAACAGGTTCTCTGGGTTTGGAATCTGGCTCTGAGCTGCAGGATGTCGGGAAGAAAGCAGACCTGGCTTTTGCCTTGCGGTCGTGTGTCTATTTAAGACGCTCCCTTGGCTGATCCACCTGCCAGAGCCTGGGCACCCCACCCAGCTCGCTTCAGATCCTGACTCTGAGGCAGACTCTGCCACACTGTGTGAAACCCAGGGCACTGGCTGGGGAAGCTCCACACAGGGTCAAACTCAACCAAATAACAAACTGTCATTGTTCAATTTTTTTTTTAAGATTTATTTTGCTTACTTGAAACTCAGAGTCAGAGAGAGAGAGGGAGAGAAGTCTTCCATCTGCTGGTTCACTCCCCAAATGGCCACCACAGCTGGGGCTGGGCCAGGCTGAAGCCATGAGCTTCATCTAGGTCTCCCACGTGGGTGCAGGGGCCCAGGCACTTGGGCCATCCTCTGTTGCTCTCCCAGGTGCACCAGCAGGGAGCTGGACTGGAAATGGAGCAGCCAGAACTTGAACCAGTGCCCACATGGGATGCCGGCACTACAGGCAGCAGCTTTATCTGCTACGCCGCAGTGCCAGCCCCAGTATTCAAGTCTTAAATGTACCTCTAAGAAATAAATTCTTCAAATAACCTTCTCCTCGCACTTCTTCCCTGTCAGGGTAGAAGCCTCGGCTCTCTGTCCTACACTGCTGTGGCATCCCGACTGCAGCAGACGCCCCATGGGTGAGCGTCCAGAACCCTGCCCCCGAGTAGGGGTCCTCCGAGGTGTTCCAGGGAGCAGCTCTGCAGAACACAGCACTGTCTCTCTCTCTCACACACACACACACACACACACACACACACGCTGCTGATGCGGAATCTACAAGACTATGGCATCTAGTCCTGCTCTTTTGAATAAAAATCTCTGTTGGTATTACTGACTGACTGCTGTAAGGAGAAACAAAGAAAAAACAAACACTCCTGTAGCAGCAGAGAAGAGCAGGGCAGAGAACCGTGGGGGGCGCTCAGCTTCCCGTCGCTCTCCTGGACAGGACCCCAGCTACTCCTTGGCCCTTTTCTCCTCCGGAGTTGTCCTCTGGGGCTTCCAGGAAGCATGGAAGTCCCAGCCCCAGGATCACAGAGACTAACTAAACACGCCTAGCCACTACTCCTTTCTGAGGTTCCCTAACACACCCTGCTGTCACTCGCCTGCTGCCCCCCTTGTCCTTTAAATCAGGCTCCTTAGGGCTTTAAATAACCACGCACAGTTCCTTATTTCCTCTATACTACAGATCAGAGGTGCAGCAGATCTCCAGTTTCTAAAGTAATTCTCATGGATTCTATACCAAGCAAATGAGCAAGCCTCCTTCAAATGAGAAAAAGGTCCACTGGGTGCACACGGGAACTGACTAGAAGTTTCTTCAGTCCAAAGTCATAGAGGTGAGACTGGTGTTGTGGTGCACCAGGTAAAGCCACCACCTGCGGTGCCGGCATCCATATTGGCACCAGTTTGAGTCCCAGCAGCTCCACTTCCAATCCAGCTCCCTGCTAATGCACCTTGGAAAAGCAGCGGAGGACGGCCCAAGTGCTTGGGCCCCTGCTACCCCTGTGAGGCCTGGATTTGACCTGGCCCAACCCCACCAGGCCATTGTGGCCATTTGGGGAATGAATCTACAGATGGAAGATGGATCGATCGATCAATCGATTGATCTCTCTCCCTCTCTCCCTCCCTCCTTCCATCTGACTTTCAAATAAATAAATCTTTAATTAAAAAAAAAGTCACACAGGCTTGGGTGTTTGGCACAGGGGCAGCTTGGGATGTCACACCCCATATTAGAGCGCCTGGATTAAGTTCCGGCTTCAATTTCAATTCCAGCTTCCTGCTACTGTACACCCTGGAGACAGCAGGTAATGGCTCCCGTACCAGGGTCCCTGCCGCCCATGTGGGAAGCCCAGACTGACTTCCCAGCGCCTGGCTTTGACCTGGCTATTTTTGGGGAGTGAACCAGTGGACAGGAGATCTCTCTCTCTTTACTTTAAAATAATTAAGAAAAAAAAAAAATCATACATGTCAGGGGTAAAAAAATCACAATGAGGGGCTGGCGCTGGGGCGTAGCAGGTAAGGCCACCATGGCTGGTGGTGCCGGCATCCCATATGGGCGCTGGTTCAAGTCTCAGCTGCTCCTCTTCCAATCCAGCTCTCTGCTATGGCCTGGGAAAGCAGAAGATGGCCCAAGTGCTTGGTCCCCTGCACCTACATGGGAGACCCAGAAGACACTCCTGGCTCTTGGTTTTGGATCGGCCCAACTCTGGCCGTTGTGGGCATTTGGGGAGTGAACCAGTGAATGGAAAACCTCTCTCTCTGCCTCTGCCTCTCGGTAGCTCTGCCTTTCAAATAAATCTTAAAAAAAAAAAAAAATCACAATGAGAGCAGAGTTAGAATTATAAAGTCTTATAACATCCCCCACTCCAGATTACTGTCAACGTAAGTCATTCTTTCAAAAGTCGTCAATACACAATCAAATGCGCCTTGTTTCGTAAGTGCCCCGCAGACTGCACAAGCTGTTCTCCCGTAACCTGCCACGCAGCCCCGGCTGTAAAATGATGGCAGTCCCCGGCTTCATGGATGATGTGAGCGTTCAACGAGTTCACACAAAACACGGAGACCGGAGCAGCAGGCACTGCTGTGAGTACTACTGAGGGTAACTCCTCACCAGCAGAACTGATCAGGGCGTGTACGGAGTACATGAAAAAGCTCATGGATTTAAAAGGCTAGTTTATTTTGGTGCAAAAAAAATCTGAAATCCATGCAGTTTTTTGGGAACACATTTTCACGAACTTTCTGAAGCCCTCCTTGCAGGCATGGATTTCAAAATTTTTTTAAGATTTATTTATTTATTGAAAGTCAGAGTTGCACAGAGAGAGAAGGAGAGGCAGAGAGAGAGAGAGAGAGAGGTCTTCCATCCGCTGGTTCACTCCCCAATTGGCTGCAATGGCCGTAGCTGTGCCAATCCAAAGCCAGGAGCCAGGAGTTTCTTCCAGGTCTCCCACACGGGTGCAGGGGCCCAAGCACCTGGGCCATCTTCTACCACTTTCCCAGACCACAGCAGAGAGCTGGATCGGAAGTGGAGCAGCCGGGACTTGAACTGGCGCCCACAGGGGATGCAGGCACTGCGGGCAGCAGCTTTACCCGCTACATCACAGCGCTGGCCCGAATTTCAAAATTTTTTATCAAAATATATTTTAGTTCCACATTCTAAAAATGTATTTATTTAAAAGACACACACAGAGAGAGAGGCAGAAACAGTCTTCCATCCCCAGATGGCCGCAGGGGCTGGGCTGCACGAGGCCCAGGACAGGAGCCCGGGGGCCGGGGTCCAGGCTCTCCGGACGCCCTCCGCGGCTCTCCCAGGCGCAGGGGAAGCCGAGCAGCCGGGCTGTCACCGCCGCCCGACCCGCTGCGCCCCGGCGCCGGCCCGGGTCCCACTTCCCGCGCCCTGACGCCGTTCCAAATCCGCCAGATTCGTCATCGCAGACTCCCAGTGCCTGTTTGGCATCTGTGATGGGTGCCAGCCACACGGATGTTTAATCCCAGACGGCCCCACGGACAATGCAGGAAGCACCCCAAGTTAGCAAAGCACAGCTCCCAGTGACGAACAACGGGGGCGGAGAGGAAGGGGCCGGGACCCACTCCCCAGGGCGCCCCTCACCCACGCCCCTCCCGGCTCCCACCCTCCGCGACCTCGTGCCCGTCCCGGCCTCCCGCCCGCTCCCACGCGCCCATCCCCGCCGCCTCTCCGTCCCTCGGCCGTGAGGACGCGCGGGGCACGGCCGGGCTCCCGCGCAGCCGGGACAGGACGGACTCCGAGGCCCCGCCGCCCCACCAGGCAGCGAACCATCCACAGCCCCCAGGGACGCTCACGGCGGGCATCCGGGCAGGAGCCGCCGGGTGGAGAAGGCTGCAGCCGCCGCCACACACCCTCGGGGACAGGGAGGCCGCCTCGCCGCGCGGCCCACACCACGGGCCCACGGCCTCGGTCGCCACAAAGTTCTCTCTCAGGTGTAAATCTAACCGGGGTAGCAGGTGCTTCTCACCTCGTCAACGATCTCGTCGTCCTCATCCTCTTCTTCGTCGCTGTCTTCCTCATCTTCGTCCTCATCCTCAACTTCATCTTCCTCCTCCTGCTCATGGCGCTGGACCGGGGCGCCAGGCGGCCGCGGGACCCCATTCCCGACTGCTCGCCGCTTGGACCTGGACGCCATGTTGCCCCCCCACCGATGCACACTGCGCCTGCGCACCTCCCTGTCCTTTGACCTTCCGGATTAACGCATACCGGCTAAGGGGGTGGACCATTACAAAGGACGCCGGCGCAGAGGCCACGTGAGCCCCAGTAACCCTAATGGAGTCCAAAGACATATGAGCCCCAGTAACCCTAGTGGATTCCAAAGCCATGAGCTCTCAAAGTCGGGCTTTTCTATCTCCGCTCCTTTTCACTCCAAGGTTTCTCCTCCCCTTCGCGCAGTGGTTCGACCCACCCCGCGCGTGCCTCCTTCCGGCGGCCGAGTTGCCAGTGCGCACGCGCGAGCGCCCAGCTGGGCCAGGCGCGGGCAGTCTGACGCCTGTGCTGGGGTCTGGACGTGCGGGGGTCTGGACTTGCGGGGACTCGGCCCTCGCTGCGGTCCGCGCAGCTCAGACTACGAGGGGAAGGGGCCGGTCACCCCGCGTCGTCGCCCCTGAGGCCTCCTCGCTGGGTCCGCGCGACACCCGGGCAGTGGCCCTTCTCAGCGCGTTCAGCCTCACCTGCCCGCGAGGTAGGTGTCCTGCCCGCGGAACCTGTGACAAGGAGCCCGGCGACGCGTCCTGGCGACGTGGGACCGCGAGTCCGGTCTGGCCCCGGCTCCCAGGTCAGCGGGCCCGTCCCGATGCCCCCGCGCGGCCTCCCCCACAGCCGCTGGCACGGGCTCGCCCGGGACCGAACCCCTGGCCTTGCTGACCCTCTTGGCCTGCGAGTTTTTCAAGACAGGAGCCAGCCCTGACATGCGGGGGGCGGGCGCGCGGGGCCTGGGCGCCCTGCCGGCGCCTGCTGGGAGGCGGTGACGGCTCAGGTCCTTGGGGCCCTGCCACCCCTGCTGGACACCTGGCTCGAGGTCGGGGCTCCTGGCTTCAGCCTGGCCCAGCCCCCGCTGCGGCCGGCGTTTGGGGTGTGAGCCAACGAGTGGGTGGGCTCTCTTGCTCTCTCTCTCTCTCTCTGCCTTCCAAATAAATAAAAGAAAAAAAGACCCAGGAGAGAGCGCGCTAACGTATCGATAGAGTTGTGTCTTGAGTGATTCTTCCCATTTCTTCATACCTTCTTATTGTAAAATATACGTAACAAAAGTTACTGTTTAACCATTTCTAAGCTCAGTAGCGTTAAGCATGTCCGCGTTGTGCAGCCATCACCACCATCCGTGCTCACAACTTCCCTTCCTGCAGAGTTGGGTTCTGTGCTCATTAGAGAGCATCCCTGGGCTCCTCCCCTGCCCGCCCGTGGCTGTGAGGTCGCGGCTCTGGGACCCTCAGCAGGAGCAATCAGGACTGGCCCTCTTGAGGCTGGGCAGGATGTCTCCAGGTCAAACGGTGTTACCCCGTGTCTGGATTCCCGTTGTGTGTGTGCACCACATTCCGTGTATCTTTGTGGACACTGGGCCGCTCCTGTGTTTAGCTGTGGTCAGCACGGATGCAGACATCTCTCCCTCTTTCAGTTCTTTGAGGCCTGTACCTATTCTGTTCTGCTTTTTATTTTTTGAAGAACTGCACTATTTGGTAGACTGCACATTTTGCACAGTGACCAAGTATCGTTTTGCTAGTAGAAGTGGAGGAGGCTTTGTGCCCTGGGTTCCCCGCGTTGAGCCTGTGGTCAGAGTGTGAATTAGAGCAGCAATGTGATGGCCACTTGTGTTCTCAGTCAACAAAATACGGTAGGGGCTGGCGCTGCTCCACTTCCGATCCAGCTCCCTGCTAATGGCCTGGGAAAGCAGTAGAGGAGGGCCCAAGTGCTTGGGCCCCTGCACCCACGTGGGAGACCTGGAGGAGGCTCCTGTCTTCACCCTGGCATTTAAAATCATTACGGAAACATCCTTTGAAAATGTGGAGCTCGGGGCTGGCATTGTGACACGGCACACGGGCACCGGTTCATGTCTGGCTGCTCCGCTTCTGATCCAGCTCCCTGCTATGGCCTGGGAAAAGCAGCAGAGGACGGCCCAAGGCTCGGGCCCCTGCACCCGCGTGGGCGTCCAGGAAGAAGCTCCTGGCTTCAGTCTGGCCCATCGCTGACTGTTGCGACCATCTGGGGAGTGAACTGGCAGATGGAAGATCGCTCTGTGTCCCTCCCTCTCTCTCTGTGACTCTGAGTTTCCAATAAATAAATAAATCTTTAAAGAAAAGAAAATGTGGGTCTCTGTGTGCCGGAGCCTGGAACCACGGCAGGAGCGGTAGGGGCTGAGTGGCGCGCAGGCCGTCCTGTGGCTGCTCTTCCAACAGCTTGTGGTCCCCGCACCTGCTTGCTGTGTGCCCTGGAAGGATTTGTGCTTTACCAGACAATGTCAAGGTTGGGACGGGTGGTGTGGCGCAGTGGGTTAGCCACCATCCACGATGCCGGCATCCCATATCAGAGCACCAGTTTGAGCCCCGGCTGCTCTGCTAATGTGCCTGGGAAGGCAGTGGAGGGTGGCCCAAGTGCTTGGGCCCCTGCACCCACGTGGGAGACCTGGATGGAGCTCTTGGCTCCAGCCACGGCTATTGTGGCCATTTGTGGAGTAAATCAGCAGATGGAAGATTCTCTCCTTCTCTCTCCTCTCTCTCTCCCCTCTCTCCCCTCTCTCCTCTCTCTCCTTCTCTCTCCCTCTCCCTCTCTCTGCTGCTGCTGCTTGTATGCCAGATTCCTGGACTCCCTGGGTTGGAAGCCGTATTAGATCAAGCAGAGGGAAACACTTAGGACATATAAGGGTACTTCAAAAAATTTGTGGAAAATAAAATTTAAAAAGTAAGCTTATTTTGGTGTCAGATTTTTAAGTCCATGTATATCAGGAGTTTTCAGAAAGGTCATTATGGAAAAAAAAAAAAAAAACTGCCCTAGCATGTCTGAATTCACGGTGCAGGTCATCGAGGAGGGCAGCTGACAGCGAGGGCTGTGGAGTGTCCACAGGTGGGGTCTCTCCCTCGGGGGAGCCGCAGCTCCGCCCTTGCTGAGGCCTCTGGACCGATGAGTGAGGCCCAGCCGCACAGCCCAGCATGGCCTCCTCCTCCTTAAAGCCCAGAGGACCTGCAGGGCACACCTCAGTTAGCGTTGCAGACAGCTGTGATCCGGCCAGTGCAACACGTGAGAGTGACCGTCACCCATGCTGGGCCCCAACTGCATTTTCAGTAACCAGAAAATGATGGGAACCACAACTGCTCCTCCCTGGAGCGCCCCGTCTCAGCCAACACCTCGTGGAAGCAGGCAGACCTTCACCGAGGCTTCGTTGTTGGTGGAAGCAGGCAGAGCTTCACCGAGGCTTCGTTGTTGGTGCAGGGCAGTTCCTTCGAGCCGGATTTCCCTCCGATGTTCCACAGATGCTGCAGTGGTCCAGACCCAGTCAGAGGCAGCCCTGAGGAGTGGCGCCCAGCGTTCGCGTCCACTTCCAGCAACGCGCCCCACTGACTCATCAGCCACTGCGGAGTGTTCGTTAAGCAGCTAACCGCTGGCTCGGATGCTGTTACGAACGATCAGCATCATTTCTTTTGAGGCCTTGGGTGGTCATAAAGTGCCTTCCCTCAGTACTCGGATGTGATGTTGCTGGTTGAAGAGCACTGGGCTCATCCTAACCTGCGAAGATAATTCCTGTGAATATTTTGGTACATTTTCTTGCATATATATGTGTATATGTAAGACTTACAAAGTCATACTGTTTGTGTAGTCCTGAACCCTGCTTTGTTTACTTTTATTTGTGATTATGTAATACTTGTGGGTATCTTGATAACCTTATGTAACTATGCTGTTAACCATCCCCTCTATTGAGTGTTGCACTGTTTTCAATTATTTGCAGCTATAAAGAATGTCTACAGATTTATTTATGACTATTGCCTTAGTGTGATTTTTAAAGTAATTTTATTTATTTATTTATGTATTTAAAATTTTATTTATTTATTATAACAGAGCTACAGAGAGAGACAGAGAGGCAGAGACAGAGAAACCTTCCATCCGCTGGTTCACTTCCCAAATGAGTACAATGACTGGAACTGGGCTGATCCAAAGCCAGGAGCTTCTTCTGGGTCTCTCGTGTGGGTGCAGGGGCCCAGGTACTTGAGCCATCCTCTGCTGCTTTCCCAGGCACATTAGCAGGGAGCTGGATCAGAAGTGGAGCAGCCAGGACTCCAACTGGCGCCCATATGTGCCACAGTGCTGGCCCCAGTGTGCGTTCTTAGAAGTGAAATTATAGGAAGCAAAGGTATACCATCTATGAGGCCTTTGTTACAGGTTGACAGATTGACTTCCAGGTCATTTGGCAATCTCCTAATTCTGACAACAGTTATGAAACACCAGGTGGGGAGTGAGAACTCAAGTCATTATTTTCTAACATGCCCCTATGAGCTGTTTAGTGTGTTTATCTGGAATTGAAAGTAGTTCATCTCCTCACAATTTCAGATTTGTTTTGTTACTGATCCAACCCAGAGTTCTCACCACTTCCCTTCTGTGAGCCAGAGATGGTTGGTGGGGGCCCCTGGCTTGCAGGAATGGCTGCCATCCACCTCTGAGCGGTATCGGCTGCTAACACGCCTGCCCTCCTTGGTCTTATCAGTGGCCCCAACCTTCAGAAAGAACAAGCCCATTTACGCCAAGTCACGGTGAGGGCGGGACAGGCCCCATCCATCATTGCTTACAGCAAGAGCTGTTGAGAGCCGACTAAGATCTGCCTCTGCCCTGTCCCTGCGCCCCTGGGGACCAGCAGGCAATAATGAAGGTTCTTTTACTGAAAGACGCCAAGGACGACGCCTGTGGCCAGGATCCATACGTCAGGGTGAGTAGCCTGAGACTTCTGTCCCATAAACCCGTGGTGGAAGCAGGGGGCTGGAGCAAGGCAGGGCGGGGGTCTGCTAAAATCCAGAGGAGATGGCACAGAACAAGGCGTTAATGGGACATGGGGGCCTTTTCCTCACGTTCAGAACTGTTCTCTCGTTTGCAGGAGTTAGGATTACATGGACTTGAGGCCACTTTGATCCCGGTTCTAGCATTTGAGTTTTTGTCTCTTCCCAGTTTCTCAGAGAAGGTAAGCCCAGTCTCCCCCAAGCCCTTTCGTGGTGTTTTTATTGTCTGTAGACTCCTTGCCAGGCCCAGCCAGGACTGTCTGCTGCCCCTTTGTTTTGCCACCATACTTTAAAACAGAGCGGCACAGCCTGACCTGGTCGCGGGGCACTGCTGGGGGATTCTCCGAGCCCCTCCCACCTCCTCCAGAGAGGCCCCCAGTCTCGGAGATGGGCCCCGGAGAGCAGGGCGTGGCGAGAGCTAGACCTGTGCTGCTCTCCGCAGTTCGGAGCCCTGCACTTGGATCCTCTCGTTTAATCCACCGCCCGCCGCAGCCTCTGCAGAGCAGGCAGGGAGGTGTCTCTTCCCGCTGCAGAGATGGAGGCCCCGGCTTAGGCAACGCGGCCAAGGCGTCCAGCAAGGGAGGGGCGGGGCCAGAACCCAAACCCAGGGCCTCTGCCCACAACCGCAGTTCTGCTGCCAGGTGTAGGAGTGGCAGGCAACGCAGGGGACAAGTCTGGTAAAGCCTTCTGGAAGTTTCCAAGTGGAGATTCAGTCCCTCAGCCTCAGTGAGGTCAGGTGTGTGCAATAGCCTGTCTCAGAATGAACGTTCTGTAGGTTTTCTCACCGTCAGTTTCTTGGAAAATCGGGCCTTCAAGACAGACGTCAGACGTCACCCCCTGAGTGTTCTGGTTTGTTTCAGGCGCAGTTCAAGCCTGCCCTCCCCCTGCACTGCACCCCAATCCCAGGCTGAGTGAGGGTGCTGCTCTCTACTGCAGTTTCGCTTTTCACCCTGTGTTGGCCTTGCCTGCTCTCTGCTAGACCAGGAGCTGCTGGGGGCTGGGGAGAATGCTACGCACCTGTGTATCCCGAGAGACCTAGAATAGCTCTAGGCTTGTCACAGGCACTCTGTAAGGCTGGTGGTTGGATGCCTGGCTGGGTGGGAGGAACCGGTCTGGCTGCTGCTATGGTAAAGCGATTAGAATTGTGGGTCAGGACTCCCTGGGAGGTGTTGGACTTGGCAGTGACGTAAGTGCCTCTGCTGTTTTGGTGTGCAGCTGTGTCGTCCTGAAGACTACGGGGGCCTCATCTTTACCAGCCCCAGAGCCGTGGAAGCAGCACAGCTGTGTTTGGAGAAAAGCAGTAAAGCTGAAGGTGAGAGCTGTCTCCTGGGAGCACCACTGGCCTTGCTTTTTTTTTTTTTAAAGATTTATTTTACTTATTTGAAAGACGGAGTTACAGAGAGAGACAGAGACAGAGAGAGAGGTCTTCCATCCACTGGTTCACTCCCCAGATGGCCACAACGGCCGGAGCTGCACCGATCCGAAGCCAGGAGCCAGGAGCTTCTTCCAGGTCTCCCATGCGGGTGTAGGGGCCCAAGGACTTGGGCCATCTTCCACTGCTTTCCCAGGACATAGCAGAGAGCTGGATCGGAAGAGGAGCAGCCGGGACTTGAACTGGCGCCCACAGGGGATGCAGGCACTGCAGGCCAGGGCTTTTAGCCACTGGGCCACAGAGCCGGCCCCTACATCTACTCTTATTCTTCCCCTTGGTTACTGTGTTCCAGAAACGGCTTAGTTCTGGGAAAGAGACGGCAGGGCCACTGCTAGAGGCAGCAGACATGCCGAGGGGACTCTCCCCCATGTCTTTTAAATGACCAGTTGGGCATTCGTGTCTCCCCCGGAATGTACCAGGCTCCAGTTTCTTCCTCAAAGAACATGATAAATCCCACTTTCCTGGAAGAATGAAGATAAAATCTAACAAGACACGGGTAGAGTACCTGGTCGGTATTTAGTGACTAGGCCGTCTGTGTCCCCTTCCTCCCACCCCTCGCCTCCCTCAGAACAGCGTGCAGTCACGCGGCCATTGGTGAACAGCGTGCAGTCACGCGGCCATTGGTGAACAGCGTGCAGTCACGGAACCAGTGTGAACAGCGTGCAGTCACGGGACCAGTGTGAACAGCGTGCAGTCACGGGACCAGTGGTGAACAGTGTGCAGTCACAGCCCAGTGTGAACAGCGTGCAGTCATCAGTCATGCGGCCATTAGTGAACAGCGTGCAGTCACGCGGCCAGTGTGAACAGCGTGCAGTCACGGGCCAGTGTGAACAGCGTGCAGTCACGTGACCAGTGGTGAACAGTGTGCAGTCACAGCCCAGTGTTGAACAGCGTGCAGTCATAGGGCCATTAGTGAACAGCGTGCAGTCATGCGGCCAGTGTGAACAGCGTGCAGTCACAGGGCCAGTGTGAACAGCGTGCAGTCATCAGTCACGCGGCTAGTGTGAACAGCGTGCAGTCACGGGCCAGTGTGAACAGCGTGCAGTCATCAGTCACGCGGCTAGTGTGAACAGCGTGCAGTCACATGGCCAGTGTGAACAGCATGCAGTCACGGGACCAGTGTGAACAGCGTGCAGTCACGCAGCCATTGGCCATTGTGAACACTGTGCCGTCAGGTGGCCAGTGGCGGGCCTCCAGCTCCCTGTTCACACTCACTGAGCACTTCCTCCCTGACCTTTGTGGAGAGCCTGCTGAGCACCAGGCTCTGTGATACTTTTTTTTTTTTTTTAATTTATTTGACAGGTAGAGTTAGACAGTGAGAGAGAGAGAGAGAGAAAGGTTTTCCTTCCATTGGTTCACCCCCCAAATGGCTGCTACAGCCAGAGCTATGCCAAACCGAAGCCAGGAGCCAGGTCCTTCCCCTGGTCTCCCATGTGGGTGCAGGGCGCAAGCACTTGGGCCATCCTCCACTGCACTCCTGGGCCACAGCAGAGGGCTGGCCTGGAAGAGGGGCAACCGGGACTAGAACCTGGCGTCCATATGGGATGCCGGCGCTGCAGGTGGAGGATTAACCTAGTGACCCCGGTGCCGGACCCTCTGTGATACACTTTTACACCAGTCTCTCACTTAACCCACTCAACAAGCCAGAGGCACGCAGTGCTGCAACTTGTTTTCCAGATGAGAAGACAGGCTGGCTGAGGCCGCAGAGCCCGTCAGCACGGAGCCGGGCGTCCACCCACTGGTGGACTCCACACGGTCCCAGCAGGGAGCGGAGGCAGCAGGAGGTGGCTCCCACAGGGCTTTGGCATGTGCCAGGGTTCGGGTCACATGGCCATTGTGACCATGGCAAGTTCCATGGCATCCCTGCCCCTCGGTTTCCTGGTCTGTCAGGCGGGCATGGGAACGCCTCCCTCACAGGGTTGTTCCTCCTGCTCGCTGGTTGGAAGGTGCGGGTGCCTGCCGGGTGCCCGATGCCACCCAGAGCCCTCCACCCGCTTCCACCTCCAGTTGCAGAGGAGGAGCCCAGAGAACAGAGGCTGAGAAACTCACCCCGACACGCAGTCCGCAGGTCACAGGCCACAGGCTGAGTCATGCCGCACCTGTTGTGCCCCCAGGAGAAGCCAGGGCTGGCCTGGAGCGCGATGAGTGTGGCGGGTCATTATCCCTCTTCCCGATTAGCGGCTTTCACCGAGGCCCGCGTTCGCGTTCCTGCCTGCTGACGGGGAAGTTGGCCGCTTGTAGCTTGTGTAGCCTCGCCTGTGTTGCGTGGGGGCTTTGCCCGACAACTGTGTTTAAAGAACATTTTCCCATGTTTTCTTACTTACTCTGATTTTAGAGATATATAGTAGTTAGCTCCAGTCATTTTTTTTTTAAGGCCAAGAAGTAGTGAGCTCTTTCATCTACTGGTTCACTCCCCAAATGCCTGCAACAGGCTGGAGCCAGGAGCCTGGGACTCAATCCAGGTCACCCATGTAGATGGCAGGGCCCCAGGTACTTGAGCCGGCACCTGCCTCCCAGGGTGCATATTAGCAGGAAGCTGGAATCAGGTAGAGTCAGGACTGAACCCTGGCACTCCAATGGGGGACGTAGGTGTCCCGAGCAGCTCGTTATCCGCTGGGCCAAATGCCCACCCAGTCCCAGGTATTGTGATGAAGAAGCAGACCAAAGGGATTGCCTGTCCGGGAACACCCTAGTCAGGAAGAGCCGGCTCCACGGCCAGGCCCCCTCACTCCCCCCAGGTCAGAACTGGCTCCATGGCCAGGCCCCCTCACTCCCCGAGTCAGGGAGAGCCGGCTCCATGGCCAGGCCCCTCATGCCCCCCAGGTCAGAGCCGGCTCCACGGCCAGGCCCCCTCACTCGCGTGGTGGTTCCCCCATGGAGCTTGGGAGGGAGTTTGTTCACATGCTCTGGTAACTTTAAAGTAAATGAGACTTACATTTGTGGAGTAGGAGAGAAGCTGAGACTTCGTCTTTGGTTAGTGTTTGGAGTCTACAGCGTAGAGTAACTGTTGGATTTAAGGGGAGAGAATGATCATCAGATTTCAGAAGGGGAGAATTCTTTTATTTTTTAAAGATTTATTTATATATTTATTTGAGAGGCAGAATTATAGACAGAAAGAGGGAGAGACAGGGAGAAAGGTTTTCCATCCACTGGTTCATTCCCCAAATGGCTGCAATGGCTGGAACTGGATTGATCCAAAGCCAGGAGCCAGCAACTTCTTCCAGGTCTCCCACATGGGTGCAGGGGCCCAAGGACTTGGGCCATCCTCTACTGCTTTCCCAGGCCACAGCAGAGAGCTGGATCAGAAGTAGAGTAGCCAAGACTTGAACTGGTGCCCATATGGGATGCCAGCAATGGAGGTGGTGGCTTTATGCCACAGCGCTGGCCCAGGGAGAACTCTTGTTGCTGGTCTCCTAAAAGTGGAGTGAATGCCCAATGGTCTTTTGGTATACTTATGTAATCTATTTCCTTTCTTTCATCCACAATTAAAGTTTTTTTTTATCATCTCATGGTAGTATTCTATGTGAAATTGTTAATGAGCCTGAAATGTGTTATTTCCACTCTGACCTCACGCATGAATGAGCCCCCACCTGAGATTAGTCTGATGGCAGCGTTCAGACTTATGTCCCAAATAAAACTAATTGTCCTTTTATTAGACAGTTAAATTGCTTTTTAAAATAATTTTTGAAAAACTTCTTTATCTTAATGTCACCATGCAAATTAGCTCCTGAAGTCGTGGTTGCTTCCCCAAGAGACCATGGAAAGGCTCCCAGTGCCACTGTGAGAGTGAGGTCATTCGAGACGCTGCATTCGCCAACGCGGTTTTTAAGACTTTGCCAGCAGAGTTCGGCGCCGTGGCTCACTAGGTTAATCCTCCGCCTTGCGGCACCGGCACACCGGGTTCTAGTCCCAGTTGGGGCGCCGGATTCTGTCCTGGTTGCCCCTCTTCCAGGCCAGCTCTCTGCTGTGGCCAGGGAGTGCAGTGGAGGATGGCCCAAGTGCTTGGGCCCTGCACCCCATGGGAGACCAGGAGAAGCACCTGGCTCCTGCCATCAGATCAGCGTGGTGCGCCGGCCGCGGTGGCCATTGGAGGGTGAACCAACGGCAAAGGAAGACCTTTCTCTCTGTCTCTCTCTCTCACTGTCCACTCTGCCTGTCAAAAAAAAAAAAAAAAAAAAAAAAGACTTTGCCAGCAGAATCCAAGGAATATGCAAACGGAGTTCTAGTTTCGGATGCTGTTCTTTAGTCTGGTGTCCGAGGGTCTGCCGTGCTCCTGAGTTTCCAGGGGGAAGACACAGCTGGGCTGCAGCCAGGGAGGGCCGTGGCGGTGTTTGCAGCTCCCAGCTCACGTGTGATTCCGTGTTTTGCAGTCTGGGAAAGGTCTCTGAGAGAGAAATGGAACGTGAAGTCGGTGTATGTGGTGGGCGGTGCTACTGCGTCCCGAGGTAAGGAATCGAGTGGAACCCCAAGCCGGGCTTACCCTCCCGTTTTGTTTCGTTGCACCTTAATGCAGTTGAAAAATACGGTTCTTTGTGTTTACAAAAAGTAATGAGTTTATTAACTCTGAGATGCCGTTGATAAAGTAAGAATCGACTAAAACAGAGATATTCAAGCATTGCTAAGTGGCATTAAACAAAATTGGTGATGTCTTTGGATGTACCTTGTCAGCATCTATTCAAAAGCTTTATTAAAATGCCGTGACCTTTGGTCACTTAGTCCCATTGTGAATGTATTTAATGCCAATGAATTATACACTTAAGAAATGGTTAAAATGGTGGATTTTGTTATGTATTTTTACTACAATAAAAAAGCCTAAACCTCAGGTGGTGGTGTGGTTGGTTTTTACAGTTTTCTTAATATCTAATGTATTTGTCCAGGTAGTCTTGAATTTATGTATTCTTTTCAAAGCCTAAGAGGTGAAAAGCAACTCATTAAAAATTAGCATTAAAGCAAGTTAAATACTTAAATGGTGCTTGACAATTATGAATGGATTAGCTTGTAGCTATTTCACAGTGGTTCCGTTTGTCCAGATTAATTTTAAAATGTCAAGGGAAGACATAGTATGAGAATGAAAGTCGTTCAGATACTAAAAGCACATTTTCCAGACAACAAAATAAGGTTGGTGACTGCAGAAGACGCCCAGGGCTCCCGGACCGCACGGCCCGACCACAGCAGGGAGGGGGGATCAGTGACGGGGTGGCCCAGGGCCCCACCTCTTTGCCCCCAAAATAAGTTACGAATATGCTTGCACTGCCTCTTACTTTTTCTTTTTTAAAAACAAAGAGGAAAGTAGTTAATGTAGGCGATTTCTGATTCAGTAGCCCAAAAGTCAGCTGTCAGATGTAGAGTACACTTACAGATTTTCTTAGCTAGGTTTCTGAGCTGCAGATTCACTCTCACACATCACCGCCCTGCAGTCTGACTCGGCAGCGTTTGCCCTCGCTGCTCTGCCAGGTGAGAAAGAAGCTGAGGAGGCGCTGCCGTGAGCGAGCGGCCCGGAGGGTGCCGTCGCCCACTGGCAGCGGGCGAGCTCCCGGCCGGAAGGAGGAGACGCAGTAGCCAGGAGGCAGGAAAGCAGGGTTTGGCAGCCTCACAGGTCTGGGAGGAGAGCCATCTCCCTGACACGGGCGTCGGTCGGCCAGCTTGAGCGTTCTCAGTCCGCCTGCTGACAGATGCTCCAAGGAGCTCTCTTGAGTGGCGTCTCCAGACTCCCTGAGGCTCCTGTTCGTCTGGTTCCCAGCAGGAGCCTGGACAGCTGGGAGGAGAGCAGGCTGAGTGTGTTCATCCTACTTGTGCTGTGCAGCCCGTGGCCCCAGACCTCAGGGGCTGGAAACGGCAGCATTCACTCTCCTGGCGTTTCTGTGCCGAAAGCGTGGGCCTGGCCCAGCTGGCTCTCTCCGGCTCAGGCCACCCCCAAGCTGCGCTCAAGACGGTGGCCAGAGCGGCAGGCATTGTGGCCTTTTCTGCTTGCCGGCTCACCCACAGGGCCTTGCTGGGCCGTGGCAGCGGCTCCCCGTGCAGGACCATCCAAGGAGCCAAGGCACAGAAGTCAGGGTCTCCCACGCTTTCTTGTAGTTTTGAATCAAGTCCTAGGCCATTCCCACTCGAGTGGAGGGAATGGCACCAGAGATGAGCCCCCCACCCCCGGCCCCGGCTCTGGCTGCCCCAGGCACGAGAGGCCGTGCATGGGGGTCAGGGGAGGGACGTGAGAAGCAAAGAGAAGCAAAGGTCGGCAGTAGTCTAGATGTAGCCATGGAAACAGGGCCCAGTGGTCCCCAAGGGGTCTCGTGGGGAAGTGCAGAGGGGAAAGGTGCCCGTCACTTCATGAACGGAGCCGCGTGACTTACCTGTGCATTACTAGTGGGTGGGCGGGCCTTTGCTGATAGCGCTGTGTGCTTTTCCGTGTGGTCCACGTAAAATCTCCCGAGATCATTTTGGGTGTGTAATGTATGCATATTCTAGAAAGATCTCAGTTTGCATCAGAGAGCCCAGGTCGGTTGTCTTTGTGACGTAATGCCCTGTAACCCCACCAGTCTCCCGGGGGAAAGCCCTCCTGTGGCCGCCCAGAGGTGCGGTGCCCCTCCCCCATCTGATCGTAGGGTTGGCACCTGAGGACCATCTCGGGGCCAGAGTTGGCCTTGTAAATCCAGATACACAGTAACCTAGCAATGAGCAGCTCAGAGACTTCCTTGTGAGGTGTCTGTTCAAACTGTTTGAGCGAATGATCATCACAGGTATTAGTACAATTTATGATGGCCGCTAGGAGCCCCTGTCGCACACCAGGCACGGTGCTGTGCGCTTCATGTACATGATTTCTCATTTCCATCAGGAAGGTTTTAGGAAGGTTATTTTACTGCTCTGAAAACAAAAACCAGCCTGAGAGAGGGGAGTAATGTCCCAGGGTTACAGTACAGCTGTTGTTTAAATCCAGGACTACATTTCCCCAAAGCCACCATACCCCATTTCACTATTTTTGAGCCTTAGCTTTTTTTAAATAGATATTAAATATTTATATATTATATAATATATATTTTAAATATACATTTAATATATATTAAACTTAAATATTAAATTTAAATTTTAATAAATTTTTAATTTTTAAATAAATTTTAAATATTAAAATTAACTAAATATATATTTAATATGTATTAAATGTATATAAAACATTTTATATATCTATATATATATATATTTGAAAGAATCAGAGGGTAGGGGGAGAGAGAGAGATCTTTCATAAGCTGGTTCACTCCTCAGAGGGCCACAACGGCCAGCGCCGGGCCAGGCCAAAGCCAGGAGCCAGGAGCTTCACCTGGGTCTCCCACACGGGTGGCAGGGGCTTAAACACTTGGACCATCTTCCGCTGCCCTTCCCAGGCTATGAGCAGGGAGATGCATTGGAGGTGGAGCAGCCAGGACACGAACTGGCGCCACCACCAGCCGGGGTGGCTTAACCAGCTATGCGGCAGCACTGGCCCCAGCCAGCCCTGTGTTCTGTTTTACACATTACTCTCTGCTAGGTTTTCCCACAGCTTTGCTAATGTCCTCAGTTCCCATTTCCTGGTTCTTAACTGACTTGCTTTTGCACTGAGGGTTTCATTTTACCTTCAGATTTACCAACTATAAACACTAGCCGGCAGATATCTCCCGACGTGTTTACACAAGCCCAGGATACTGGGTCCACTGCGGCAGTCCGTGTCTCCCTCGAGCGTAAGAAAACCTGGTGGCAGGTTTGTCTGTGGCCGGCGTGGTTCACTTAACGCAGCTATGGAGGAGTGAAGTTTCACCATCAGCTATTACCTGGGGAAGGCCCTGACCGCAGACTCGCCCAGGCCCAGGAGCTGGCTGAAATGCGTGTACCGATGATGGAGCAGAGCCAGGCTTGCCACACGTGCCTGAAATCTTAGACCAAGCCTGCATTCCTCAGATGTTTTCAGAACCTTCTGTGGGCCGTGGGTGGACGGAATGGCCCCAGTCGCTGCCCTCGCAGGCACAGCTGGCCTGGTGCAGCCTCACCCCCCGGGTGGTAGCGCTTGTCCTGCCCACGGGCTTGTGGTCAGGATCCAGCGAGCAGGTGCACACTCTGGGAACAGCAGTGCCTCGTGTGGGAGTTCATGTTCAAGTCTAGATGTGGATGCTGTTGTCCTGTTGCCTGGGGAAAAGGCTTCTTGGTACCAGTGTTAAGCGCACTGTCACAGCAGGCTCTTATGTCTCGGTTCCGTTGGTGGTGGTTGTCAGATTCCTTGGTGCAGGTAGCCCTTCCAGAGGCAGCCAGAGGGAGGAGGCCCAGCGCTGGCCGGCTCTGCGGCGGAAGCGAGGGCTTTGGCCCTGAGTGCAATTATGGCTGCGTGTGACTTGTTTCTCTTTGACTCAGCACGTTTTCTGTGATCTGTAAACTAACGCTGCCATTGAAGCCGCTGTCGGTTAGTAGCCAGCCCTCTTGTTGACTCCGAGATGGGAGGCCCGTAGCATCTATCCCAGTGGAGTTCCACAATCCTGTGAGCCAGCCCTGGCCTGCCTCCCTCAGCGTCCGTGGCAGAGCGGGCACGTCTTCCTGTCTGGAAAAGTGCGGGAGAGCCCGGCTTTGCTTGCCTCCTGCTGAGCTCACACGTCTCTCCAGAGCGGCCAGCGAGGCCCCTCCCCGTAAAGGCTGCATCTGCCTGCTGGGTCTCCCACATGGGTGCAGGGGCCCAAGCTCTTGGAACTTCTTCCGCTGCTCTTCCCAGGCTATGAGAGGGAGCTGCAGCTTATTGGAGGACCTTCCCCATGTCCCTCCCGTTTCAGGCTGGCCGCGGGGATCTACATCTCTCTGGACAGGGGCTGGCCCCATCTCCCTAACAGACAAGGGTTCTGCAAGGCAGCGCTGAGACCCTGGCTGGCAGGAAAGCAGCCTTCCCCACCCCCAGCCAGGGGCTGCGCGCTCACCAGCCACACAGTCCAGGCAGCCCAAGTGGCTAGAGTGTCCCCCTCGGGTGGATGAGCTCCGTGGGGCTCCAAGAAGTTAGTCAAGGCCCCGAGAAGTTAGTTAAGGCCCGAGAAGTTAGTCAAGGCCCCGAGAAGTTAGTCAAGGCCACAAGAAGTTAGTTAAGGCCCCGAGAAGTTAGTTAAGGCTCTACTCTCTGCTACACACCTCGGAGGGGAGGGGCCAGGACCCGGCGCCTTCGTGGTCTCGGTGGACACAATTCAGAGGAGACTTGGTGTGACTGGTGCAGAGTGTGTGTGTTACGGAGTTCTGGTCAACTGCAGGCCACACAGACTTGTTCCCGGCAGATCATGGCCCAGCTGAAACCTCCTGGTTACACCGGAGCCATTGTAGCACAGCAGGGCTGCACATCGCTCGGGCCGTGGTGACGGCTGGTGTCCACAGACCTGCGCTACCAGGAATGTAGAGCATCTACGGTTATGTAACCCCTGGTAGTGCGAGCAGGTGTCTTGGTTTGCGTGCTTGCTGCACTTCTGGTCACTGTTTTAGAGCGTCCTACACGCTTGTAGGACAGGAATGCCCAGCTACACGGGCAGCGGCCTCCTCTGTCTCGTGTTCACTGGGTCTCTTGGTCACATCACTGTCGCCTGTGCATAACTGAATCCTGTGGTGGTTCTTTGTGACCCTGTGGACACATGCCACGTGGCCCCGATGTGTCGCAGGCTGTGCCCTCCAGACTCTGCAACCAACACATTTCTCAGAACAAAACCCCTGCCAGTAAGAGATGCGTAGCTGGATTTGCACATTAAAAATAACACGAGGGAAAAGGACTTCAAAGCCCCCTAAAGAAACACTTGTCTGTGTTTTCCAGTGAGTAGAATCGGCCTGCGTGCGGACGGAGAACACAGTGGAACCGCGGAGAAGCTCGCGGAATACATCTGTTCCAGTAAGTAGGGAAGCTCGCCCCATGCGGAGCAGCCGCTCTGTCGGCTGGTCTCACAGCCGCCACGCGGGGAGAGCCCGTGTCCTCGGGGCATGCCCGGCTGATGGGGATTGATGCGCAGCGTGTAAGCCACTCTGGGACCACAGCCAACTGTGTCAGTCTGTCCTTGGAGATGTGGCCCCCTCCTGTCCCCTGTTCCCTGTTCCCCCCGTCCCCTGGGGACATGGGCCAACTGCACGAGTCCCAGGGAGACAAAGCCAGGAGGCCGTCGCGGGGAACTCGCTCTTTCCTTTCTGGGGACGGTCTGCCCTTCCTCTCAGGAGCTGGCCCCCCGCCCCAGGGAGCGTGGCCGCTGATGAGGGGTGCAGTCACCCCTCCCCCGTGGTTTGGAGCTGAGGAATCCCTCTGGGGTGTCCCTGCTTTAGCTGCGTCCCGGTGTCAGGTTGTGGGAGGGCCCGGGGCGGCTGCTTGCTGCTGGCCGGAGTGCTGAGGACCAGAGGTGGCCGGGGCTCCCCGTCCTCAGGTGCGTCTCCAGGGCACGGGGGCCTACGTGGATGTCTCCGCACTGCCAGGAGGCTGCCATCCAGCCCAGTCTCTTCACTTGGAGAGAAGTCGCCGCTGCTGTGTGTCCTGCAGAAATGTTATAGCCCAGAACGGTGGGCCACTGTCACGGTCAAAGGACACAGCCAGGAGACTGTCATGGGGCAGAAGCGTCCACCATCTGCTGCCCGTGAATCCGGGCTGCCTTTCTTCTCCAGCACCTGTGTCTGAGTCAAGGCTCCATCTAGGGGTGGGGGGCAGCTCAGCCTGGCGTCACAGGGACCCCCCCCCCCCGCGCCGTGCCATGTTGCGAAGCAAGGGTGCAGACTAAAAGCTCATAGGACTGAACGGCTGAGTAGCCCCTTGAGCATAAAGCCCCCGTGGCCGCCCTGTTGGCTGTGGAATGTTCCGGAGTGTGGATTGCTGCGGCCATTTCTGCAACGTCAGCCCAGAAAGGGCAGCCGCTCACTCTTGGACAGCAGGTGTTGAAACGCAGCCGTGGCCGGCGCCGCGGCTCACTAGGCTAATCCTCCGCCTATGGCGCCAGCACACCGGGTTCTAGTCCCAGTCAGGGCACCGGATTCTGTCCTGGTTGCCCCTCTTCCAGGCCAGCTCTCTGCTGTGGCCCAGGAGTGCAGTGGAGGATGGCCCAAGGCCTTGGGCCCTGCACCCCATGGGAGACCAGGAGAAGCACATGGCTCCTGGCTTCGGATTAGCGCGGCACACTTGCCGTGGCGGCCATTGGAGGGTGAACCAATGGCAAAAGGAAGACCTTTCTCTCTGTCTCTCTCTCTCACTGTTCACTCTGCCTGTCAAAAAAAAAAAAAACAAAACACAGCCGCTGAGAAGCCACGGGCAGGAGCTCGCTGTCCAGGTCGGGCGGGGCAGGGCCCTGGCTTCGGCTCCAGGTCCTCAGCTCCCTGGGGTGGCTCTCAGGGCATCAGCATGAAGGGTCATTCTGCGTCCTCGCCGTGCACGATGCAGGTGCCCCAGGCTTTGTATTCCTCATGTCTCCAAGGGTGAGTGTCACGGGCATGACAGGGCATCCAGGCCCTTTCTCAGAAACTAGAACTAAGTGTGAATGAGAGAGCTTGGCGTTCCCCCTGGGATGAACACAGGGTCAACAGAATGAGTCTAGGTTCTGTGGGGGGAGGGCCGCCAGCGCCCCCTCCCGTTTCCAGGCAGAGACGGAACTGGCCTCGCAGTGGCTGCATTATCCCGGGAGGAGACCAAAGGGAACTGATGGTTCCTCGTTATATGGCCCAGAGCCCTCGCCGCCTGCTCGTCACCAGTGTCACCCGTGTCATCTGTTTGCTGTCATGCTGGTGTCCAGGACCTGCCTCAGGCGTGGGAGGGGAGACGGTAAGGTGTCCCGCCCTCACCTCTGAGGACGCTGGGCTGGGTTCTTTGCTCTGAGGCATCACCAGCCTGTCTGTGGGTCCACGTGCAGGTGGGACGTCCGCTGAAACGCCAGGCCGAGACCGTCCCCTGCTGTCACCACGGCGAGCACAGTAAAACAGGCCGCTTATAGTCTCTGCCCGTTAATTCACCTTCAAAGACATGCCAGGCCCTGCGGAAGCACTTAGACCCATTCACCCCTTAACCTGGGGCTCACAGCGCCGAGGGCCCTGTGCTTCCTCGCAGGGCACCTCCTGGAACGGGGAAGTAGTTACAAGTAGACTGGTGAAAGTGGGGACAGTCGGCTTTGGAACAGAGTCCGCAGGCGGGCAGATGGCCCCGCAGTTCCTGGGAGGTCCTGCGGGGGCCGCCTGCTCCCGTCTTCCTCCAGTCAGCCTCCTTATTCCAGCTATCGCAGCTAAGTGCGCACCTCTGCACACCCGACTCTCCCGGCAGCACCTGGGGGAAATCAGCGCGCGCCCGGCGGGTCTCGGGTTTGCAGACGTGTGCGCGTCCCCTGGCGAGAAGACGCCTTAGGAGATCGGTCCCGTCTCGCAGTCTCCTGCAGGGTGACTTGTTGAGGCCTCCTCGGCTGCACAGAGCTCCCCAGGATTTTCAGCACGGTTACCCGGCCTCGGCCCTGACTGCCCGGAAATCCAGGCCTCGTCCTGGTAGAGGGACGAGGAGCAGAGCCTCCGGGCTCTGTGGGCTCTAAGCATTGCTCTGTCCTCTCGGGGTGAAAAGCAGCTTTAACCGTCGCGTTGGAGAGGAATCCACTGTACGCAGTTTAGCCCCAGAAGGAAGGGGTTGTCTCTCCCACTTCTCCAGTGGGGCTGGCTCTCAGGAATGTGCCTGTAGGAGGTCTCCTCTCGGCGGCAAAGGAGGCTGCCGTTGGGACACGTCCACGTGCCCTTCCTTTGCTGACAGGGCGGTGTCTTCCCAGTGGACAGCCGAGCTGGTGGGACGTCAGTGGCCCCTGCGTGCCCGCACCAGGCTCCCTGGCGTTCGCAGCAGGTGCAGTGCCAGTGCCGGCCCTCGGGCAGCCCAGCCCTGGGAGTGCAGTGAGGGAAGAAGCGCTGTGAGAGGATTCTCTGGAGGCTCCTTGCACCCGGGGACTGGCTGGCCACACAGTTGGCTGCCCGGCTTTTCTGCTGGACTCCCATCGCTGCCACAGGAAGAGCTCTGGTTTCGGGCATTCTCACCCCACCCCCACACCAGCCCGCATCCCACACCTGACACACGGCCCAGGTGAAGAAACAGCACTCAAACCTGACTTTGAAAATAGGTCTCTAGGTGTGTGAAACCGTTCCTCCTCTCAGAAAATGAGTCGGGCGTGGTGTGTGTGCCGCCATAGGTTCATGAAACTAGGCAGCCTGCAGTCACCCCTCCCCCGCAGCTGTAGCTGGGTGGAGATGGGGCTGGGTGCTCTTCCAAGCCTGTTTTGCTCCTCTTTCTGGCTTGCAGACACCAAAGCAGCTGTGTCCAGAGAGATCTCAGGGTGTTTGTAGAGGACCAGTGCCTACAGTGGCTCCCCCGCCCCCGCCAAGGATCATTATTTGAAATCATAGAGATAGAAGGAGAGCGAGCGTGCGCTTCCATCTGCTGGTTCACTCCCCAAATGGCTGCAGTGGCCAGGGCCGGAGCCCCAGGAGCTTCTTCCAGGGCTCCCACGTGGGTGCGGGGGCTCAGGCACCTGGGCCGTCCTCTGATGCTTCCCCAGGTGCATTAGCAGGGAGCCGGATCAGAAATGGAGCAGCCGGGACTCGAACCTGGCGTCCTTATAGGGTGCCCGCTCTGCAGGCAGAGACTTCACCTCTGCCGCAGCGCCAGCCCCTCCTCTGATGGCCAGATGGGGCAGAAATGCTTGGCTCTGGTCTCACCCTTCGGGAAGGTTCTGGCATCTGAGCGCCCGTCAGTGGGGGATGGGATGGTTGCAAGTGGGTGTCCACATCGCACGCTGGTGTCACCGTTCTGCGAAGCTGGGGCCGCCCTGTGTCCTCCCCGAGTGGGGGTGCATGGGTGGGCCCCGGTGACTGGCAGGCGGGTCTCTCTAAGGCCTGTCCGTCAGCCCTTGGTGCGCTTGGCCTGGCGGCTGCTGGCAGGCCGGGAGAGCAGGGAGCCGGCCTTTGCTGGCAGCGGCTGCAGCGCCGCCCCCGGCTGCCTGCAGAGCAGGTGCCCCGGCTCCCGCCAGGCCTGTCTCTACCTCTCTGACTTAATTTGGGGTGCCACCTGCCTTCTGATTCATGACTGCAGGCCAGGAGCCACTTCACGGAGAAGCAGCCCTTGTGTGTGTGTGGGGGGGGTGGTTTTCTAAGCTTCGGCCCACTTTACCTCTGAGGATTTTCATGTGACCCTTTAAGGTCAGCAAGGGCGCAGCTGCTCTTCCTGGGACTGAGACCAGGGCCTGGGCAGGGCCGGGAGCCCCGGGCTGCTTCTCCCGCCCCGCCCCAGGCACGGCAGCTCGGCTGACCTGGCCCAAGCCTCTCCACCAAGCTGGTCGTTTCTCCACAGAGGAGTCCTCACCCCTGCCTCTTCTGTTTCCATGTGGAACCCTCAAAAGAGAAGTCCTGCCCACAGTGCTCAAGGAGCAAGGTGAGGCCGCGCGCGGCACCTGACTCCCAGCCTGAGAGCCGTCCGCGTGCCGGGCTGCCCCGCACCATGAGCCCTGCGCGTGGGATTCGGGCTGCCCCGCACCATGAGCCCTGTGCATGGGATTCGGGCTGCCCGGCACCACGAGCCCTGTGCGTGGGATTCATGGAGTGGCCAGGGACAGGCCTGCGGGACAAGCTCACAAACCTGGGGACCGGAGGTGCGCACGGGTCCGAGTGAGGCCCCTGTGCCGACTCCGCCTCCTCCTCACCGGGAACTGCCCGCAGTGTTCAGCAGGCTGCAGAGGGGCCGTCCAGGGCCGCGTGGCCCCAGCGGGGGGTTGTGGGCTGGGGGGCTCCGTCGCATTCCCAGCACAGTGAAGTCTTTCTGGTTCCGATTGCACCAGGGGTTCCGATGGAAAGCATAACCGTCTACGAGACAGTTCCACACCCTGGCATCCGAGGGAACCTGGACAGCTACTATTCCAAGCAGGTACACCGTGGCGCCACAGAGCTGGCAGGGCCCCAGGCTGGCGGGGGGAGGGGACGAGCTCGCAGACTGGCTGTGCACGAGGTTCCCGGTCCCCAGCCGTGTGGGTGAGGCCGTGGGCTTCCTGAGGCTCCGTCTCTGCCTGGGCAGGAGAGACCCTGCGTGGCGCGTTTACAGGATTAAGGGAGATCATTTCCACCAAGCTCTCGGTCTAGCACCCAGGTATATACAGATCTCAAGTAAGCAGCGGCCGTGTGTTGCCCCGGCCTCCATCGTGTGGGAGCTGTGGGGCTGGGCCACGCGGGGAAGAGCCTGCGGTGCCCTCTCTGGGGTCTGCCTTGAGTTGGGGCGGCCTCAGGCGGGAGCGTGGAGAGCTCTTGTTGGAGCCGATGGACGCCGGACGCCTTCAGTGTTCACGTTCGATGCTGTCCCAGAGCCAGCTTCCACCCTGACCCTGGGGGTGGGGGTGGGGGTGGGGGGCCACTGGGGCGACCACGTGCAGGAAGGCCACGCAGCCCGCCTGTCTGCTGAATGCGTCGTCCGTAGGGAGCCAGCGCTGCTGCCTGCTTCCGGTGCCAGGAGCTGGAGGCACTGGCCCGTCTGCCAGGCACGTGGCCTCAGACCTGGGGGCCAGCGCCGTGACCGGGGAGCAGCGCCAGCCTCTCTGCTCTTTGGAAGTCCTTCCCCAGAATCCTGCCTGGACGGAGTCGAGAGTGCCGCCGTCAACCAGGAACCACGGCCGCTGTCAGAGCTCTGCGGCCGCCAGGGCAGCAGGAGTTCCCGCGACAGAGCTGGAGCCTCGGCCCGATCTGATCTCCTTCTCGCCCCCCACAGGGCGTCCCGGACAGCGTCGCCTTCTTCAGTCCCTCTGGTGTTAAATACAGTCTCAAGCACATCGAAGAGCTGTCTGGTGACAGCGTGGGTCAGATCAAGGTGAGACGCCCGGTGGGCTTTGCGTCTCCGTCTCTTTGCTCTTGACTGCTGATCCCAAGGTCCCGTGTCCCGTGAAGGCGCTCCCAGCCTGGCCCACGCCCTGGCGCTGCTTGGTAGAAGGGGAAAGGCAGCGCCTTCCTGGCTGGCGCTCCTGCACCACCGGGGCGGCCCCTCTGGCTGCCTCCTTGGCCGTGTCGTGGGGATGCACTCCCGTGCGGCCTTTAAACCTGGTCTTCCCTGCCTAGAGTTAGTGTCGGGAGCAGAGGCGCGCACGCTCCGGGCGGCACGAGGCTGCCAGGAGACGCCGGGGGTTTCAGGGGTTTTGCCGACAGTGGAACCAGGCGGCAGCCCCTGTGGGGCACTGAAGCTGTTTCCTCTTCCTACCCTGCAGTTCGCGGCCATCGGCCCCACCACAGCCCGTGCCCTGGCTGCCCAGGGCCTGCGTGTGAGCTGCACCGCAGAGAGCCCCACGCCACAAGCCCTGGCCGCCGGCCTCCGGAAGGCGCTCCCCCTGCCTGGCGGCTGCTGAATCACCCACGCCCGTCCAGCTCCTGCCTCCAGCCCGAGTGGAACCACCTGGGGGTCGGGAATGGGGACGGGCTCGGGCCAGCATGAGGCCCACACGCATGTCCACGGAGCCCGGCCCAGCTGCAGGCAGCCCCAGGCCCTGACAGCGTGCTGGGCCAGCAGGGAGGAAGTCCAATAAACATGCTGGCCGCAGGCTCCCCGCGCGTGCGCCGTCTCTCCTGGGGCGTGGTTCTCAGTGTAAAGCCGCGTGTGGGGAGGACAGCCGCGCCCACCCCGGTAAGCGGCAAACCCCGTGTGGGACACGGACGCGGACCCACGGAGGAGGCAGGCATGTGCTGTAACAGGACCCCCAGGGCCCGCCTCCTGAACGGATTTGTTCTGGAGAAACAGCCGTCCTCCGGGGCTCCCGCACCTGGCAGCCGAGGAGACCGGGGCCCAGGAAGGCAGTGCCCTGCAGAAAGGCTTTGAAAATCTGCCCCAGGTTTTATTTCCACTTTTAAATCTTTGCCCAGAATTGAGCTGAGCTGGAGGAAACCTGTGTTTGTCTTTTTTTTTTTCGACAGGCAGAGTGGACAGTGAGAGAGAGAGACAGAGAGAAAGGTCTTCCTTTGCCGTTGGTTCACCCTCCAATGGCCGCCGTGGCCAGTGCGCTGCGGCTGGCGCACCGCGCTGATCCGATGGCAGGAGCCAGGAGCCAGGTGCTTCTCCTGGTCTCCCATGAGGTGCAGGGCCCAAGCACCTGGGCCATCCTCCACTGCACTCCCAGGCCACAGCAGAGAGCTGGCCTGGAAGAGGGGCAACCGGGACAGAATCCGGCGCCCCGACCGGGACTAGAACCCGGTGTGCCGGTGCCGCAAGGCGGAGGACCAGCCTAGTGAGCCGCGGCGCTGGCTCTGTGTTTGTCTTTTACCAGCCTGTGGGCTTGTGCAGGAAACGCGGAATGCTACACGCACACCCAGAGTCCTGCAGAGGCTGGGCTGGGAGGCACTTTGTGTGGGGCAGTACCACCCCCACTCGGGGCAGGGGGCCCCAGGCAAACTCACTCCTCAGAGCAGCCCTGAGGAGGGACATTCCCGTCACCCCCTTTTTTGGAGAGAGAAGTGAGGTGATTGACTAGGACCACACAGCTGGCTCATACACAAGCACACACATGCACACACACGTGCGCACGGATGCACACACACTCCTCTGTGCGTGTGTGTACCGCACTGGAATCTCATGACTCCCCTTCATTGTTACTTTTAAAAGGTACGTTTTCTACATTGATAACTGAAGAGACCCGAGGGCTGGTGCTGTGGTGTAGCGGGTGGGGCGCCGCCTGTGACACCAGCACCCAGATGGCACCGGCTCAGTTCCTCGCTGCTGCACTTCCCGTCCAGCTCCCTGCTGTGGCCTGTGAGGGCAGTGGAGGATGGCCCAGGTCCTTGGGCCCTGCACCCCACGGGAGACCTGGATGGAGCTCCTGGTTCCTGGCCCAGCCTGGCTGGTGCGGTCATCTGGGGAGTGAACCAAAAGGATGGAAGCTCTCTGTCCTTCTTTCTCTGCAATTCTTTCAAATAAATAAACATTAAAAAAAAAAAAAAACCTTCAGACAACATTACAAAACAATAGAGATCCTAAAACCATAAGTAAGAAAGTATCTGAGGAACAAACTGGGAACCCCCAAAGAGCCCTCAGAGAGAAACCTGCCCCCCCACCCATGAGCAAGCGCAGGGCCCAGGTCTCCTGACCCGGCCAGGCTGGGGGCGTGGGGGAGGGGCGTGGGTTCACACGTTTGCTCTTGGGCAGACAGACCGAAAGTCCTAGCAATTCAGGCAGCAGCCCTGCACCATGGAGATGGATCCCCAGGCGTGTGCGACCTGGGAGGGGCCAGGAGTTCTCGCACCACCAAGAGAGGAGGCCCTGGGGCCTTCAAAGGCGGCCTCCGGCCTGGCGCACTTCAGGGCTGGGTGAGAAATGCCTGCGAACTGCCAGCACCCCCACATCTGCTTATAAAAGAGCCCCCGGCCAGCCCACGCCACAGGAGGGGCGGCGCACGCACTGGGCTCGGAGGGCCAGGGCTCCGGCCAGGCCATGCTGGCTGCCTCCGTCTTCTGCCCCGCCCTGCTGCTCTGTGGGCTCACGGCCCCCCAGCCAGCCCGGCCGGAGATGCTCTTCCACAGCCGGGACCACTCGGACCTGGAGCCGTCCCCCCTGCGCCGGGCCAAGCCCATCGCAGACCTCCACGCCGCTCAGGTAGGAGCAGGCCCAGAGAAGGGCGTCACCCATACCACACGTGTGTGCACACACACCCATGCACACACGTGTGCATGCAGCTGCACGCAGGGCCAGCAGGCTTCCAGGGTTCCAGTAGGAACAATGACAAATCTGTGCTGAACCCAGGGGGAATCCACAGCCCGGAGTGATTCCTGCCACTCCAGGCAGACGCCCTGCGGGCCCACGTCAGGGCCCTCCCTTGGCTGCCCACCATGCCAGTCTGGAGCAGAGAAGGGGGCCCCGCCAGGGGGCCCCACACAGCAAGGCTGGGGATGCCTGGCTGGGCCGAGCTGAGCTGCCGGCCACTGGCTTTGTGGAGCTCTGTGGCGCAGGGGGAGGGCTCCAGGGGAGGGGAGTGGGGGGAGGCCAGCGGCCTGCAGGAGGCCTTCCCCGGCCTGCCTCACGCCCTCGGTGCAGCTGGCAAGAAGCTCGGGGCCCTCAGATGCAGCCAGGCTGCCCGAGTCTCGTGCCCAGCTCTGTGGCCAGGCCGTGCCCCAGCCTCCTCCAGGGTGTGGCATGCGGTACAGCCCTTCCTAGCCTTGCCGTTACAGCCCAAGGCCTCAGCCGTGGCTCCTCTCCTCCCAGCCTCACACACCAGGCCGGCTTCATTCTCCTGCTCAGTGGGCCCAGGGCCATGAATCCCATGTGCAGCCATGTGTGTGCGCGCGCGTGTGTGTGTACGCACACCTGTCTGTCTCTCGCACAGTCTGGGGCAGGGCAGGCACACGGCTGGCAGAACGCAGCCCCACGGATTCTTCTACCTTTCCCTCCCGCAGCGGTTCTTGTCCAGGTATGGCTGGTCGGTGCCTTCGGCCTGGGGTCCCATCCCCAAGCGGCTGCCAGAGGGCCGCGCGGGTGCTGCCCTGGCTGAGGCCGTGCGCAGGTTCCAGCAGGTGAACGCACTGCCGGCCAGCGGGGAGCTGGACGCAGCCACGCTGGCGGCCATGAACAGGCCTCGCTGTGGCGTCCCGGACACTCGGCTGCCGCCCCCCGCCGCCCCCACGACACTGCCCCCCTGGGGCTCACCGAGCCCGCTGGGCCTGCAGCCCAGGGCCCGGCCAAAGCGCTTCCTGGAAATGCTGCTGCCGGGGCTGGGCAGGCAGCAGGACGACTCCCCCGACGGTGGGGCCGCCAGGGCCTTCTCCAAAAAGACGCTGACCTGGAGGCTGGTGGGAGAGGCCTACAGCAGCCAGCTGTCCGTGGACGAGCAGAGGTCCATTTTCAGACTGGCTTTCAGGATGTGGAGCGAGGTGACACCCCTGGACTTCCGGGAGGACCGCACGGCCCCCGCGGCCACAGTCGACATCAAGCTGGGTTTTGGGAGAGGTAAGAGGGGAGCGGGCGCAGGAGCCCGCCCCGTGCCCCGTGCCCTGTGCTCTGTGCCCTGTGCCCCCAGCCAGTGCTCCGTGACCCTGCCCCATGCCCCGTGCCTCGTGCCCTGTGCCCCCGCCCCTTGCCCCATGCTCCATGCCCTGTGCCCCTTGTCCCGTGCCCCCACCCCTTGCCCCGTGCTCTGTGCCCCTTGCCCCGTGCCCCGTTGCTCCTGCCTCCTCAGTGGGGGCTCCAGCGCCATCCGGGGCTTGTTCTGGGCGACACGCGTTGGAGCTGCGGCTGAGTTAGGCCCTGCATGGCTGCTGCTTTAACACTCAGGGGGAGGGAGGAGCCCCTCATTGGACAACACCTGCAGTGGTCACACAGGCCTCCAAGGACAGCCCCCCTGCTCCAGTGGCACAGCTGGCCTCCGGGCCAGCTCACCCAGAGCACCCAGTGTGCCCGGCAAAGCACTCGCCCACCCTGGCCGCCCTCCTGCAGAGAAAGGGCGAGGGAGTGAGTGGGGTCACTCTGCTGGACGAGCAAGCCAGCTTCCCCACGGCCCGTGTGTAACTGGGGGGCTCAGAGAGGGCAGGTTGGGGGGCGTGAGGAGGGTCAGCACTCCCTCCCTCTACTCCACAACCTCACGTGAGGAGGCAGCTTTGTGGCGTCACCTGGGCACCTGTCGGCTCCCACAGCACCGGGCACCTCGCTGTGTCCGGCAGTCTTCCCACCTTATCACTACCGCTCAGCAACAAACTGTCTCCTCCACCAGCCCCATTCGAGGGGCCTGGAGCAGCTGCCCGCACACTGGATGGCCAGGTGCGGGGCCTGTGCAGTGGGCACCGAGTTCCCTGGCCTCCCTCTCCCCTCCCCAGGCCGGCACCTGGGCTGCCCGCGGGTTTTCGACGGCAGCGGACAGGAGTTCGCACACGCCTGGCGCCTGGGCGACATCCACTTTGATGATGACGAACACTTCACACCGCCCACCAGCGACAGGGGCATCAGCCTGCTCAAGGTGAGGGTCCCTGGGCTGCCCGGGGCGCAGGGGCAAAGGGCAGGGTGGCACGGGCCGAGGGCTCTCGTGTGACGTGTCCGCGTCCTGAGAACGCTCGCTGGGCTCTGACAGCGGCCCGGGTCTCACCATGGCCCCCTTCTCCTTGGCAAGCTCGGGTCTGTAGGAGGCGCAGGCCGGCCGGCTGCAGGGCAGGGGTCAGTGCCAGGGTCACTGATGGTGTGCGCTCCCCTTCTAGGTGGCCGTCCATGAAATTGGCCACGTCCTGGGCTTGCCGCACACCTACAGGCCGGGCTCCATAATGCAGCCCAACTACACTCCCCAGGAGCCCGCGTTCGAGTTGGACTGGTCAGACAGGAAGGCGATCCAGAAGCTGTATGGTAAGACCGGGCCGGAGCTCCCGGGGCAGCCCACCCAGAGAGCAGGAAGATGGCCAGCGCCCAGGTCACTCCCGCGTAGCTGCCCGCTGTCGCCATGGCCAAGTCTCGTGGCTCAGAGAGGCTACGCCCGGGCCACAGGCACTGCTGGCAAGCAGCGGGTGCTCCCCCAGGCCACAGGAAAGCATGCAGGCAGGCAGGACCGCCCAGCGACTTTCTAAGCACAAGTGGGCCACCCGCGCCATCACAGCTGCGTGAACCGGAAGCCGCTGGAGGCCGACCTCCAACACTAGCCATTTTTCTATTTTTGTTTTATACCAGAGAGACAAGAGATCTTCCTTTTACTCCCCAAACGCCGGCAATAGCCAGGGCTGGGCCAGGCAGGTCAGGCCAAAGCCAGGCGCCTGGAATCCATTCAGGGCTCCTGCAGTACTTGGGCCGTGGTCTGCTGCCTCCCAGGGGGTGCACTGAGCAGGCCGCGGGGTGGGAGTGCAGGAGCCGGCAGTCAGCAGGTGCAGAGAGAGGGGAAGTGGTGTCCCCCCGGGGACCGCACGGCCACCCCAGGACAAGCTCTAGTCGCTACTTCATTGTTCAGGCTGAAATCCTAGTGGCCATTTAATTGAAGTGACAAGTGACTGGGCACAGATGCCCATGGGAGGAAGTCCCTCCCTCTCTGTTCCATTTCACGGCCCCTCACGTCCATCTTTGGAGCTTATGAAAACCGGGACTCACCGATTCCCTGGTGGCCATCACTTCCTTGTGTGTGTGCCAGAACCGAACGTCCTCTCTGATGACGTCAGCCTGGCCATCCAAGGAGGTGTCAGCTGTGAGGGGCGCCCTCCCCAAATAACCCTGCGTGCAAAGTGAGGCACTCAGGAGCGCCCGGGGGCGGGGGCACTGGACGCTGAGGCCAGGGCCCTCGCGCCCACGGCACAGCTGCCCCAGCTGTCGGACGTGCCCTGCTTTGAGGTGTCCGGTGCAAAACTCCGGCTTCGCAGCTGCGTCTCTTCCAGTCACGGGAACGGAGCTGGGCTGGGTTTGGCGCCGGGGACCCGAGGTTGGATTTTGCTGCATTTTAGGTTCCTGCAAGGGGTCATTCGATGCTGCCTTTGACTGGATTCACAAAGAGAGAAACCAGTTTGGGGAGGTGCAGTTGAGGTTCAGCACGTACTTCTTCCGCAAGAGCCGGTACTGGCTCTACGAGAACCGCAACAACAGGACGCGCTACGGGGACCCCACCCGGATCCTGGCTGGCTGGCGCGGAATCCCAGCTCAGGGCATCGACGCCTTTGTCCACGTCTGGACGTGGAGGAGAGACGAGCGCTACTTTTTTAAAGGTAAAGACCAACCCACCGCTCTCGTAACCCCTGCGAAGGCTCAGGCGGCTCCACAGCGAGCAGAGGTCAGGTTTATCCCGGATCTCCCCAGTAAGGCACCACGGTGCTTGTCAAACCCACCTGGAATCCGATGCTGGCGTCTGCAGGAGTCGGGGTGAGGCCCAGGCTGGGGGCGACCCAGAAAAGGGTGCCTGGAACGCCGCGGCAGGGGCATGGGGGCTCAGAGACCAGCCGCGGGGCGGAGCCTGGGAGCTGGGATTGGGGACTGCACAGAGCCAGCCGAGGACCCACACGCGAGCCTGACCACGGAGAGCCTCTGACGCCAGGGCCGGGGCCAGCTTCTGGACAGGGAAATCAGTGTCCGGCTGCGAGGCGGTGGGGCTGGGGCTCCGGGTGACCGTGCCCAGGGCAGGTTGGGGCTGTCCTGCCCCTGTGTCCTCTGATTCACAGACCACATTCCAGCCCCAAACACCGCTTGCCCCGCCCCCAGAAATCAGCTGAGCCCTCCCCCACCTGAATCCCGTGAAGGGCAGGAGGCTTTAAGGCTCAGCGTGAGCTTGCAAGGCCTGAGCCAAACTGAAGGAACTTCACATGCAAATTCCACCGCCGGCAGCTTGTGGATGCACTTGGCTTAATTTTCCTGCACATCACACGAAGGGAAGAGTTTTCGGTCGTCACACAAAGCAGCTGCCTCGTGGTGCACATACCCAGCTGAGGTTCGAAGTCGGGAGCACGGCCTGCAGTGCCTGAAAGAGCCCTGAACAAAAAATCTTTTTTTTTTTTTTTTTTTTTTTTTTTAAGATTCATTTATTTGAAGCCGGCGCCGCAGCTCACTAGGCTAATCCTCCACCAAGCGGCGCTGGCACACCGGGTTCTAGTCCCGGTCGGGGCGCCGGGTTCTTTCCCGGTTGCCCCTCTTCCAGGCCAGCTCTCTGCTGTGGCCCGGGAGTGCAGTGGAGGATGGCCCAGGTGCTTGGGCCCTGCACCCCATGGGAGACCAGGAGAAGCACCTGGCTCCTGCCTTCAGATCAGCACGGTGCGCCGGCCACAGCGTGCCAGCCGCGGCGGCCATTGGAGGGTGAACCAACGGCAAAAGGAAGACCTTTCTCTCTCTCTCATCACTGTCCACTCTGCCTGTCAAAAAAAAAAAAAAAAAAAGATTCATTTATTTGAAAGGTAGAGTTGTCGGGGAGGGAGATGGAAAGATCTTCCATCTGCTGAATCACTAACCAATGGCTGCAGGAGCTTCATCCCAGTCTCCTACTTGGGTGCAGGGTCCCAAACACTTGGGCCATCCTTCAACCATCCTCCGCTGCTTTCCCAGGTGCATTAGCAGGGAGCAGGATCAGAAGTAGAGCAGCCAGGACTCGAACCAGTGTTGCAGGTGGTGGCTTAACCTGGTATGCCACAACTCTGGCCCCCACAAAGAATTAAAAAAAAAAAAGATTTATTTGAAAGGCAGTGGCAGAGAGAGAGAGAGAGGTCTTCCATCTGCTGGTTCACTCCCCAAAAGGCTACATGGCTGGAGTTGAGCTGATCTGAAGCCAGAAGCCAGGAGCTTCTTCTGGGTTCTCCCACGCGGGTACAGGGGCCCAAGCACTTGGGCCATCTTCTACTGCTTTCCCAGGCCATAGCAGAGAGCTGGATGGGAAGTGGGGCAGCCGGGACTCAAACCTGCGCCCATATGGGATGCCGGCACTGCCGGCTACGGCTTTACCTGCTACGCCCCCGCGCAGCCCCTCAAAGAACCATAGTCCTAGAATTAGGTCATCACCAGGGAACTGCCACATTGTAGCTGTTTTCTTCTTGGAACTGTAGAAACTTCTGGAATTTAATTTGCTGTGAATATTTAGTTCCCGTTAGGGTGAACTGCACCTGTGACTGTCCAGGCACCAAACCGTGCACACGGTGGGCTTTTCCGCACACACGGACACTTAGGTTGCTGAGGAAGGAACGGCTCGAGGTGTCCTCTGGGTTTGTCATTCCCTGCTGGCTGCACGCCAAGCTTCCAAATCAGGACCAATAAGGCCGGCTTCTCTACTGCTTCAGCGCCGGCAGCCTTGGGGTTACAGAGAGAAGGGAGCGCGCCCAGGGCCGCAGAGCGGAAGTCTCAGGTGCGAGGCGGGGGTGAGGGGGGCTGCCTACGCTGGCTGTCCCCTCCACCTGTAGACGACTCTAAAATACCAGAGAACGGGGTCACCGGTAATGAGGCCTCACTGACTTCTGTAAGAAGAGGGCTCACCCAGCCAGTACAGGAACAAGCCTCGGGCCACCCAAGGGCACTGACACGGAAAAGGGAGCCCTTGCAAACGCTGCGCTTGTTTTACGGTGCAGCTGTGACGCGTTACACAAGATGGACTGACTCCTGCGGTCAGCTCGACAGTCCTGGGACAACAGTGCTCTCAGCGGGGCTCCCCTGGGACCCCTTCCCGGGCTCGTGCGTCAGTGTTAGCTGGCCACATCTGGCCACATCCGGCCACACTGACGGATTCTGGTTGGCTCTCAGGGCACCACTACTGGAGCTACGACAGTGGCCAGGATCAGGCCCTCGCAGAAGACCAGCAGGGAAAACGCTACCCCAAGCTGATATCACGAGGATTCCCCGGCATCCCAAGTCCGCTGGACACGGCCTTCTACGACCGCCGGCAGCAGCTCATTTTCTTCTTCAAGGGGTCCCTGGTGAGTAGGAGACGCGGGGCCTGGCGAGGGCCCCTGGGCGAGCAAGTGCCGAGGTGAGAGCTGGGCTCGCTCACCCGAGGGCACGTCAGAGAACGGGTGGGAAACGGAGCGAAGGGGGGAGCTGACTTTGGGGCAACAACTTTTGAAATCCATGCGTGCGGGGGGTGAGGAGGTCTCCAAAAAGTTCACGGGGAGTGTGGATTCTGGAAAAACTACGTCTACGTTTCAGAAGATTTTTGACCCACAGAAACCATCTTTTAATTGCCCTCGTGGTAGACCATTAATTAGATAAACCCTCGAGGTCTACAGAATTGGAGCCACACACGGCCCGGCGGCGGCGCCTCCCTCAGGAGAGCCGGTCTCACCGCCGGCCGCATTTGCTTGGCAGGTTTTTGCATTCGATGTCAACAGGAACCAAGTGCCGAGTTCCTACCCCGTGGCGCTGACCAAGGCCTTCCCGGCAGTGGCACCGCACAGCCACCCCGTCAGGAGGATAGACGCGGCCTACTACTCCTACGCGCACGGCTCGCTCTTCTTCTTCAAGGGCAGTGCCTACTGGAAGGTGGTCAGCGCCAAGGACAAGCAGCAGAACCCCCAGCTGCCAGCCAACGGCTTACTGCCCGAGCAGCCCATCTCCGAGAAGTGGTTTGACATCTGTGACGTGCACGGCTCCACGCTGAACATGTGAGCAGGGAAACGCAGCGGGCACAGCGCCCCTGAGGACACACGGCCCGGCTCGCCGCCGACGCGAGTGGCTGCCTGCATCGGAACCCACCGGGAAAGGCAGCGCTCAAGACTGTAGGACAGCTGGCTTAAGAGTCAACTGCTCAGGCAAAACGTAATTCACGGAATAATTCCACTAATTTTTCAGGGAAAGTTTAAAAGACAAAAAAAGCGAGCAGCCAAGGCCTCCGTCTCTGCCTTCGCTCTGCGACCCTGGCCCAGCCTGAGGGAGTCGTGGGGGATGCAGCGAGCCGCAGGGAGGGACTGCGCCCCCCTCCGCGGCCCTGTCCCGAGGACTCACTTCCGGGTCCCTGACGGTGCACGGGTGGTCTTGCAGCCGCCGCAGACTGCTGTTTCCAGCCCCAGAGCGTGAAGTCCACTGCGAAGCCCAGCGTGAGGCCTGTTCCCGCCGCGCGCCCCACTTTTTTAAGATTTTCTTATTTGAAAGGCCGAGTTACAGAGAGTGGGGGAGAGACACCATCCACCGTGGGTTCACCATCTACAACGTGGCTTTTAACTTTGTTAGCACAAACAGAAACTCCAACGTCACCTGATAAGGACAGAATCCGGGCCAGGAAACTAACTGAACGGGTTCAGCAGCTCCATGAGGCATTTCTTCTAAGGAAACAACTACAACTCAGCCTCGAGGCCTTCGTCTGAAGTCAGCAATCACGCTCTGGAAGGCAGTTTTCCCCTGCAGGAGCGTTCAGGTTATCGCGTTGACAAGAGAAGATGCTAGAATCGACTTTTCTTGCTTAAAATTTTGCTCTTGCCCAAACGGCTGCTGCTCAGCGGAGAAGGGCGAGGGCCGAGAGCAGGGCCTTCCCGAGCTCCTCTGCCCCCCACCGACGCGGTCCAGGGGCCTGCCCAGGGCTGCTGCCCCAACAGCGCACTGGGGCTTCAGGCACAACTGTAAACGCTTCCTTCATGAAGTTTTGCAAATGGAGGAAACTGGCCCAAGGGCAAGGCAATGCCCACACTAAGGAAGCAGACAAACGGCAAAGGAGAATTCTGCCAGGCCGCACGGGTCAGCGCGCTGTCGTGCCAACAGCTGACGATCAAGAAAGCGATTTGCAAAATCCAACCTAGACCAGTTTAGGGCAGACAGCTCTCCAGTGCGGTTCAGATCCTTCGGAGGTGTGCCAGCGGCGACTCCCCGCACCCAGGCCCGGGCCGGCACGCAGGGAGCCAGACCGTTACCACAACCAGAGAGCCCGACTGCTCTGGGAATCTTCTGGAAATCCCGAGAAGACGAAAGACAAGGCAGCCTTGCAAACTGCAGGCACCGCAAACACTGCGCCTGGGCAGGAGCCGTGCGGCGGCGGCGCCAGTACACGGAACATTCTAGAGAATTTAGTGGACCGCAGAATTTTAACATTCTGATTTTACTTTGTAAGGTTTATTATTTCAACTGAGTTCAAATCATAACTCAATGTGAAGAATGTGAAATGGAAAAGTACAAAGACATTTTAAATAAATAGTTTATTTATTCAAAATAGCCTTCTTACCTTATTCACAGTTTCAAGTTTAAAATGAAGAAAAAGATAGTACCTGTTCGGGATCAGCTGTCTGAGAAGTCCAGGACAAGCGCACCCTCCCAACACGCATGGCACACGGACGCTGCACGCGGCGAGGCTCCGGCAGCTCCAGCAGGAGCTCAGACAGGGCACACGTGCTGTCCTGGACCATCCAGACAGAACACTGTACAAGTTTCTTTACCCCATTTGACCCTGTAGAATCATGTCACCCAAAACAGTCCTATCTTAGATGCACGGAGCTTAGCACACTTCAGAAACCTGTCAAGGTGAAACTGCATTGTGGTGCGGCTGTTGCCACGAGGTGCCAGGTGCTCCCAGATTCACCGCCGGGAGCTTTCCACTGGATCCCGACGTCGGCCCTTCAAAAGGAGCCGGACACCTCGACCAAGCTGTGCGTCGTGAGAAATGACAACCGTGCCCACGGCTGTCCCTGGGTGGGGCGGGCACCCCTCCTGTTTAATGAGGCGCAGCACCAAACGGACAGGGCAGCCCCCGAGTTCAGAAGGCACTGGCGGCGCGTGTGCAGGCGCGGCCCCGGGCTCGGCTCACTGCACGGCGCCACCACGAGCGAGCTGCTCCAGCAGGTGGATGACCACGTCGACTCTCTCCACCAGAGTGGCGCCCTTGCTGGCCGTCGCTCTCAGAAGCTGGGAGTAGATGTGCTTGTTGGTTTTCAGGACCACATCTTCTTCCACGTTACTGCTGGGCATAAGAACAAGAGACAGGTGAAGGCCACACCGCCGCCCACCACCACCTCAGCAAGAGCCGAGCGAACGGCCACTGCTCAGAGAAGCAGGCGTCCACTAACGCTTGCCCACGGCTGCCTTCCTCCGTCTGCTGTCGGTGGGCCTGCTGCTAGACATCTGTCAGTTAAAGCCGACGCTCACTCGGCTGACAAAAACCCAAGTGCCTACCAGTACCAAGAGCCGCTCTCACGCCTTCACACGATTGGGGTGGGGTCTACACTAGCAATTAAGAAGCAGAATGTGCGTGGGCCCAAGCTGCGAGGAAGCAGTGGAGACGGCCAGGGCACAGGGAGGCCATCCTGGACGACGGATTTTCCAGGAGTTCGTGGGAAAGGTGATTTGTGAAAATCACTAGCATGGATTCCAAAAACTTTTGCACCAAAAGAAACGTTTTTTCGTCCAGATTTTCCACGAACTGACAGGCCCTCGCATTTCCTCCATGAAGCCTGGCGTGAAGCCTCTCCCAGCGTTCACAGCACCGAACTAATGTGACAGCTGGGCGCCAGCTCCACCCCAGGACCAGCCAGGCCTCTGCGGACTCCTGCCCGGCTGTATGGAACTCTGACCCCCACGCAGGGGGCCCCCCACTTCCCCACAGGAAGCGCACCCCGGGCCGGAGCAGCCCTAACCTCCAGGCCCTGCTCCCTGCACTGCAGCACAGGGCCCCCGCTCGTCAGAGGCGCCTGTTACTTTCTATATTTCTCATGATATTAAACCAAACCCACAGAAATGCCAAGAGGCTGTGCACTGCTGAAGCGAGGAACATTAAGATACAGCATGAGAGCAAATTCCTAAGAGAGAGAAGGCGGCCCACAGCCTAAGCAGGACAACACCTGCGAAGCCACCGCATGGTGGAGTGCCTGTGTAATCTGAAAACAAGAACAAACTAAGTTAACTGCATCAGAATCTTCTTAGATTTCCCTGTAAAGTGTATAGAAACCTAGGAAAATTAAGACTTGAATCAGGCCCGCTATTTGTGCACAGAATCCACCTCTCGGTTACTTGTAGATGTCGGCACAGTGTCCCTGTGTGGCAACACCTGCTACACTGCTTGTTCACTGCACTCCTGGATCCGCGGGTGAAGGCAGGGGCTGACTATTTCCTTCATGTCTCATCCTGAGCTGCTTTCACCCCCAAAGGAATGTACACCAATTCCCAGTGAAACAGCTAGGCTAGAAGCAAAGCAAATTCCCTTCACAAAACCACTGCTGTTTCATCTGCACATCAGTGACACATGAGCACTGAGCTGGAAACCAATAGTTTTCATATGAAACCTGTCAATACATTCACTGTATCAGAGTGTCACATTTAACAGTCTTTGAAAAATCAATGCAAATTAACTACATGGGCCTTCAAAGAATTTTCTTCAACAGAATATGGGTAATGTGCCTACACTGAGGGTCAGAAAACCCTCCACTAAGATAAAAATTATCAGGTCATCCAGATGACTGTTACAATCATAAGAGATACTCTAAGACTGAAACTACTGCTTTAGTCACCTGAGTCATCATTTATGCAAGTCAACGAATACTGTGTTACTCATCTATATTTATATTGCCATGCTGTGGAAACCAAAACAAATTTTTAAAACTTACCCACTCTTGTGGGCAAAACAGCTGTGAGCTCCTTTGCAGCTGTGTGTTACGACCTGTACTGCCTACCATGTGCTCCGACATCATTTCTTACCATTGGTTACTAGCTGCACTGCCTACTATGTGTCACCACATGCAGGACCTACTGTGTGTTACCTGTATGACCTACTTTGCCTTGGTTCTCTATCTGCTAAATTGTAGCAAACACAGCGACACAGGCCAGGATACGCTGTAGACTTTTTTTTTTTTTTTAAGATTTATCTTATTTATTTGAAAGGCAGAGTGACAGAAAAAGACAGAGAAAAAGAGGTCTTCCATCTGTTGATTCACTCCCCAAATGGCCACAACCGTTGGAGCTGGGCCAGGGTGAAGCCAGAAGCCAAGAACCACCTCCCAGTCTCCCATGTGCGTGCCGGGGCCCAAGCCCGTGGGCCATCTTTTCCCAGGTGCACCAGCAGGGAGCTGGACAGGAAGCAGCAGTGCTCTGATACGAAGTCAGCATCGCTGGGGGGCTTCCCCTGCTGTGCCACAGCTCTGGCCTCAACTCTGAGGGCTAACGGTGTGCCTAAAACTGAGCTCTCCCCCAAACACAAGCTCTTCCAGGTTCAGAAAGCTATTCCTGAGTACTTACTGAAGGTTCTACTCCGGAGGGTTAAAGCTGGGGAACGTGTCATACCCACTCTTCCAACATGCAGGGCAAACTACCAGCCGCATGTTTCTTGAATCCAGAGATTCGGAGGTGGGGTCGCAGGGCAAACACTAGTGTGAGATCTGAGGAGAGGCAGGCGGGCACAGGACGAGGTGGGGAAGAATCCACTGAACAGTCACTGAGCTGAGGGGGGCGCACAACCTCCAGAAGACAACGGTCTAACCAGCAGCAGGATATTAGGGGTTTACAACACATGTAAGGGCCAGCACTGCACGCAGCGGGTGGAGCCAGCATCCCACGAGTGCTGGTTTGAGTCCCCACTGCTTTGCTTCAGGTCTACTTCCTGCTGATGTGCCTGAGAAGGTGGGGAAGAAAATGGCCCAAGGGCTTCAGCCCCTGCCCCCTGCCGCCCACATGGGAGACCCAGATGGAGTTCTTGGCTCCTGGCTTTGGCCTGGCCCAGACTCGGCTGTTGCAGCCATTTGGGGAATCAATCAATGGACAAAAGATCTCTCTCTGAGCTTCTCTCAGAATTTTTATGACAATGAAAAGCTAACACAAAGTACTTTATAAAGTTTATGGAGAGGCCGGCTCACTAGGCTGATCCTCTGCCTTGCGGCACCAGCACACCTGGTTCTAGTCCTGGTCAGGGCGCCGGATTCTGTCCTGGTTGCCCCTCTTCCAGGCCAGCTCTCTGCTGTGGCCCGGGAGTGCAGTGGAGGATGGCCCAAGTGCTTGGGCCCTGCACCCCATGGGAGACCAGGATAAGTACTGGCTCCTGCCTTCAGATCAGCGTGGTGCGCCGGCTGACAGCGGCCATTGGAGGGTCAACCAACGGCAAAAGAAGACCTTTCTCTCTGTCTCTCTCTCTCTCACTGTCCACTCTGCCTGTCAAAAAATAAAAATTAAAAAATAAAATAAAATAAAGTTTATGGAGAATAGAATTAAAAGACAAGCTGGAGTCAGCTCTGTGGCGTAGTAGGCTAAGCCTCTGCCTGCAGCATGGCATCCTTGTTAGCTCCGGTTCGAATCCCGGCTGCTCTTCTTCCAATCCAGCCCCCTGCTTATGGCCTGGGAAAGCAGTGGAAGATGGCCCAAGTGCTTGGGCTCCTGCACCCATGTGGGAGACCTGGATGTAGCTCCTGGCTTCTCATCGGCTCAGCTCCGGCCACTGCAGCCATTTGGGAGTGAACCAGCAGATGGAGGACCTCTCTCTCCCTCTCTGTGTCTACCTCTCTCTATAACCCTCTTTCAAATAAATAAATTTTAAAAAACAACAATTAAAAAAAAGGCAAGTCTTAACTACATAAGAAATTCACTTTTAATATTACAGACATAGACAGGAAAAGACATTAACCAAAAGAGAGCTGAACAGCTATATTAACATCAGAGAGAGCTGTATTTCATAAAGGGGCCAGTTCCCCGTAAGACACAACAACCCTGCATGTGTGTGCACTTAACAGAGCACCACAAATACATGAATCCGCAGCCCCAGTCTGCAGTACCAGCACCCCTAGGGGCGCTAGTTTGAGTCCCGGCTGCTCCACTTCCAATCCAGCTCCTTGCGTATGTGCCTGGGAAAGCAGTGGAGATGGCCCAAGTACTTGGGCCCCGAACACCTACATGGGAAACCCAGACGAAGCTCCAGACTCCTGGCTTCGGTGTGGCCCAGCTCCAGCTGTGGCAGCCATTTGGGGAGTGAACAGCAGATGGAAGCTCTGTCTCTCTTTGTCTAACTGTACCTTTTAGATAAATAAATAAATCTTTTAAAATAAAACATGAAACTGGCGCCACGGCTCACTAGGCTAATCCTCCGCCTAGCGGCGCCGGCACACCGGGTTCTAGTCCCGGTCGGGGCGCCGGATTCTGTCCCAGTTGCCCCTCTTCCAGGCCAGCTCTCTGCTGTGGCCTGGGAAGGCAGTGGAGGATGGCCCAAGTGCTTGGGCCCTGCACCCGCATGGGAGACCAGGAGAAGCACCTGGCTCCTGCCTTCGGACCAGCGCGGTGCACCGGCCGCGGCGGCCATTGGAGGGTGAACCAACAGCAAAGGAAGACCTTTCTCTCTGTCTCTCTGTCTGCCTGTCAAAAAAAAAAAAAAAAAAAAAAAAAAAAACAATTTGATCGAGATGGCGAAGAAGTAAGATAAATCCACAATGGTCACTGAAGACTTCACCCTCTTCCCAGTGAACTGACAGAACAAGTGGACAGACAGGGAGAACACAGACGACTGAACAGCACCATGAGCCTATGTAACCTGACAGGCACACAGCACTCTCCAACAGCAGGATCCACAGGTTTCCCAAGTACGTGTGGACATACGCTAAGACAAACCACATTCGAGGCCACAAAACCGATCGACACAACATGAAGGAAGAGCACACACACAGTTAGGATCTGTGTCCCACGTGCTCCTAGCAACACTCAGGATTTTTGTTCCAGGATTATTCATCTCTTCCAGGGAAAATACCACAAACAATAGGGTGTTCACCCTCGGCAGCACGATCTTTGTGCATCTGTATTCTCAGTTATCTATGCTTCAGTACGGAGCAGCACACATGGAGATTCTTACCAAGTACAACATGTCAAGATGACCACTTGAAATACGCAATTATCCACATAAAAGAGAAGAAAGGCTACAGCCCATCTTACAGCGTCAGCAGGTTACTCACATTCTTCTTCTAGGTGTGACGCTGGGAAAGAAGTTTCTACACAGGGCCGGCACTGCGTGCTGCTAACAGGCTAGGCCCCAGCTTGTGGTACCAGCATCCCATATCAGAGTGCTGGCTCAAGTCCTGGCTGCTCTGCTTCCAATTCAGCTCCCAGTTACCGCACCTGGGCCCCTGCCACCTGTGTGGGAGTCCAGGGTGGAGTTCCTGGCATCAGGCTAGGCTAGCCCAGCCCTGGCTGCTGCAGCCACTTGGGGAGTAAACCAGAGGATGGAAGATTTCTCTGTCCCTTTCTGGCACTCTGCTTTTCAAATAAATAAATCTTTTTTAAAAATTAAAAAAAGTCACAAAGAATCATTTAATTTACCTTGTTTTCTTTTTAGTTGAAGACAGCAGTTTGATGGACTGAAGGAGAAGGAATGACAGCCGAGATTCAAATATACCGAGCAGTTTGATCACCTCTTCTCGATTGAGACTGGGGGAAGAGTCAGCGGCCGGAGCAGTCTCGCCACTCTTGGGCTGAAGACAACAAACAGTTACCTGGCTGAGAGCACCTGACAACTGCAGCGGCGCAGTGAAGTGATAAGCCAGACTTCCATCAACCAGTGAACTTTATAGACAGCACACACACAGCGTACATCGACTCACACACACAGTGAAAGTCTCACACCTAACAGCCACTTACGTTTCTTAAAAAACCTTAATCCTGAAGGAAAATCTCCTGACTTCCCAACAGCAGGCGCTAACAGAGCACCCTGGGAAAGGGCACCACACGGAGTGTGACTGAGCAGGCCTAGGGAAGCCGCAGGTGGGTGGACCATGGGGCCTCGGGAAGCCGAGCAGCAGCCGACAGCAGTGTGAAGGCTGAAATGCCCAGAAAGCCGGAAATCCTTCCAAGGAGCTGCTTAAGCCCACTCACCGCGCACCTGCTCCCAGAAAGTTTAGTGAGAACTACGAAAGGCCATGGGAAAAAGCGCAGTTCCCCACAAAGAGGCTTTGTGACTTTCTAACCAACGCCTTACTAGGAATGGTTTGAGACCTGTTAAGGCCCATTCTTAAAACTTCTAGAATACGAGATACACCTGCAAATTAAAGAGTTTAACAGCTCTACCATGCAAGCGTAACAAGTCACTGTTCATGTTGTGTATATGCAGAGTGTGTATGCATATGCACAGACACAAGGTATACCCACGCCTACACACAGGCATCACGCCCAACACACACGGTCACCACGCAGCCTGACACACGTAGAGCAGACGACGACTTCCCCGCTCACCTGCTCGGGGTCCTCCACCAGCTCCTTACGGAGCAGCTGGAATGCATGCTCTGTCCTCACCATGATGTCAAGAGCCCCGGACAGGGTCTTCAGCTTTCCAACGTTGCTATTCTGACCTAACGAATTGGAACACAAGATGATCATTCCTCTAAATAAACAACGTTAATACAGGAATGCAGGACGTTCGTGAGAATCCTAACAAATCTTCAAATCCAACTTGCTGGAAATTTTCCTGAGAAAATACGAAGTCCAGACCAGGCAGTAGAGTTATTTCCCTACCTCTCTACTTGGCTTTTTCAGAGCAAGAACACAACCTTTTTGAAGGGAATCAGAATCTCAAGCATTGGGTTAGAGGGGCCAGAGAGCAGCCCGCATCTGGAGCCGCCCACTGCTCATGGGCCATGTGATGTTAACCAAGTCACTCCAGCACCCGGCACCCGCCTCCATGCCTGTAAAGTAAGTACGTTACCTTTCCGTAACAGGCAGGAAGTAGGACCAGGCGAACAAGATTTCATCTTGTTCTAGGACCCCCTGAATCCTGCGAACACTACAAAGCACCCTTGCTCCTGTTCTGGGGCTTTCATTCAGGAGTCTCGTGTGCGGCAGAGGAGCAATCGTGTCCAGACAGGTCTGGCCTTCGTGGCTCACGGTGATCTCGAAACCCTTGACGTCTCACCAGATAACAGCCTTCACCTGGGGAGCCAGGGCCACCGAGAAGTCTTCATGAGATTTTCTTACGGGGATGTGGGCCCGTGCTAACAGCTGGACCTCCAGAGGAGCTAGGAACTGTTGTATGGGCAGTTGCCATGTCTCCATGACCGATTCCCCAACAATGTTGGACACTAAGGCGTGGGTGGGCCTCCCTGGCTGGCATCCCTGGTCGGGGCAGTCATGCAACTTTGCTGGAGGAGGTGGCACTGTCCGTGACGCCACTGGAAGGGGACACCTGGGACTGTCGCCCTCGGAACTCTCCTGGACTCTGCCCCACAGGCCTCTTCTCTTGGTCAGTTTGAATCCCTGTTCTTTCACTGTAAGAACAGCCTGAGTGACAGTCCTCCTCACGAACCGCCAACTTCAGGGTGACCTGGGGGACCCCGACTTTGGCCTCCACTGTTACCTTTACAGCACAAACCCTTTAAAACAACCCATTATCTTTAATACCAACGGCTGAGTGAGATTTCAGCGCAGTTCTGCATCGAGAAGACAGTGCTGATTATGCATGGAACTGCTGTTGGGGCAGCTGGCAGGCATTGGGAAGATAAACTTGAGCCATACATGCAAACTAGAGAAAAAACTGGGTAAAACGTACAGTAAACCAGAGCGTTTGTTAAGCTGGCTTACAAGACCCACAGATCTGACTAACAAACCCCTAAAATAGTCACATTCTTCGTCTGAGGCGCTAACAGTATTAACATTTGTGTCCCCAGCATCTATTTTTTTTTTCCTAAAAATGATGACTTCTCATTCTAAGAAGCACAAATACAGCAGGAAATTCAAAAGATACAGTGAAAAAAAGACCACCCCACCCCCACAGCCAGAAGGAGCTTCTTATCCCGCTGATTATCCCACACACCTAGGCAGGCACTGTGTACCAGCGAAAAACAAAGTAATTCTAGTAAGTACTTCCAGAAACTGTTCAGAATAGCTAACACTCCCCAAGTCTAGAAAGTTCAAATGAGCACACAGTGAACCCCTCCTGGCCTCCCAGGTTCCCTGATCAGAGGCAACAATTCCATCAGTTTGGGGTACAGTCTTCCAGGGCTGCTGTGCCTCTACACAAACTAAGGCCTGTATTTACAGAGTTACACGTATTTTACTTTTTAGAAGAAAAAAACTAAAATGCAATCCAACGAATCACTGTACTTCAAATCATTTCTTGTCTGTTTACCACACACAGGAGATTCTTCTCCAAAGTGAGGAGTAGAGAACTTAACAGGGAAGCATGAAGTGGCTGGCACGTCTGCCCGGCCCCGGCCCGAGCAGCAACAGCCCGAGCCTTCTCCCTTTCCCCTTCCCGCCCCCGTCTATCCTGACTGCTGCCAGACTGCCGAGCTCCTGCTCTGCTTAAAGGAGTCAGTGGGCACCTCCACTCCTTGCTGCTGACTCCCACCCCCAAGTTTCCTAGGCTCGTTTGAATCTTTAATTGCCTACACTGGCCCGTCAAAATTGCTTTCACACGACTCGAAGGAGTCATGGTTGTATTTCAGCATTTCTACTGATTAAATTTAATCTAATGCATTTCTCTGAGCTTTAAAAAGCACTCTTAGAAAGTGTAGACACTTCTCCCGGTCCATACCCAAAGAAGCTAGCTATTGGCCCACTGCAAACAATTCTACTTACATCCAAGAGACAGCCTCCGGTCTGTCTCGCTCTAAGACAGCCCACACACCTGAGGGACGAAGGGCAACACTTACCAGCCATCTGGAACTCTGCAAATGCCACTCTTTCCAGCTGGACTCGGAGCAGTTCGCACGGGGCATCTTTGAGAAGCTGGAACAGCTTCACAGCTTTGCTGTAGTGGAGATCCGCCAGCACCCGGTGCTGCTTCCTCAGGTGCTCGTCGCCAACCTGGAACCAGAAACACAGTGAGCGCAAACCCCAATGCCTGGGCCCACAAAAACACTGATCTAGTTGTCCGACTGGATCCCGAGGTGAGCTGTGGTCTTTTCTTCCCCGCAAGTGTTGCTGCTTCAAGTCCTGGCTCCATTCTCACTTCACTTGGCTATGATGTGAGGCAGAGTCCAGCTCCATTCTTCTGCACGTGCGTGTCAGCTGTCCCAGCGACCTGCTGCAGACCAGCCCTGCCCCGTGACCTGCACTGGCACCCTAACGCTTGCTTCTGCAGGAGGACATTGGGCCATCTGAGCAAACTGGAGTTCTGGCTGGGGGCCTCTGGTAGCAGGGGAGAGAAATTCTGCAGATCAAGCTGGACTTCAAAGGACAACACCCTCTCAGCGTAAGGGCAACCCAGGCACAGTAAGATACTTTGTTCTGGCACCAAGCCGAGACAGGGAGACCAACAAAACAAACATAAAAATCCCCACTGAGAAACTGGTGTAAGACTCCTTAGCAGGAGCAAAGCCATCTCTGTAAATGGAGGCACCTTCTGCCTGGGCCCCAAATTCTTCCCATGAAACACGCTTGAGCAGCAGGATTCATGCAGCTGATGGTAGATTATTCCTTACAGCACTAAACTGGAATAATCAGCATCTTGGTAATCATGGAATGACTGAGTAACTATGATATATTCATTTAATGAACACCACCAAGCCGAGAGAATGAACAGCTACACGCAAACATGGATGAACCCAGAACCATGCGACACGAAGGCAACAAGCCACACACAGCACACACGAGAGATCTGAGCCACAAAGCAGGAGGTGAAGACAGACACGTTCAAGTGGTAAAACACACAGAAAGTCTGAACACAGCAGAAAACCCAGGATGGCAGTTAATCCAGGTTGGCTATCCAGGGACACAGAGGCAGGGGAACACGGGGCTCTCCACAGCACCAGGCCTACCCTCAACTTCCAGGAGAGGAATGTGGGGTTCCCTCTTGTTACTCCTTAAGCTGCATTTTGTGCCACATATATTTTCTTCTCTTTCATTAAAGATTTATCTATTTACTTGAAAGGCAGAATTAACAAAGAAGCAGAGGCAGAGAAAGAAAGTCTTCCATCTGCTGGTTCACTCCCCGAATGGCCACAATGGCCAGAGCTGAGCCAATCCTGAGCCTGGAGCCTGGAGCTTCATCTGGGTTTCCCAGGAAGGTACAGAGGGCTAAAGACTTGGGCCATCTTCTACTATTTTCCCAAGCCATAGCAGAGAGCTGGAGTGGAAGTGGAATAGCTGGGACTCGAACCTGTGCCATATGGGATGCTGGCACTGCAGGTGGCGGCTTTATCCATTATGCCATAGCGTCGGCCCCCACATATGTTTTCTATCTACTTTTATGTGCACATTCTATTTCACAGTAAGATGGAGACCAGTCCTATAAACCCACATTATCTTAAAAAAAAAAAAAAAAGTCTAAATAACACACCCAAGCACAATATCTAATTTTGCAAACTAAGAATCAACCAAACACCACAGAGAAAAATACACAGAGGTGAGAAGAAAAACACACCCTACAGCAGCTAACTGGCCTCCATGGTCTTGAAATCTGTGAGAACGTGAGCAAACCCCCCGCGACACTGGCCGCAGCCAGGGTGACAGTACCTGATTCCTCAGACAACTGTGGTACATGGAAGCCAGCCTGTGGTGGATGGTCGCAGCTCGATACTGACAGAGAGGCTGCCGGGCGGACGGCAGGTCAGCGTCGCAGTACTTCAGGGACTTCATCATGGCCTCACTCACTTCTTTCTCGATCTGATGGGAAAAATAGGAACAAGCTGGTAATACAAGAATTGTTAAAATGTGTACACACTGCTTCTCAAGGAGAAGCCGGTAACAGATGCTGAGTATTTGCTAAAGAGCTAAAGGCATAACTAAGGCTGCAGACTTATTTTAATCCAGCAAAGACGTTACCTGCTCCTGAGCTTTTCTGGACAAGGGAGCGTAATCCTGTTGCAGAGTTGCCATGGTGAAGTAAGTAGTAGACAATTCCCAGTGCACGGAGTCCCAAACAGCGGGGTGTATGTCTCGTGTTCCCAAAGACCTCAGAGCTTTCAAATAATAATCAACAGCCTGCAACAGAGGGCAAAGTATGCATTTCTGACTCAGTCTAAATGTACCACATTAGAACACAACATACTCCAAGTCTATCCAGATGCTAATTTAATTGTGGAGAACACAGAAGGGGACAGCGTCATGAACTGCGCGTCCCCATCTGCAGCCCGGGGTGAGCCGTCCTGCTGCGCTGCCTTCCGCCTCGCGCCGATGCGTGCAGGTACAGCTCACTGTTTTTCCCTCTAAACCAAAGTTGTGCATATGACTAATGAGAAAGAAAGTAATTCTCAAATTACATCCTGAACAAGAAATCTGCCCAATTTTACTATAAAAACAAGTCCCCTGGCTCTGTCATCCCCATCCTAAAACACACAGCCACTGTATCTAAACAAAACCACACTTAATGCCATCACCCGGCAATAATTTCTACATTTCGGGTATGCAATTATTCATTCTTTTTTTCTGCATATATATAAACTTGAAAAGCAAAAAACAGTCACTTTTAACACTTACTATGTCATAAATATACTTCACTAATTCATTTAAATATACACAGCTTCAAAATATTTCATTACATGACCATTTCTTTCCTTGTGCCCTCCCAAGAGTGGATGTCATCTTTTGCCAAAAAAATTTATCAATCTGATAAAGGAAAGTCAAATTTTAAAGTCATGTAAATTTAAATTTTGAAAGTTTTATTATGTACATAGATTCTTTAAAAAGATTTTTATTTATTTGACAGGTAGAGTTATAGTGAGAAAGAGAGAGAGAGAGACGGAGAGAAAGGGCTTCCTTCTGTTGGTTCATTCCCCAAATAGCCGCTACGGCCAGCGTGCTGCACCGATCTGAAGCCAGGAGCCTGGTGCTTCTCCTGGTCTCCCATGCGGGTGCAGTGCCCAAGCACTTGGGCCATCCTCCACTGCTCTCCCGGGTCACAGCAGAGAGCTGGCCTGGAAGAGGAGCAACCGGGACTAGAACCCAGCACCAATAAGGGATGCAGGCGGAGGATTAACCCAGTGCGCCACCATGCCTGCCCCTGTATATACACATTAACCATTTACCTTTATAATGAATTTCCTGTTGTAGGTTATTTGCCCTTTTCCCTACCGGATTTATTTTCAAGAACTTTTTAATTCTTTATATATAAAGGTAAATTCACCTGCAGTGTGTCATGGATAACTGTCACCCCGAGATGTGGTCTGCTCTCAGGATTACTTTCTGTTGTGTATTTTCTCACCGTTCAGTTTACCCATCTTTCACCCACGCTGCTCTCCTGCCCCGTCACATAACCGAGTCCCTGCACTTTCTGTGGGGACTTTTACTGTGGTGCCTTCTCCACACCAGCCTTTAATCCACCTGACACTGACTCTGGCTGCATCGACACAAGTCACTGGAAGCTCTGCTTCCTAACAATTCATTACGCCGTCTGCAACACCACCTTCTCACTGTTCTCAGGCGTCTCTAAGTGTTAATGATCTGTCTGCTCCTATGCCTTCAGCACAGCGGAACTATTTTTAGTTTCACAGTACGTAGTGGAGGAGTGGCCGGCCGAGCAGACACGTCACCTTATTGTAATACAAGCCTTCTTCGGGTGAGAATTCACGCTTGAACTCGTCGCCTGCGCCACAGTGAGCCTGGGCACAGATTCGCATGAGTCTCCCCGTGTTGCACAGCAGGAGGGCAGCGTTGGTAGCATCACCGATCGACTCAAAGTTGTGAATCCCCTTTTCAAAACAAGAAAAGCTTTTTTTCCACAACTGTTGCTCTGCAGCGGACACAGATTTGCTCACTTGCAAGGAAAGAAAGAAAACAAGTGCATGAGCAGTCATCAGTGCAAACCCCACCACTGCCTCCAGACGACGGCAGGGACAGGCGTCCTCGGGGAGGCAGCCATACCACCCATCCTGACCACCGCGGAGGCGGGTGTGTCCCCTGCAGTCCTACACTGAGCTCTAATCCCAGCACCTCAGAACATGACTGTTTTTAGGATACAGCCCTTCAAGAGGCAATTAAGTTATTCTTGATTAATTTATTTGTATGAAAGGCAGAGTGACACAGAGAGATCTTCCACACCCCAGGTTCACTTCATAAATGACCACAACTGCCTAGGCTGGGCCAGGTTTGAAGCCAGGGGTCAGGAGCTCCATCTGGGTCTCCCACATGGGAGGCTTAGTGGACCATCACCCACTGCTTTCCCAGGCACACTAGCAGGGAGCAGGCCTGGAAATGGAACAGCTGTGATTCAAACCCGGGCTCACATGGGATGCCAGTATCAGAAACAATGGCTTAATCCAACTGCACACATCGGCCCCAGTAATTAGGTTTAAGTGAAATCCTAAGAGTGCAGCTCTAGTCTGGCATCACTGATGTCCTAAGGAGACAAGGGGCGTGCACAGAGGAAGACCACGAGAAGACAGGGAGGGAGGCCTCAGAAGAACCCAGCCCTGCCAGCACACTGGTCATGGACTTCCAGCCTGCAGGACTGTGAGACAACACATCTCTCCGGTTTAAGGGACCCCGTCTGTAGCACTTTTCAATGCAGCCCCGGCAGACTCCAGAAGCGCCCTCCTCAGTACTAACTGCTACTAAAACAGGCAGACAAAACCAGGAGTAATGCACCGTTGGCTGGAGTTTTAAGAAGTTACGATCGCGTTTTATCTGGTTCTTGTAGGTTCCTAACTGCCACTTCCCACACCCTCTTGGTGACTTCCTCTTTTGGAAGACACTTAAATGCACAAGCTCTCACTAGCAATGAGCTCTGGGGGTGTCACCTGCAACCCGAGGCCAAGCACAACTCACAATCAACAGGCTACATGTCCAGCCTTTCCGTCTTCTCTGGTCTCACAACTCCAACTCTCGCCCTTGTGAGAACGGCTCTCCATCTGCTCTAAGCACACTGCCAATCAACTATCGACTCACACAACGTCCCATGCGTATCTCAAGCCACCTGATACGTCACCCCTGCCTGCCTGACCCACACAAGGTTTCCTGCTGCCTCCCCAGCCTGATCAATGCATCTTTTTCCCAGAAGTCTCCCAGGAACCCTCCAACCTCAGTGAGCACCTCCTCCACAACTCTCCTACTGACGGCGCTTGGACTTCTCTACAGCACTTCTCAGAGAGCTGTGCTCCTTTCTGGCTTCCCAAGTACAAGGGGGACTATGTCGCAGCCAATCTCACCCCTACACGGAGCCTGGCACAGGCTGGCTGTCCATCTGCCTCTGACTGACCAGAGGAAGCACGGAAGTGGGAATGGAAACACTCAAATGATGGGTCACAAAGGGAAGACAATGGATTTTTTCCTAATTTTACTTCTTGAGAATTTAACACTGATTCTCTAACACAAAAAAAGGCAAGTGTTACAGTTCTTTGCTTGACCTGTACGAAATCAACATGACTTTCTAATTTTCTGAAACATGCAATAAAAGGAAGAATCCAGAAACATACTCACCTACTCTCTCACTCTGTAATGCAGCAGCCTGGTTCATATAAAATACACCTATTTCATTTCTGATGTTGCCCATTCTCTTCAACACTTGTACATAGTGCTCTGGATTTTGGTTTTTTAAGTCACTAAATTGCAAGATTTCATTAGCAGCCTCATAACATTTACAGCTAACTGAAAGCTGACTTTCCAAGTCTGTAGACAAATCGGTAGCCCACGCAAATCCTTCAAAGAGAAAAAGCAAATATCAACACGAGCCAAGTGAATCCCTCTTCCTCAGCATGCCACGTGAAACTGGTCATCTAAAGCTCAACTTTGAAAACAACAATCCCTACTTACAAGACTGCATTTTCTTGGGCATTAATGTTTGATTAAAGGAAATATTTTCCTTTCTATAAATATGAAAATAATTTCTATCACCCAGATTTTTCCAGGCACGCTTGTTTACTGTACAGATTTAAAAAGCTGTCCACTGATATAAAGTAAAGCCACTCCCATCTGCCACACTGAGAGAGAGAGAGAGAGAGAGAGAGAGACTGACTGACAGCACTCTCCAAACCTCTGGCTCGCTCCCCAGATCACCTCAACTGAACCAGGCCAGTGCCAGGAGCAAGGGACTCCATATGGGTCTCCCAATTGGGAGACTCAATATGGGACCCAATTACTTGAACCATCACCTGCTGTCACCCACGGAGTGTAACGACAGGAAGCTAGAATCCAGAGTAGAGCTGAAACTTGGACCCAGGCATTGTGATGTGGGACAAACGCATCCCAACGGCAGCTTAACTGACAGGTCAGATGTCTGGGCCAAGTAAACTTTCTTTGAAATTAATGGAGACAGTTTCAGAAATAAAACGTCAATGTTCAGTTTAAGTCCCTGAGGAAGCTGCTAGATAAGACCTCAAAGTCTTAAAAATGCCATCTAGTGGGGACTGAGGAAGTTACGTACAGGACCCCACATCTGAGGGGAGGAAACGTGGCACTCCTGTTGATAACATTCAAATATATGGGGAAAAATCCTCCTCCTCCTCCATCAAGTATTTTAATTGAAATGACTATAAGAAAGGTAAAAAACTAAGCATTTCCCACTCTGTCTATTAAAATAAAATGATCGTTTAAGATAGAGAAAGAAAAGCAGGCAAAACATACGCAATATCACATTTCCCCTCCTTGCCTGTACTCCTCCAGCTACGAACTATCCAAGACCTTCTGGAGGGGACATCCAGTGTCTCAACATTCTCAGAGAACACACAGGTCCCTGATACACAGAAGCATCTCCTTTACTCCCTGATGGCAGTGTCCTGCCTACGTACCTGTGTGAGACGACGAGGGAGGACACTGCTGGTCTGGGTGGAACTGCCCTCGTTCCCAGTCTAAATCTGAATGCTCCAGACATACAGTCTTTAAGGGCGCTATGAACCAATTAAAAATGGTGACTGCCTCATCCCAGCCCCCTTAAACATTCAGCACTCATTCAGTCCACTTTCACCAACTGCTGTTCTTTCTCCAGAGAAAAACATCCATGGCCTGGTGAACTGACTAAATCGTTATCTAGAAAAACCTCAGGAACGGAGAGTCAAGGTCAACACGACTGTCTTCAGATTTGACAGTCAGTTCTAAGATCAAGCTCATTTTTAAAATTAAGAGAAAGAGACAAAGCAGAACAATGTCAAACTAAGAAAGCTCCTGCCTTCTCTGGGCATGAACACACGCGTGAGCTGGGTGGCAGCAGCCCACGCGCGTCTCTGGCCCACCTTGGCAGCTGGACTCTCTGTGAAGGCTGTGCAGAATCTCCTGGTCTTCCTTCGTCTGGTAATGGAACTCCTCCAGGTGGGCTGCGCGGTTACTGGCGTTCTGGGCCAGCATTAGCTGGATGTCCCCACAGAGCGTCAGGTATTGGGAGAGAAACAGCAGCACTTCAGAGAGCACGTTGGTGCAGAGGCAGCAGTAAGTGTCTGTGGAAAGCGCAGGTCAGGCAAGCACAGCACGCGGCACGCCACACGCGGCACGCTGCACGCTCAGTCCAGCTCAACGCTCCAGCCACCGCGGCCAGTCCGAGTTTATCTGTCTGGAACACACTGGCTTCACGTATTTCACAATGAAGAAATGTTAAATCACCCCGAGCAGAAAACACAAGGATCAGAAGTCTTTTTAAAACTGAATTTTGTGAGATTTAGGTAGGAGAGAATCTCCCTGCGATTCCGAGGCCACCTTCTCCCCTCCCAGTGCCCACGGCACCTCCCTGGGGGCGGCGCTTACCGTGGCTCTGCAAAGCCAGTTTGATGTAGCGGAGCGCTCTTCCATACTTCTGAAGGCTCATGGCCGCATCAGACAACACGTAATAGGCCTTTGACGACTTGAGAATCAGCTGAAGCTTCATTTTATGTTGCCAAGAACCAGGGATCATTCCAGACTGACTGGAATAGTTACCCTTCTGCAGGGAGCCCACTATGACAGGGGAGAGAAAAGGCAGCATATTTTATTTAAATGTCTCTCAACAGCAACTGCTCGTCCACAGGAACACTGCACACGTAGGCTCTACTGCTAAATACTGCCCTTCACCGCTCAGACACGACGGAGGAACAGTGGTGCTTAGACTTGCTTGGGAGTTCCAAGGCTTCACGTTTCCCTGCGGTCATCAACCCTGTCCCTCTCTTGTGGGTCCCTGACGTGGCCAAGTGCATGACTGTCACCTGCTTCCTCACTCCAGTCTAGCCGTCAACCTACAGTACAGCTTTATTCGGGGTCAAAGTCTGTCTTCACCACGTAAGTCTAAGCCTCTTAGAATACTCCCTACGCCTCACTGTGCAGTCTTCCCTATACTTCAGCCGTGCTACCCACAGCTCACATCACCACTGCTGCTCTCTCCCATCTCCCCACGGGGCTTCCTGTCCGCTGCAGCAGGAACACTCTATTTAAAAATCAACCCATCGCTACCTTTCTCATTCACCAGACGGGCACCTCTGCGTCAAGGACCGAGCCAGGCAGACATGGAAGTTACGTGGCTTCTCTCCTTTGTAATGTAAACACCACGAAATACAGTGAGCATGACTACAGAGAACAAACCGCCGTGGAGCACGCTACTCCACAAGGAACACTACTCATCTCTCCCTAGCTCTAAGATTTCTCACGCTGTCACCAGCTGGACAGCTGAGAACCCCAGGGCAAGGACAGGTTCCTAGTCTCTCCTCGGGTTTAACGTGTGCATGTATTTCTTCCCTGCTGCTCCAAGTGTTATCTGTGAGAGGCTTTGTGAGCGACCTACAGAGGACTCAGGTGAAGGTCTTGCTCAACTGTGGTTGTGTGCAGGGTACACCCACTGAACACAGGCGCCCGCAGGACACAGTGCCCAGGGAATCACTAACTCTGGGAGAGAGGCAAGCCTGGAGATTCTGAACTTGAGAAGGATTTAACTTAGCAGAGGAAAGAGAGAGGACAAAAAAGAAAAAAGGCATTTCAGCAAAAACAGCAAAAGTCCCAGGAGAGTATACAACAAATGCCACATAAATGCTGGCAAGAGAAACCTATTCCCACCCTCCCCACCCCAACTCTTGTGTTCATGAAAAGTTGAAAGGTGCAGAAAGAAACTGATACTTCAAACACAGGCGTCCAGAAAAGTGTTTTAAACAATTCAAACTGACGGGGGGGGGGGGGGGGGCACAGAATAAGCTGGAAAAATACAACTTAGATTAAAATAAAGAAGAAACTTAACACTTGGGACTCCACAGAGCACAAATTCTTCATGGAGCGCTGAGGGACAGTGGTCAACAGTGACACTTCCAGCTCGCTAGACTATGGGACAGCAGCCAGTGCCTCGACAGGACTGACCACGGACATGCAGCTAAGCACTCCTGAGTGTGTGTCTGTGTGTGTGTGTGTGTGTATTTTTTTGGGGGGGACAGGCAGAGTTAGTGAGAGAGACAGACAGAGAGAAAGGTCTTCCTTCTGTTATTCACCCCCCAAATGGCCGCTACCGCTGGTGCTGCGCCAATTTGAAGCCAGGAGCCAGGTGCTTCCTCCTGGTCTCCCATGCGGGTGCAGGGCCCAAGCACTTGGGCCATCCTCCACTGCCTTCCCGGGCCACAGCAGAGAGCTGGACTGCAAGAGGAGCAACCGGGACAGAACTGGCACCCCGACCAGGACTAGAGCCCTGGGGTACCGGCACCGCAGGCGGAGGATTAACCTAGTGAGCTGTGGCGCCAGCCAGCACTCCCGAGTATTAACTCTTCAGTCCTTCTATCTGCCCATCACAGCAGGCTCTATGACCATCTCCAGTTTGAGAGAACAAAGCCACGATTTGAAGCGAGGCAGTCCGGCTCCTCTGTCTGTGCCTGTAACACTCCACTGCTTTAACCAAAGCAGCGATTTCTTAGGAGAAGTTTGCCTACTGACTGCTGACGGCAGTGATCCCTCCCGGAGGGTACTGGGAAGATACAGGTTCCTCATGTTCTTATTAGAAATACGGACGAAAGATCAAAATTATCCTGCCTTTTTTGCTACTGAACGAAAGGATACATTCCCCCTACTGCCCATTCAATGATGTCCTTCCCTCAACTCCTTTCAATGGGTGCCTTAATTGGCAAAAGTCTGCTGTTGATAAAGCATCAGTGTTATTATTCTATCGAAGGCCTTATTTGCACATCCATTCAACTTACTTTTGTCCAAAAACAAGGCCATCTGCTTCTCTAGCCCCTCAGGACCCCCCCTTGAGGATTCGTCTTCATATTTTAACGGGATTGGGGTGCTGGGGTCAGCTGCCGGAAGGTCACTTTCTTTTTTGATGCTGCTATCTACAGATTTTAAACCCTTTAAAAAAAGGAAAAACATTTACTATACACTTAACTGAAGGTCAACTGAAAACTAAATATAAGGCAGTATCTGGACTACTGAATACATTTAGGAGAATTTCTATTTTGGAAACAGACTTTTAAAAAGCACATCTGATTTGAAAGATCTGGGACGAATTGATTTGATTTCTACTTTACGTTACCACAGGGAAACTGCCATTTACGTGTCAGGAGCAAACTGTACTGGATAGGGAAGACCAAGCACTCACCTCCAGAACGTAGCTGAGGACGAGCCGGCAGCGCTCTTCTGTGTCATGGCAAACCGGGAACGCACAACTGGGCTTCAGAAACAAACAGTTAGAGTGGTTAGAGTTCTCCCAGAACAACAGGTCCCACAGCGCTCACGTCCTGGGGAGGACTAACACTCTCAGCCCAGCAATGCAGAGATGTGCTTCTGCACCGAGCTCAGTGATGGGTCTGACGCGAAGGTTAAGGGACAGTTTCTGTTACACAGCAAACAGCTGCCAACACCATCCACGGAAATCTCACCCAACGAAGACATCACCTGGCGTATGCTGCTTTAAGTACTAATTCTAAAACCAATTCTATTATGACAAAAAACACAAATAGTAGTAATGTTTTAAATAAATGTACTATCAAATCTAACAGGTCAGTGTAACTCCCCTAATTAGTCCCAATACTTGGCAATGCACAATTAACAGTATCATCAATTTAGCAGTAAGTTAACACATATCACTCATGATCTCACTGTTTAATTTATTTGCCTAATTAAGGAGCAAAACCAGTTAATAACCCCCACCCTCCAAGCGGCATTACTGCAAGGCCTCTGCTAAGCACTCCATTCTGCCGAGTCCTGGGAGGCCCGAGTCACTGCTTTCCTTTCACAGAGCGGGGACTCACACAGATGGCTGAGTGTCTAGGACCCAGCAACTAGTGGGGGGGGCGGGGATGTCGGGACCTCTACTGCCGCCGGTGCACCGCGTTCTCCACAATGGATGACGAATGCTGACCAAAGACCTGTTTCTGTGAGTACAGCAATTGCTCTGGACACCAGCACCAAGGGCTGCTTTTGTGAGGAGTGTGCTGACCAACACACCACCCATCTCAATCACCAAAAAGCCCCCACGCCCCTTACAATGCAGCTTCCCAAACACATGTAACTTTTGCCACCAATGCTTCTAACCAGAGAAACATTTTTTTTACTCTGCTGTGAGGTTTAAGCTTAGAGTGCCCATTTAGATGAGCCGTTAAGAACTTCTTCCTATAGTCATTTAATCAAGTATTTCCTGAGCACCTATTACATGCTCTAGGACATGGGAGGTGGAGTGACTGGACCTGCAGGAAACTTAGATTCCACTGACAAGAGACACTGGCAAAAATAGGAATTTCAAGTATAGGTAGGCATCTTAAGGAGACAAAAAGCAAAGCATGCTGGGGCTAGGGTTGTGGCATAGTAGGCTAATCTTTTTCCTCTGACTCTGGTTTCTAGGATAATCTTTATCTTCATTTTGGGTACAGTTACAATTAAAATCAATTTGGGGGGCGGTGATATGGCCTAGCAGGCTAGGCCTTTGCCTGCGGCACCAGCATCCCATGTGAGCGCTGGTTTATATCCTGGCTGCTCCTCCGCTGATCCAGGTCTTTGCTATGGCCTGGAAAAGCAGAAGAGGATGGCCCAAGTGCTTGGGGCCCCAGCACCTGCATGGGAGACCAGAAAGAAACTCCTGGTTTCGGATTGGCCCAGCTTTTGCCATTACAGACATTTGGGGAGTGAACCAGCAAACAGAAGACTTTTTTTCTCTCTCTCCCTCTCTCTGTCTGTAACTCTACTTCTCAAATAAATAAAATCTTAAAGCCACACACACAAAAAAACCCAAACCATCTTTGGCCAGTCGTCAGGAAGTCTCCTGGAGGAGGTGGCACATCAGTCAAGACTCAAGGTGTAAAAAGAGTTGCCCTGCTGGCGCTGGGGCATAGAGAGTAAAGCTGCCACCTGACGTGCTGGCATCCCATATGGGTGCTGGTTCGAGTCCCGGTTGCTCCACTTCCAACCTAGCTTCCAGCTAATGGCCTGGGAAAGCAGTAGAAGATGGCTCAAGTGCTTGGGCCCCTGCAATCATGTGGGAGACCAGGATGAAGCTCTTGGCATCAACCTGGCTCAACTATGGCCATTGTGACCATCAAGGGAGTGAACCAGCAGATGAAAGGTATCTCTCTCTGTAACTCTTTCAAATAAATAAATCTTCAAAAAAAAAAAAAAAAAAAGAGCGAGAGAGAGAGATGACCTGTAACCATGACTGTATTTCAGTGCCGGAAACAGAAGTCTCTAATGACAGACCTGGACCTGACCCCTGGAGACAGACAGCCATGGAAGAACAGTCAGCACTGACAGTCAGGGTCTATCTGGTCCTGAGGAGGGCAGAGACAGGTCCAATGTGGCCACATGGCCATGGTCACAGAAAAAGTCCTGCCTTTCCTAATATAGGGAGAATGCCTCAGGTCCTTCCACACACACACAAAGGGCTCCTTCCTTCTCCACTTTGATTCTACGTTCACCAAGCAACTCATATACAATTTCCCAGCAACACAGAACTCTAGAGAAGTGCTCTGGTGGGGAGACCTATCTGTGAGTGCACACTGGAAAGGAAAGTCTCTGCACAGAAAGTCACGGGTCACACTGGTCCACCACAGGCTGGCACATGTGAGTCAGCTACCCTGGGACAATTCTGAGCACGAAAAACTAACGATCACTAGACCCTGGGCCACGAAGGATTTACTACTGGAGTAATGTCATTTTGAGGCCAATATATCCAATTAGCAATTGTGTGACAAAACTTTAACACAAAATCTAACATGCTTACTCTGATCTGATGGATGGATTTGTATTTTTCTGGTACTGACAATTCTCCCACAGACTTAATGATGGCTACTGCCTTGTTATCATGCGATGGGTCAGAGCTGCTGTAGGATCCATTTTCATCACTGTCTGGCATCTCCTCCTCCTCCTCACTGTAACTTTCATCAGAATTCTCATTTAATGGAGATTCTGAACTGTCTTCCTTCTTAGGTTCATCCAACTGAAAAAGTTCTGAAAGCATGTAATTGGCTGAAGCAATTATCTTATAAAAAAAAGAGAGAAACACGCGTAAGTGATTGCATCAAACCCGTCTCATCATTAAGACAAATTAATTCTATTAACACACAAATAAATTTTAGAAAAAGGCCTGCAAATAGGCTGTTTCTACCATAAAGAGTAACACACACAGAAACACTCCCAATTCAAGTTACAAATACCCAGGGTGAGCTCTTAAAAACCTCAGGGGTTGATGTTTCTTATTTCCTGAAATTATTCCACTCTGAGCCATCACTCTTAAAAAAGGTGGCAAGAGTATTTCATTGGAGGCAGGCAAAGCTTTTAGGTATAGAGTGTTCTAACTAAAATGATAGCAAATACCATCCCTCAAGTGAGAAATCACCATTTCTCTTTACAGACAGTGAATCAATACAAGTTTATCTGTAACAGGCAATCACTATTTATTACATAGCATATGGTTCTAGGGGGAAGCTCTACTAGATTACAGAAGAAAAGTCCGTTTTGACACCTGTTAAAACAAGCATGTATGTATGTATTAGCATTCACCCCCTCTCCTGACTCTGTCTACCTTTCACACAAACCACACGAGTTCCACTAAATATCACCCCCTCAATAGGCAATCAGAAATTTAAGTCAGAAACTGTTCAGCCATTTTTCTGGGGAAAACTTTTTTTTCCTTTGAGTTCAATCTCTAGGATAATCTTTACCTTCAAATTGTTTATAGTTATAGTTAAAATCAATCTGGGGGGCCAGCACTATGGCCTAGTAGGCTAGGACTTCGCCTGCAGCACCAGCATCCCATGTGAGTGCCGGTTCGTGTCCTGGCTGCTCCTCTTCCAATCCAGCTCTCTGCTTACGGGCAGGGAAAGCAGTGGAAGATGGCCCAAGTGCTTGGACCCCTGCACCCACATGGGAAACATGGAAGAAGCTCCCTCTCTGTGTCCGTAACTCTACCTCTCAAATAAATAAAATCCTTAAAAAAATTTTTTTAAAAAATAAAGTCAACTTGGATCTTTTAAGAAAAATCACAGGGGCTGGTGACATGCTGTAGCGGGTAAAGCTGCCGCCTGCAGTACTGGCATCCCACATGGGTGCTGGCCAGAGTCCCAGCTGCTCCTCTTCCCATCCAGCTCTCTGCTGTGGCTTGGGAAAGCAGTAGACGATGCCCAAGTCCTTGAGACCCTGCACCCACGTGGGAGACTCAGAAGAAGCTACAGGCTCCTGGCTTCAGATCAGCCCAGCTCCAGCCATTGTGGCCATTTGAGGAGTGACCCAGCATATGAAGACACCTCTCCCTCCCTCTCTCTCTCTGCCTCTCTGTAACTCCGCCTTCCAAATAAATAAATAAATCTTTTAAAAAAATTACATATCCTACATACCTTTTTTGATTTTAAAAAGATACAATTAGCCTTATACCAAAAAATACCATTATCAAATTGAGACAACTGAGGATAGGCATGGTATAAAAGTATGGGGAGCATGACTAAAAGAAAAAAAGATCTACCTACCTACCTACCTATAAATCCGAGAGGCAGAGAGAGCTCCCATCTGCTGCTTCACTATCCAAATGCCAGCAATGGCCAAGGCTGAGCTAGAACTCAGTCCAGGCCTCCTGTGTGAGGGTCAGGGACCCAGGTACTGAGCCGTCATCTGCTACCTCTCAGGGGCTGCACTGGCAGGAGGCTGGCATCAGGAGTCAGAGCCAGGAATCGAACTCAGGCACTGCAACTGCTATGGGATGCAGCTGTCTTAACTGCTGGGCCAAACAGCTGCCCCAAGAGAACATTCAGTAAGATGCATTTACATACAAAAGTAGGGGCTATGAGCCTTATTTACATTTAAAAATATTCAGTTACAAGGTCCATTCAAGTAAATGGGTCTTTAAGTTTTCCACCTTCTTTATTTTAATTTTTAATTAGTTTTCTGCCTTCCAATAGCAATAAAACAAAGAAAAAAGAGCACTACTGCTACCATCATATAAATCACAGAGCAGCATTCACACACACACCACCTTCGCCCGCCTTGCGGAAGCACAGAGGACATGCAGTGTTTCAAGCACTCAGGAGCCACAGGCGGTTGGTGCCTTCCACCCCAGACAGCAGTCGAGAAAATGCAGCAGGAGGCTTCACTGTCTAAGCAATAACTCCCAGCACAGTGCCAGCATTCTCTGGAACACACACACAGTCTTACTTGAGGATGCCTGCTTTTGTCCAGCAACCTCACACAGTTGAGCAGCAATGTTCTAATGGTCCCGTAGTGCTTCTTATTCTGATTCTTCTTCATCATCATGTTACAAGCAACCCTGAAAGAAGTTTTTGTATCAGCGTCACTCCCTATTTGTCACTCTCTGCAAGATTAAAATCTACACAGTTCTTGTTTCTTTCTTCCCAACAGAATGAGGGCTACAAGAAACAACTAAACCTTGTACTTTGTCCCTCCACCCCCCACAGAAGTCTTCACTATGCTTCAGTAACAAAGCTGGGTAGTATCTGGTATGTGTGTGTGTGTATCCCCTCCCTGCGGCCAGGAAAACGCACAACAGATTTAAAAGACTGGCACGGCTAATGAGGCTGTGCGCTGTATGATTTTACACAAAGCTGGTTCCTCCTCGTGTTCCGCAAGGCACTCACTTGTATAAGAGAATGGCCACTGGCATTGTGAACGGGTTTTGATACTTGTCCTCAGTCTCTTCACACAGAGTAGTGAGATCATAGAGCTTCACTACATCACTGCCGCTCGCTGCAAAGGAAAACAAAGCTCACTCTATAGCAGGCATTCACGTCGACGGCTGCCCGCCGAGAGTCGGCTTACCTTTGAAGAGCCAGTAAGTGTGTCCTTCCTTGGTACAGTTAGATTTCAGAAATGATAAAATATTCTGCGCGATGTCTTTTATGACTTTTGTAGAAAAATTAGAATTTTCCAAATTGGGAATCTCTTCTGTCTTTATCATTTCATACTTCTGTAACGTAAGTGGAAGGCAGTTTAAGCGGTGACCCGAGGAAGCAATATCTGGCTTATTAAAAAGCAACCAAATAAATGTTGCAGGCCCAGCTCCGCTGTAATCATTTGGGAAGTGAACCACAGGATGGAAAATCTGTCTCTCTCTGTAACTCTACGTTTCAAATAAATAAATATTAAAAAAAAAAAACCAAACCAACACAACAAATTTTGCCTCCCAGATACAAAGCCTTTCTTCTACCAATGGAACCAAGTCCAACTCCTTAGCTGCTCGCCATTATTTGGTCCTGACATTTCCCACTCTTCTTTGACATGAATCCTGTGTTCCCTAACTGGACTTACCAATCCCTTCTTTGCCTACACTGGTCTGTTAAAACCCAGCTCCTATTTTTCTAGATGCTCACTACCAGTCAAGACCCAGTTAAGATGCCCCTGCTCCCACACTGTCTTGACTCTGCCCTCCAGATTATCCACACTTCCGTGGGAACTGAACTTTCCGTTCTCACCTCCTGTCTGCTCTGCTTCCTCAGCACAGCACCACTTCTCACTACACCGTCTGGGATAAGCTGCCTCCCAAACGTAATGTGCTCAAGAAGAATTTACTATCTACCTTATTACTTAATTTTCACTGTGGCCTCCCCTAAAACTGTGCCTATGCAGTACTGAGTACATATTTGTGTAATAAAGAAACATGGCCCACCCCATACAGACACTCAGGTAACAGCCATAGGTTTTTGGAATTAAAATTATAGTTCTATGATTACAAATGTAGGTTTTAGTACATTTTTATATTTGTATTTACATATGTATATGTGATTGACCCACAAATTACAAGTAAAATTATATTCCTGTGACAACTAGAATTCTGATGTTACCAACTTTAAAACACTGAAAATTCAGTTTATTCACAGCTATCTTCTTTGCCAAAAATACACTTTAGTATTTAAGGCAGAAATACTCTGCCACAATCTGCGTTTAGGAGATCAGAAAAACCACAGGGTATCTTACCTGTACAATTCCATTTACATGAAAACACATCACAAGCTCCGGCACATTGCATATCAAGTTGTCCAACCAATAGTCAATTCCAGTTAGCACATTAATTGGTTTGTTATTATCCCTGAAAATATACATGTCTGGAGTTAACAGTTTAATAAAGATGTCCTGATATGAATCAGACTTTCTTGCCCATCTAAGTATTTTAATCTACTCTCCCTAGATGGAAAATGCCACACACGCTTTTCCAATGAGATAAACACGTACAGCTCAGTGGCTGTACTGTATCCAGCATCCTTTCAAAAGCTTTGTTTGTATTTCTGACTGATAACCATAAGTTTTCAGTAACAGGGGCTGGCACTGTGACCCTTAGGGATGCTGGCATCACAGACGCAGCTTTATCCACTACACAACAATGCTAGCCCCAAGTTGATAACTTTGTATGGCCCAGGAATATCTATTATAAATATCCAAATAGCCCATGGCATAAAAACAGTTCCCCATCCCTGGTGTAGACAAAGACTGAATTACAGAGCTTTTGGCATTTGCTGACAGCAGCTCCCTCCTTACAGTGGCCATTTCAATTGGTAGGGGATGGAAGGAGGGGAACAAACGTACAAGACAAGAGTGTCCAGACAAGGGAAAGCCATCAGAACACACGACAAGGGAAGAAGGCGACGGAAGAGGGATGACAGCAGCTTACCTGAGACGTAAGCTGACTGCCGGGTATCTGCCCCCTCCAAATATTGGCATGTTGGAACCAACCAACATATGGATGTCTTCAAATGTCCACAGAATATTCCGAACAAAATCATTTTTAAGACCCTTTGGTTTAAAACAGGAAATATTAGAATAAGCCAGAGTCAAAATTCCCCCCATGATCCACAGAAACACTAGAAAAAGAAAAGAGACAAAGGAGACAGTGAGTGAACCCCAGAGCCGTGAGATCACAGGGACCTTTAGACAGCATCCTAGGATCGAGCGTTCGTCTTCCCGACCCGTTCCCTGCAGACTGGTTCTTAGGTGCTGCAGTAGACCAGGGATTGGGTGCCTCAACTCGGGACATCGCGGAGCGCGTACCTGACTGTTCTCCCCGTCATTGAACAAAGTAGTCAGGTTTTGTTCTTTGGGTGCTGAGGCCACATGACCCACCATGCATGAGGGTTCAAGAGGCTCACTTCCCTGTGAAAAGCGCAAGGGTAAGGTGTGACTGTGCTGCCAGCAGCTCTTAAACTGACCTGTCTTATACCACCTACACATTGAAAGCACACCCCTGAAATTCACCCCAGTCAGGCTAATGCGAACCCCAACACGCATTCCTGGGAGGCTCGCTTCAGCAGCTGTAATTATCACAGCTACCACAGAAGGTAGCACACTGAGATCTTCCTCCAACGACAGACACTGAATATTATCCCAAGCTTTTTTTTTTTTTTGGGTGAATTTGATTACTCTTGGGTCTTTCAGCCTACCTTATCTCTACTGAACTGAACAATTCCTAGGACACCTCAGCCACAGTTTGAGACATTCTTCACCTTTAGTCTCCAGCTGGCATTTCCTAATACACGCTTCACAGAAAGCCAGTTCCTGTGACACTCAGGGTAAATTTGAGAGTCGGGTTTGAAAAATGCTGCCTACCACACTTGCTGTTGGAGAATAATGGCATTTGCTGCCATGAAGAAAACTCTGAGTGGTCCTGCAGTAGAGAAATCTACTCCACGTCTGCACACTCCAGTGCTCCCCAAACTTAATCTCAGAGCACTGGGTCATGAACATCTCCTGTGGAATACACTTTGGAGAGCACACCTTTGACAACAGGTAAACTCAGTCTACTACTAAATTTCCCAACCATTATGACAGACACCATTAAGAAACCCATCTGCAATGTCAGTGCCCCAGGCCCGAGATGGACATGCATGTGTATTGCTTACTGCATTAAGTGCTGCTCCTTCTCACCTGTGTGGAGGGCGCCAGGGTGGCCCTGCCCAGAGTGTGTGTGACACGAGCACACAGCCTACGCTGGCTCTTGTTTTCTCCCTCAGGAGTCCTCAGAAAACTCCAATTTTCCTGATTTTATTATTTGTTTCCTCAGACAAGAACTCAACCTCCGACCCCTTCCCAAAGTTGCAGCACCAGCTGCTTGCTTTAGTGGAGTCTGGGCTCTAGTTACAATGTTCTCAATCAAGGTTTGCGTCTAAGGCTTTACCACATTTAACCTCTACTACTGCTCAACAAAGCCTCAAACTAGTATGTTCAGTTTGAGGAATTAAGAATTAGTGAAGTGATAGCTTGCAAATATAAATAAATCTCTAAATGTTAGCATTTTGGCAGTATAATGTCACAAGATTCTACTGTTGCAGAGACCATCTGGCTGTTTCCGGGCCCTCCTACATCCGCACCCGTGGGGTACGTGGACCTAGAGGACAGGCCCTGCAGCCACAAAGATCAAGTTAGACCCGAGCTTGGACGTGGCAGCTGCATAACCACAGGAAAACATCTGCTTCTTGTGTGTAACATGATCCCATCCACACAAGGTACACATCACCAGACACACAGATAAGGCACCTGGCATGAGTGACATTAACGCAAGCTTACTACAGTCTCCAACACTCTTAATTAAACAAGGCACGGACAGAGGGCAAGGCTGGAGGAGGAAAGGCTGGGTAAGAGGAGAGTAGTGTTTCTCTTCTGTGGCCTTTCTTGTAAGGTGAGGGTTTTGAAGACAGGGAACACTAGATGAATTATTCTAAAAATCCCTGTGAAATATAATCACATAGAAGAAACTGCATAAAACTGATGAAGTACAACGGCTGATTACGACGCAGGACGGTGCTGGCACCAGCACCCACCACAGCCTTCTCAGTCACCTAACAGCCCTGCCCTCTTGGTGACCGCTGTGTGTGACTTGCAGGCTGATTTCTTCCTTCCTTGCCCTTAGTTTTCTCTCTCAAAACAAACTTAAAGTTATGTAGTTTTATGGGAAAAGTTAACTATTTTTAAAGTGTACTAAAACCAAGTTAAATGTTTTTACTTCCTGCAACTATAATTTGTGAAGACAATCTGCATGAACAGTGTTCAGCATGTGGGAACACACAGTAAGGAGAAAACGTAATTTACCATGCTAAAAACCTTATTTTCATTTTCTCTGGGTTTATCTGGAGACAGACATGCCATAGTTTGTATCTATGAAGCTATTATTCCTTGATGGACACAATAAGAACAAAATAAACGAACAATAAGAAGAAACCAAGAAAACCACAGATTAAACAGACAACACATTCTCTCTCTTTCTTCCTAAGTCTTACAACTAAACTGTGCACTAAATCTCACTCATCCTGAAAATTGCTAAGGGATATTTTAGGACCCAACAATCTGACTAAAAGTTAAAGAAAGGTCAGTACTTAAAATCACTAAAAAAGCTAAGAATCTCAACGTCTGATAAAAACTACATATATGTAAAGTTAAAAATACACTGTCACAGTCTTACATAGTACTCAAGACTTCAAGGAAAAACCAGCTTAGATGAACACATCGGTAAGCTATTTTAAAATATACTGAATGACCTGCCTATTCACAATAGCTCTTGTAAAATTCTGAGTCTTTACTTCTAGTCACGCCTTGTTCCTACAACAAGCTAAGCGGCTTTGCCTCCCGAGTGGCTGCGTTAGCACCGAAGTCTTAACCAACCTGACTGGAAGCGCTGGGGTCTTCCGAGACGGAAGAGGGCATCTCAAAGGGAGCAGGCCACGAGGCGCCCCCGGAGCCACTCGTCTGATCCGCGCTGGGCGACTCCTGCTGCTCCGCCGCGGACGGCACAGGCTGTGCGGCTCCATCACCATTGATGCTGGCCGAGGCAGAAAGGAAACCTCCGTGTTTGAGATCTGTAAGGCTTCGTTATTATCGGTTTGTAAAAACTAGATTCCACAGCCAAGCACTCACAAGGAACACAAGACAAAAGTGAACCACAGCACGGTGGTGAAACCACTTTGACCAAGCTTCCACTGAATTTTAGGTGGGGGTTAATTTCTCTCCTTGAGGCAGAAATAAACAAGAGGCCCAGTACCTGTAATACAAGAACTTGGAAAGAATGGCTTTCTGATACCAGTGCTCCTTACTCTTTTTCTTCCTCTGCCACTTCTGATCAATGAGTCTCTGGTAAAACTCTTTCAGCCATGTCCAGTCACCAGTCTGAAGAACAAGAGAGAGTTAAAACGGAACACATGCGGCAAAACACTCATTATTATTCCTTGGCAGGAAATATGCTTTTTGAATACTGTTTCATAAGCAAACACTCACTTTCCTAGACTCAGTTCACACCACTTCTTTAGGAAACGCTATCTTCCTTCTCTCCCTAAGCCAGGTTGGCAGAGGTGACCCCATCTTCTCCCTGACATTTTTCTTTGGTGCCTGGAGTGAGCCCTGCTTTGCACAATGTATTAAAATTACTGTGTGTTTGATTTTTTTTTTTAATTTGAAAGGCAGGGAGACAGAAACAGAAAGATCTTCCATCCACTAGTTTACTCCCCAGTCTAGGCTTGTCCAGTCTAGGCTGGAGAAGGCTAAGGCAGGAGCCTGGACCTCACTCTGGGCCCCAAGCCCTTGAGCTATCCTGGCTGCCTCGCACGGTGAACAGTAGCAGGAAGCTGGACTCAAGAGTGTGGCCAGGACTTCAGTCCAGGCTCTTATAGGGAATGTGGGAAACCCAAACAGCATCTTACCCACCACACCAAATGCTTGCCCCAGAGTGCTTTTAACCCAAACAGCATCTTAACCACCACACCAAAGACTTGCCCCAGAGTGCTTTTAACCCAAACTGGGAGACGCTCAGGAGCCAGGGTGATTCATGCACTGCCACGTCTCAAGACCTTGTCCAGTGCACAGTGCATACACACAGACTGCGCGGGACTGTGGTCTTTCACAGGGAAAAACACTTCCGTTAAATGTCAATTGAATTCACTGTGACTTGTTTCCCTCTATCAAACACTGCAGGAGATCCTTTAGAACAGCCCATGGATTGGCAGAACCACGAACTCTATTTGTTATCAGTCTGCAAAAAGTTATTGTCAAAATGGAGTAAGCCTTGAGAAATTAAAACATTGTTATATTTCACAAAAGTCTCCGCGGTCAGCACACGGGGGTAGAATGGTTGTTCACCAACACAGAGTCGGAAGAGCTGGGCTTTAAGAAAAGCAGACGGGCTGGTGCTGTGGCTCAGCGGGTTAAGCCACCAGCTGAACACCGGCATCCCATGTGAGCGCCTGTTCGAGTCCTGGCTGCTCTATTTCTGACCCAGCTGTTAATGCGCCTGAGAAAGCAGCGGATGATGTCCCAAGTACCTGGGTCCCTGCCACCCACGTGGGAGCCCCGGCTGGAGTTCCAGGTTCCTGGATTCAGCCTGGCCCACTCCTGACTGTTGGGGTCATTTGGGGAGTAAATCAGCAGATGAAAGACCTCAACCTCTGTCTCTCCCTCTCTCTCTGTAACTGTGTCTTTCAAAAAATCTCTTCTTTCTCCTCTATTTTTCCTTCATTAAAGCTTTATCTGTAGTACAAGTTTTCATTGCTTTAAAGTTAATTTAAAAAACAGAAAGATGGGGGGGGGGGGTACCTTCCACTCCCCAGTTCACTCCCTGCTAGTTCACTCCCCAAATGCCTGCAGCAGCTGGAGCTGGGCCACACCAAAGCCAGGAGCAAAGAACCTCACCAGGTCTCCCACGCGGCTGGTGGGGACCCAAGCACTTGAACCATCATCATCTGCTGCTTCCCAGGTGTGCGTTAGCAGGAGGCTGCACGGAAGCAGAGGCGGCCCAACCCCACTGGCACTCGAGATGGGACGCGGGTGTCCCAAGCAGCAGCCTGGCCACAATGCCAGCCCCAACTTTTTGTTTTTGGAATACTGAAGTCCACTTTTGCCTTTCTGTGAAATAAAATTTTACTTCTGGTCACCCTGAGTAGCCAGAGTAGTGCCCCAAGGTCACTACCTGCGATGACCTCATGAAGAGCTCCTGAATGTCCAGCTCGTCCAGCAGCAGGGTCCTCCCGATGCGGTGCACGGCCATGCTCACGTGCGACTTGCTGTAGGGAATCTTCAGCAGCTTTTTGATGTTCTGAAGAAAATCAAGAAGAAAAACAGTTTAGAAAGACCTTCTTAGTGTGACGTGGAAGCTTTCAAATTTTAACTTCATTCCATTTAAAGTATAATAAATCTTATTCCCTGAAGGTTAAACAAATTGTGCTTTATACACAGAACTGTACACAAACACAAGGCAGACAGACCTTCAAAATCAGAATCACTTTATGAGTCATATTGCATTAAGGAAAATGACAGTGAAACATTTATTTATTTATTGACAGGCAGAGTTAGACAGTGAGTGAGTGAGTGAGAGAGAGAGAGAGAGAGGGAGGTCGGTCGGTCTTCCTTTTTCCGTTGGTTCACCCCCCAATGGCTACTACAGCCGGTGCGCTGTGCCAATCCGAAGCCAAGTGCCAGGCACTTCCTCCTGGCCTCCCATGCAGATGCAGGACCCAAGCACTTGGGCCATCCTCCACTGCACCCTCTGGCCACAGCAGAGAGCTGGACTGGAAGAGGAGCAACCAGGACAGAACCGGCGCCCCAACCTGGACTAGAACCCGGGGTGCCGGCACCACAGGCGGAGGATTAGCCTAGTGAGCTGCAGCACTGGCTGAAACATTTATTTTTACGCAACCACAGGTGACAGTGCTACGCTGAGCTAGGCTTTAACCTATCAGATAAAAGCAACCACCAGGATCAACAGACTTTAGCGGAAACACCATTTCTAATGTTCAACTGTAACATATGCAGAATCACCCCATGACCCACTTCAGTCAGGGCTGCTGGAACAGAACCATCAGTCCTAACGCCATTCCACGCCAGTATTCTGGGGATGGTTCCCTGCGCTCTGAAGAGAAGTATTCTACAGAAAGCCACTTTAATAACAGAAAGGCATCTCGTAACCAGACAGCTCAACTGTACTTTAACACTGATTCCTCAAGGCTGCAAAACACAGCACAACCTAAAACGTCCGGCAGGACGAACCCTCCGGCCACGTTAGCCAGCAGGCGGCACTTACTTCAGAGTCGGAGACGACGTCCACGTCGTTCCCCACCGAGTCGATGAAGTCGTACGCCATGCCGAAACTGCCGGAGAGAAAGCCGCGAGTCAGCGGGGACGAACACTGCGCTCCTAGGACCCCTGCCTGCGCTCCAGTGTCTGGAATCAGGCATGTCTCAAAACGGACAGCGTCTCAGACCAGGTAAAACACAGGAATGATCAGGACAAGGGAACATCTACAGTTTAAAGGAACAAGTATTTTTATCCTCATGAAACCCAAAACACCTCCAAAGAAAATCATGCACTGTTTTATTCCTTTTTTATTCCATTTATTCTTTATTTTATCCTTTCTTTTTACTTCCTAGAAGACAGGAAAAACAGAAACATTTATTGGTATCTCAGCTCCTGGGATGGTGTTCTTAGTGATGAAACAATTCTTTTAAAAATACATATAAAAAATGCACTTTCACAAGGAAAAAGAAAAAAATGAAGCAGCATGTGACTCAGGGAGGTCCCACGCGAGGCCCGGGAAGCGGCTGCTGCCGTCGCCGCCCTCCAGTCAGACGGGATGCGCCGCACCCCGCCCCACTTCAAAGCCTGTTCTCAGGACCTGCCGGGCAAGCTTTCTTTCTCGGCTTGTCACTCGTGTGCAAAACTAAGGAAGGTGCCTGTCCAAAGGGCTGCTGTGAGAAACGCACGTCTAAAACACCCACAGGACGTCCGCAGTCAGCGTGATCGCATCACCCCTGTGTTTACGTAATCGAGCCGTGCTTCTAAAGACAGACAGTTGGGTCATTTCCAATTCTTTTGCTAACATAAATAATGCTACAAACCAACAAACTGCAAATATAACTTCTACCTCTCGGGCATAAGGAAAACGCCCACAGCCCTGGCTCAGCTAAGTTACATGAGAGTGGGGGAAGAACCGTGTGGGAATGGGGACAGCGGCAGGTGTTCTCTGTAGGGCCTGGGCCACCCCCCGGGGGTGCCTCTCTGCAGACCCTAACAGGGCCCATGGGGGGGGGGCAGTGCCCCGCCCGGGCCGGCCGCACACTTCCAGAAGGCGCACGTCTGCGCTACCCCGCGCGTGCCGCTCTGCAGAGCCCTAGACTGACCATGTGGAGTCAAGACGTAGTCTATGCATGCGTGCAGTGGCGGGGAGGGCACTACCCCGCCCAGGCCGGCCGAACACTTCCAGAAGGCGCACCACTCTGCAGACCCTAACACGGCCCATGGTGGTGGGGGGTGGGGGGTGGGGGGAGAGGGCAGTGCCCCGCCCGGGCCCGCCGCACACTTCCAGAAGGCGCACGTCTGTGGGTTACACCGTACGTGCCGCTCTGCAGACCCTAACACGGCCCACGGTGGGTGGGGGCCAGAGGGCACGCACCTGGAGAACGGCTTGCTCTTCCTGCTGCTGCCCAGCACGGTGGTGCCCGCGGGCCCCAGCGTGGCGCTCTCCCGCAGCCAGTTGGCCGGGGGGAGCTTCAGGTCCGTCTTCTCCTCCAGGCGGGCGAAGGCCGTGCGCGGCGGCGCCGAGGAGTACTTGACCACGGCCCGGCTCTTCACCTCGCCGCCGCCGAGCAGCAGGGCCGAGCCCTGGGGACGAAAACCCGCCTTTACAGCCGGAAAACCGAGCGACCTCCGCCCCGCGCCCCGCGCCCCGCTCCTCACGTGACTGCGAGGAAAAACACGCCGCCTGCGGGGCCGCGGGGATGCCCCGCGAGCAGGCCGGGCGCACGCCCACGCAGCGCCAGTGGGCCCCCGGGGCAGGACCCTGCACCCCGCGCGGGGCCGCCTGCGGGAGCACGGCCGCGACCCCTCCCACGCGCGCCCTGCGCCCCCGGAGAACTGGCTGCGCCCCGCGCGAGCGCGCACAGCGCGTCCACCTCGCCCGTCGGCTGTCAGGCGCGCGGAGGCCGGCAGGCTCACGCCCGGCTGCCCGCGGACACGCACACGGACGGGCACGCCGGCTTCGGGGAGCCGTGCCGGAGCGGCAGAGCGGCGGGAACCACGACTCGGCGCCCCGCCGCGGACTCACCTGGGCAGCCGGCTCCTCGGACTCTCCCTGGGGCAGGAGCGTGAGTCCCCCTCGGGCAGCGGCCCCGAGCGGCGGAGCCTCGGCTCCGGCCTCCTTGGGGTCCCCCATCTCTACGGTCCCGGGCAGCCGAGGCCAAGTAGGCCGGCCGAGAACCGCGGCCGGAACCCGGGCCCCGCCGCGCAGCTGCAGGCGCCGAAGACGCGCCCCGCACCGCACTTCCGGTACCTGACAGGAAGACCGGCCAAGTGCTCAGATCTCGCGAGTTTTGTTCTGGCGGTTCGGCCCCGCCTCCCGCAGCGGGGGAGCCGCCTCCGCGGCGCTGGGGGAGGGCGGGAGCTGCAGTGCGCCTGCGCCGGGCAGAGCCGCTCCGGGGCACTACTTCTCGCGGTATCTGACGCCCAAGCTCCGCCCCTGGCGCGTCGCTCGGCTTTGTGGGCGAATAGTTCTGGGTGCCCGGGCGACGTGGGAAAGCGGGCGTCGGGCCGGGCCGCTCGTGGCGCTGCGGTGCCCGGTCTGCGAAGTAGCCCAGTGTTAGTAGCCCTGCGCCTTCTCGGCCTCCAGGGCCTCTCGCGCGCAGGGAGGCCCGGGGAGGGCGAGGCGGGCCCCGGTGATGGGCAGGCGCTCGCCCGGAGCCCCGGATGGGCGCCCCTCCCGGCTAAGCGGGGGCGCGGGGGTCCCGGGAAGGCTGGGCGCGCCGTGCTGCCCCTGTCCGCACCCGGTGTTAGTAGCCCTGCGCCTTCTCGGCCTCCAGGGCCTCTCGCGCGCAGGGAGGCCCGGGGAGGGCGAGGCGGGCCCCGGTGATGGGCAGGCGCTCGTCCGGAGCCCCGGATGGGCGCCCCTCCCGGCTAAGCAATGGCGGCGGGGGCGCGGGGGTCCCGGGAAGGCTGGGCGCGCCGTGCTGCCCCTGTCCGCACCCGGTGTTAGTAGCCCTGCGCCTTCTCGGCCTCCAGGGCCTCCAGCGCGCGGGGAGGCCCGGGGAGGGCGAGGCGGGCCCCGGTGATGGGCAGGCGCTGTCCGGAGGCCCGGATGGGCGCCCCTCCCGGCTAAGCGGGGGCGCGGGGGTCGCGCGGCCCGGGGCGGGGGTCCCCGGAAGGCTGGGCGCGCCGTGCTGCCCCTGTCCGCACCCAGAGCCGCGGCGCCCGGCGAGCGCGGCCGCACACCGCGGTTCGGCGGAAAGATGTCGGGAGGCTTTTTTGAACGATTAGTTCAGCCTTGGGGTTGCTTGGTCGTCTCGTTGGCGGCGGAGGGTGACGGCTCCCTCTTGGCGGGCACCCGCAGCCCAGCTCGCCGGTGTCCAGCTGTGCGGACGTCCTTAATCGAACCACGAATTGGAGACGCTGGCCTCCCCGTGCGCTGATTTCGGTGTCTTTCGTTTTGTGTTTCCTGCCTTGCTCTTTATGGTCGGAAAACTGGGCACAGGTGGCACCAGGAGGCTGGTGCAGTCTGGTTTTGGTTCCTAATAAATCCCGTGCAGCCAGGGAGTATTGAGAGTGTTTAATTGCACACCATAGGTAAACACGATAGACTTTTCAAAGGCAAGTGTTTAATATCCCGGTTCTATAAACTGCAGAGGCATCTCTCGATAGCATGAACTGATTTAAGGTGTATCCATTAAGGCTTTCCGTAACTTTGTTTCACTTTGTATTTTTGGATCATTACAATAAAGTGGAATTTGTATTACGTTTCAGAGACGTGTAATTGAGCGCTGGGCGGCTTTGCGTTCTGCTGTGTTGTGCAGCTCGGTGTCAGAATCGGGACCCTTCTGCGCCCTGCCAAACAGGAAACTCGGGGAACCACCAGTTAGTTGAAACAAAAATTGGGGGAGGGGGCGCCATAGGCAGGTCTATAGGAGCAGCAAATGATTTTTAGAAGAGTTGAATGCCCCGGGACTGGGCTCCTATGGGGCCCTGGGGTGTGTTGTATTTTCAGTCTCTGGTGGGAGTTTGCTCTTTGTGGTCGATGACACTTCAATCAGAAGACCGGAAGGCGGCTGCGTTCCTCTGCAGATCCAGTCTTCAGGTAAAGAGAGCTGGGACGAGCGCCCTGCCCGCAGCTGCAGAGAGAGATGACCTCACTCTGAGCCTGTGTGTCCAGCTCTGCTTGGGGGTGTTGTTTCCTGCACCCCACCAGGAAGTGCCCAGCCTGGTGTAGACGATGCCTAGTGGAAACTGCCTGACGAGGCAGAGCAGAATGAACCCAAGCAGGAAGAGAGAGGACCCCAGGGTTGCTGGGGGGACCCCAAGAGCTGTGTGACCGCACACGGCTGGGACCAGGCACCCTCGGTTGTGAAGGGGAGTGACCCTGAGGGCTGCAGAAACGGCACATCTGGGGCCCTGAAGTCTACGCGCTGCGTGCTCTGCTTTTTTTTTTTTTTTTTTTTTTTTTTTTCCCTATTCAAACACTTTTATATGCCATGGGCTCTTTTTTTGAAGTTATTGTTCTGATGTAAGTGGTTGAAATATATTGTGCGGAAACCAGGGCTAATGACTTTAGACTTCCTGCTCCTAGGACACTCATGTGTTCATTTTTTTTTTTTTTTAATTTTTATTTGACAGGTAGAGTTACAGACAGTGAGAGAGAGAGAGAGAGAGAGAGAGAGAGAGAGAAAGGTCTTCCTTCCGTTGGTTCACTCCCCAAATGGCCACTACTGCTGGCGCTGTGCTGATCGAAGCCAGGAGCCAGGTGCTTCTTCCTGGTCTCCCATGCAGGTGCAGGGCCCAGGGACTTGAGCCATCCTCCACTGCCTTCCCAGGCCACAGCAGAGAGCTGGACTGGAAGAGGAGCAGCCGGGACTAGAACCAGCACCCATATGAGATGCTGGCACCACAGGTGGAGGATTAACCAAGTGAGCCACGGTGCCAGCCTCGTGTGTGTTCATTTCTACTTTGTGCCAGTGTCTGCTCACCACCCCCCTCCCCAGCCCCCACTCAGGATGTCTCCCTCTGGGACATTGGCCAGTGCTATCCTGGGTCTGCCTGACTCCCCAGTGTCCGATGCTCTGCCTGTTAAATGTTTGGGGGTCCAGTGCATAAAGCCACTGCCTGCAGGCCCAGCATCTCCCATGGGTGCTAGTTCAAGTCCCGGCTGCTCCACTAACGATCCAGCTCTCTGCTGTGGCCTGGGAAAGCAGTAGAAGGTGGCCCAAGGCCTTGGGCCTCTGCACCCACGTGGGAGACTGGGAAGAAACGCCTGGCTCCTGGCTTCAGATTCTCAGCACAGCTCTGGCCATTACAGCCATCTGGGGAGTGAGCCAGCAGATGGAAGACCTCTCTCTGCCTCTGCCTCTCTGTAACACTGCCTTTCAAATAAAAAAATCTTTAAAAAAAAAAAGAAAGAAAAATGTTTGTTGAATCGGTGAACTTCCAACAACTTGTTCCTTAGCTCCGCCTTCCCTGTGCTTTTCCTTTATCCAGAATGCGGGCTCCCTGCTCACCTGGACTATGCCTGCCACTTCCCAGGGTGCTCAGCTGCCGTCTCCAAAGAGCCTCTCCTGGTACCTCCCTCTCCTTGTCCCCCAGGCCCCTCCCTCTGCTCCCCCTGCGTGTAGCACTTCATCTTGCACTTGTCACACTGCAGAAGTACCTGCTCGTGTCTGCCTGCCTTGCCGACCGAGCTCACAGGCGCGTGTGCCGTCTGATCGTCTCTGCTCCCTCTGCAGCAGGCCCCGCACCCACTGACAGAACTGCTTTAGCCCTCAGGCGATGCGGGAAACCCACAAGGGCTGACAGCCTCTTAAAACGCTTCTCAGCATGTTTGCGATGTAAGACAGTGTGGCTGACTCCAAAATACTTCAATCTGCAAAATCAAAGCTAAAAATGTTTAATGAAGTAGCTCCAAGATACTGCAGTGTCAATGTCATTCATTATTTAAGTCGGTATTGACATACAGTTTGTTCTATTCTAAAACAATTTGTAGATGAGACTTTCTCAGGTTGCAGAATTCCTCCCAGCGTGCAGGGTGATTTCCAGGAAATCCCAGCAGTCCTAAGCTCACTCGTCGCACACGGTATTTTCCGAAGCAAAATTAGAAATCCTCCAAAAAATTTTGCAAAATGACAATTGTAGCAGGCTGATGTGTTTTGGGGGTGCTGCCAAAACCTGAAGTGCCCAGTGCACCTGCAGTTCCTATACAGCTCTGCCAGCGGAGGAGGCCAAAGCCCAAAATAATCCTACCTCAGGCAGCATCTGGGGCTGAGGTCTTTTTGTGCCACGGTCCCCGGCCGTGACCGCAAGTCTCACACCCAGCCAGCCCCGTTCCTTGTCTTGCTGCACCTGGGAAGGCTCCTGATCCTGGTGCAGAGCTGGAAGGGGATTCGGGATTCTCAGAGCTGGCCCCTTCCTCTCGGGAGGAGAGGAACTCAGCCCTGTTGACCAGAGTGACTTGTTGGACAGCATCCGAAGTAGTAGGCAGCAAAGCTGGGGCTAGTGCCCGGGTCTCCTACTCAGACGGCTTCTGAAAGTCCCATGGCCACCGCAGCTCAGTTTAATCAGTTTCAAAATCCTCTGAGGAACGTGCTAGGAGAGCATCGCCCCTGCCAGCCTGCAGGTGCAGCGTATCTGGAGTGGTGCTGAGAAGTGTGGACTGTTAGAGTGCTAGTTTATTTTATTTATTTATTTATTTTTTGACAGGCAGAGTGGACAGAGAGAGAGAGAGAGACAGAGAGAAAGGTCTTCCTTTTCCATTGGTTCACCCCCCAAATGGCCACTACAGCTGGCGCTGTGCCGATCCGAAGGCAGGAGCCAGGTGCTTCCTCCTGGTCTCCCATGGGGTGCAGGGCCCAAGCACTTGGGCCATCCTCCCCTGCACTCCTGGGCCACAGCAGAGAGCTGGCCTGGAAGAGGGGCAACCGGGACAGAATCCGGCGCCCCGACCGGGACTAGAACCCGGTGTGCTGGCGCCGCTAGGTGGAGGATTAGCTTAGTGAGCCGTGGCGCTGGCCATAGAGTGCTAGTTTATAACCGTGCCGGCTGTGGAGCACACCTCAGGACAGTGATCTCCCAACACAATCTTCTGGGGTATAGGAGGAATGTAGCTTTTGTTTTTAATCTGTAAAGGGCAAAATTCAGCTTTTTTTTAAAATTCAGCTTTATTAATAGTATATGGACTGCCAGGTGTAATACACTAAGTTAAATCGGAATTTCACATAAACAATGACAAATTTAGAATGAGGATGCCTCGGATATCAGCATAGGTGTGTCCCATACAAGACGTGTGTTTATAGGGGCCGCCGCCTGCACCGCCAGCATCCCACGTGGGCGCCTGTTGGAGTCTCAGCTGCTCCGCTTCCAATCCAGCTCCTGGCAATTGTGCCTGGGAAAGCAGTGGAGGGTGGCCAAGTCCATGGGCCTCCCCCAACGTGGGAGACCCGGATGAAGCTTTGGACCGGCCCAGCTCCACCTGTTGTCACCATTTCAGGAGCAAACCAAAGGATGGAGGATCTCTCTCTGTCTCTTCTCTGCCCCACCTCTCTCTAACTCTGCCTTTCAACTAAATAAATTATTATTATTATTGTTTAAAAGACATGTTTATAGTGGTCCATTCTGTCTTTATCTGGGACACAGGCTGATAAAACAGCTGTCGCTCCCCCTCTTCGTGGAGGAACGACACAGGACCCTGCGCTGTTCTTTCGTCTGCTCGGCCCTCCCCGGGTTTGCTGCTGGTTCTTCCCGGGTTGGCTACTATCCCTTCCACCTCCGTGGAAGGGCAGTTCCCCCTGGCCGCATTCCCCACTTCCGCAGGGGAGCGGCACACCGCCGGCCGGCTCTTTCGGGGGCTGCACGGGTTCCCTTAGATGTTCCCCATAGATGTTCCTGGTGCATGCCGTCTCTC